GTTCCTTGGTGATTGTGCGGGATGAGATTGTCATGATCAAAGACCACTATATAAATATAAACATATATAATAGTATAATGGGCATGCCTTCATAGAGCAATGGATTGAAAAACAACTGTCTTTTTTTACGTTTTATCTTTACAGCATTCATAGACAGTATATATACAAGTAATAAATATGCAAAGCAGCTGCATGCTTGCACCAAGTGAAACTACAGCAGTGCGTAAACAGCCAGACATTATTTGAACAATACTGCAATTTCTTGTAAACTTCAGTGAGTGTCAAGCATTTATCAGGGGAGTGCAACATTGAGACGTTTGGCCAATTGATTTTAAAGGAGTGCTTTCACCAAACGTATCCTAAGCTCGTATAAGAGAGTCTTGGGAGTCATTGTTTTTGTCCGAGGCCCAAACAAACTGACCAAGAACCTGAAGGGATTGTTGTGGTTCAGTGTAAACAACTGAGGCTCAGAGAGCCAGACCTTTGGGATTTGTATGGGTGAGTGTTAATGGCCAAGGCTCAAAGGGGCCATACTCGTGCACGGTTCGGGTTCTTATAATTCGGTGTGGAAATGCCCGGAACTGACAAGACTGAGAGCGGAATAGCTCTGGGAAGGTACCTGGCATATACAGGCAGTCCCCGGTTCACGGAAGGGTTAGGTTCCCCAGAACCATCCGTAACACGAATTATTATCCTCATGTCGAAAACTGAACAATTTCTCCCCCCCCAAAAATCGAGATAAAATCCCATAGCCAGAAATAGTTGTGCCTCCCCTACCCGAATAGTAGTTCGTTTTTACAAAAGGAAAATAATTACTTAACGCTACAAACAATTCTCATTACCTTAATCCTAGTGAAGCTTGGGCTCTGTGAAGGCGGCGTTTTGGCAGAGCGAGGCGTAAGGCGGCTGCCCGCCTTACGCCTCGCTCCGCGGTATTCATCCGCAACCTCACAGCGCTGCACTACTTGCACTTGCATAACGAACCCATACATTTCCAGATATTGACATTTTTGAACATGATTTATGGGAGCATTTCCGGAAAGTCGGATTTTTGTGAGTCGGATGTTCCGCAACCCGGGGACTTACTGTACTCTATTTACTTGTGACGCATAATGACGTAATCAGGCAGGTCACAGATTCAAATCCCCCAGCCTTGGCTCAGATAAGCAGTCGTCCTATGGAAGGTGGTAGTTAGGCATGCATGGAGTCGCGAACCCTTGGGATTTTATCAACTTTTTACCCTTTGCATTTCGATTCGATGTTGTGCTTTCGTACACGTTCGTGATTCAAATACATGGACACGTATGTTGCACAAGAATGTTAAAATATTATTCATAAAGCCATCTTAATTTCCTAATTAAATTTGGCGCCACGCGGAGGAGAATTCTCGCGTAGCTTGAGTTACTCTGGGTTAAACAAGTCGCACTTGGCTGTGAGTTTGCAGCAGATGTTAATGGGAACCAGATGGAGCAGTGGAAAAAAGGCCAACGGAAAAAAAAGCGGCGAGTTTTGCCGCGAGAACAGAGGACTCATTCTCTACGCACATCTCTCCTCCGTTTCCCTTGCGTGTTCTACCCTGCCAGTGTGAACGTGTGTTTATATGTGTGTTTATGCATATACAGTGCTGCATGTCTACGTGTGTGTGTGTGTGTGGGGGAGCGGCGGTGTAGTGGTTAGCGCGCTGCGCTACAAAATCCGGCGACCCGAGTTCAATTCCCGCTCACGGCCAACACCGGTGATTAACTGAACTAGTACTGGGCCTCCCCTAGGTAGAATTAACCTCAAATGAGTACCTGGTGCAGTATGCAAACATTGCCGCCGGGGACACAAAGGTGGTCGGGGTGGTGCTGGCCACCCACCCCGTCATGTACCTTGCCGGCACTTGCCCCAATAATGAATAATAATTTACAGCCCACTATTGGATGAAAGCCTCCATGCTGTGTGGGTAACGGGGGTGGTTTGACCATACTTCACCATGCTGGTCAGTTCGGGTTGGTGAAGGAAAGGGGGAGTGCCCAGGATTCTGGTTCTGGTGTCAGGAATTGAACTTGGGTTGGCAGGTTGATGGCGCAGTGCACAGACCACTGTGCCAACCACTCCACCGCTGCGCCCTTATGTTCCTGTGTTTGTATACATTGGACTATGTAAGGTATACTTGTATGCTAACACAAACACAATGTTCTCCGAGCCTGGCACAAGTCCTGTGGTGACGCCACCACCACTTGGTGGCGAACGGCGGCAGCTGTTGTTATATAGGCACACTAAAACAATTAAAACCGAGCCAGCTCAGATTTTTCCTGGTTGAGAACAATTTGCGATGGAAGAACCACAAAGCTCAGGCCGTTGTTGCTCGCACCGGTCCTGGCTGCCTTGTCGCTTGTCTGGGGTTTCCCACACCTCTAAATCGTTCTTTCTGCCCTCTCTCTCTTTCTCTCCCTGGGAGCGAATAAAGCTGCTGTGCATGTGACACATTCTTAAATGATCATCAAACAAAACTAAATAAGCATCAAACAAAACGTCCACCGCTTTGTGGAATCTCAATTGCTCAGGATAGGCGGCATCGCTTCAGATGCGCTTCTGCGGCCATCCAGAACGCTCTTCCTTCCGCTGTTAGGAAACCGCTGGACCTATGCACTTTCAAATCTAAATTGAAAACTAATTTCTTTATAACTGATTTTTGTGTTTAGTTTGTTGTCCTTCCCCCGTACCTCCGATTAGCATGGTTGGCTACGTACGGTGCGAGAAAAATTCAACATACATCCATGGCTCGTGGAAGCAGCGAGGTCGCTTTTACGTCTGACATGACCGTATATTCACGGTGTACATGCCAGTGTAGCGGCGGATCACTGATATAGTCCTTGTGGACCTGATTTCGATCCCCCCGCGGCCACGTCCGTAAAAAACGCAGTGATATCCTGACCAGTCCTGGGCCACAATCCATATCTTGCGTGGTAAAGAACGGTCAAAGCAACCCCCCCCCCCACGTCTGACACCTGCGTAGGGAAGCATTCATCCAACAACAGTGGATGAACAAATGGGGCTGCAAATTTTGATTATTATTTATTGCAGGCGAGCGTGGGGATTTTTTGTTTTTTGTTGCTTTTGCCGTCTCGCCGCGCGTGGGGAGGGCAGCCGGCCGGCCGGGCCGTGTCTATAAAAGGGGAGAGCGGCCACGTCCATGGTGCACAGATGCGGCACAACCGCCCCATGCCACTCGCCCTGTCCAAGCCCTCGAGCGCCCTTCGAGTCGCGCAGGGGCTCCGATTCATTCCGGGGATACTTCAGGGGCAGCAGCCCGGGGCCTCCCGATTCTGAGGATGCCCCCCTCGTCTCCCGCCTCCCCACAAAAGAGTAAATATATATACAGCTTTGTAACGCTTGAAACACAATTTTTCAGCACTGTGGTAAATCCTATAGGTAACTTTGTAATTAAAGCCTTGGCATCGCTGTGAGTATTAACTACCGGTAATGTGCCAACGTTAAAATGGTTTTGTTCGTTTGAACTTTGATTTAGCGTAGCATTCATATTTCTATGACATTTAAAATCCACACATGCGCTAACCGTAATAAATAACACTTGAGTGTTTAGTGTCGGGCACGAGTGGTGATTAACCACTAAAGAGACCAGAGTTGAATGTGCAAAGACGGTGCTACCAAAAACTGTTAACGCTTCGGTGATGTGAACCTTGCGGAATTGAAACGGAAGAAAATAGCCACGTAGGAGGGTTTGTGGTGGCACGGTTTGGCGCCAACTATCAGAGTGCGGTCGTGTCACTAGAGTTCTCTGCGGTCAGTACAGTGTCTTTAAAAACAACGGTGCTAAGCCTCTCTAAATAAAATTAACGCGAACCGGTCGCACGTTCTGAGTATCGGCGGCGAACGGGACACCCCGCCCTGCAACTTGCAGACGTCTTGGAACGGGAAAGGGATAATATATACGCACACCTCCGAGTGTTGTGAGATGCATTTTGCAAGAACGGCGCGGCTCTATAAAAGCGCTCGTTAAACCGAATCCAGCTCTGCCTGGAGTCACGCCTCGGGTTTCGCAGGGAGAGACGCGTTTCATTGACCCCTCCTCTCTCGTTGACTTGGTTGCAACGGGGGTGGGGGGGGGGGACAGTCGGCGTTCCGCGTAGAGCTCTGCAATCGAGGTGGTGGGTTTGGGGCGGAGTCGCAAAGAGATCGTCACGGTGTGTGCAGCTTCCGTTCAATGTTATTTTGTTTAAACCGGGTGAGACGTCTAGGGAGCAGGGTATAGTCTCATTTGCAAGAGTGTAGTGACCTGGGTCAAAAGAATTGCCAAAGCAAACCACAAACCAAAACAAAGTACAGCAACGAAGGAAAACGGCAATCGGAACAAACAAAAAAACGAAAACGCTATATGACGCAATTCCATATCGTACAAAGAATTGAAAATATCGCGAGCAGAAACATTTGGATGTTATATCAAAGGTAAACGTGAACATTTTTCTGCAGCAGCGTGCATCGGCTCATCAATACGACTTTTACAGTCAGAGCCAAGCATGTGATTATGGTCCTGGTGCCATCGCTGTTTCGCCACCCCGACACAGTTTAATGAAGTGCAAATTTGCATATCCAACGATCAATCAGCTGCCCACACGCAGTGCAATATTTTGTGCATAGCGGTGTAACTTTTATCTGCTCTAGATGTTCACCTTTTCACAAATCCGCCTGTACCAGAGTCCCCAGCGATTTCAATGCGAGACTTTTTACTGCATCGCATCAATGCTGCAATGTTAGTAAACTGAGATCACGCACACGTTGAGCCTTTGAGCATCAGATACCAACGTGGGTCTTCTGCGTCACTAGCAGAACTTCAAGCTTGTATCGGATAGCCGGGGGGCAGAGGACAGCCTTAGGCTTGTATCTACCAGACAGGGGCCACGTGATTCACAAACATTTGTTGTTACCCCCTTCCCCTTTTCCACTCTGCGTGTCTCTCCCCTCACCCCCTTCCTTGACGTCTTCTCCCACCGCAGCTGACAACAGCTGCTCGTTCACACAGCACAGGACGAGCGCCGCGGCAGCAGGGCCCGCGAATAGTCACCCGACACGAGACGGAGAACCGGTACGGGCGAATGAGGACACTGGCACCCCCCCCCCACCTCTCCCACGGCATAGACGACGGCATCACAGGGATGGGGGGAGGGGGGTGAGGGTGAGGGGGGGGCCCTAGGGGAGGAACGATCGCGTCCTCCCACGTGGCAGACTCAGGGGGTTGCGGTTGGCAGGGGGGGGGGGGGGGGGGCGAGGCAGGAGACGTGTAACGATTCAGGCCCCTCGCAGTTCAGCGGATCGTCACATGTTGGAGAGAAAGTCAATGCCCAAACACTTTAAAGAGGACACCTCCTGGACAAGAGTCTTGAGATTCATCCAGGGTGTGCATATGTATGAATATAAAGAGCTGATATTATTGAAAATGTAAGAGGAATTTGTATGAAAACGATGTTAACATTCATTACGTATTTTATTAAGTAAATTTTTGACTCTTTGTTGTTTTTTCTTCGTTCGGCAACTCAAGCATCCCGGAACTGGATCCAGGCGGTCAGACTCTGCCATCTCCGTGCACTCTCTGCACTCCGAGTCCACGCTCTCGATTCGCTCCACGTTTTCCCTGCACGGTCCCGAGGAGGAGGAGCAGCAGGTGAGTGCAGGGAAAGTTGTTGCTCCGGAAACAGGGAGGGTTGTCAAGGTGACACTGTTATTCAAAGCGGAGGTGAAAAAAGAGAATTGGATTAATCCGATCATTAATCCTAACACTATTGTAAATATAAACCTTGGTAACCCATACACAACACTCTCCCACCGCAGCTGACAACAACACTAATAATGACCCCAAAAATTAACAGAGCTCCACCTAAAAACCTGAATGTAACTCAAGTTATAATCTCCGCCTCAATCTAAGACGCCAGCTCTGGGGAACCTGTGCAGTGAGACTTTCCGCATTTTCCAGTTTTAAAAGCAATAACCTCATGCTAACCCCTACACCCAAGCGCTAACCTAATTCTAACATTAACCTAAAACCCCTAAACTGTAACTTAACTTGAACACTAACCCTAACCCTATTCTTTGTTTTTTTTTTCAGTAAAGTCACATAGGTACCTACGTGAACACTAAGCCTAACCCTATTCTTTGGTTTTTTTTCGGTCAAGTCACATAGGTACCTACGTAGGTACTTTACCGAAAAAAAAAAACAAAGAGTATGAATCCTTGCAGTCACGAAAGCTTCAAATCTAGACCTAACCCTATTCCTAACCGAACACTTAACCCTATAACTAACCCTGAATCCAAGCCCTAACCTCTAACTGTAACACCAACCCAAACTCTTAACCCTTGTCCTCTTTCATCGCCGCCCCCGATATCTCTCAGGAGCCACTGGTGTTCGTGGATCAGCCGTCGGGGAAGCTCACTTGCCAGCTGTGCGGGCGCGTCTACCGCGATCCCGTCATCACCACCTGCGGGGTACGTGAGCTGCGTCGCCATCACGCCATCACGCCATCGCCGCACCCCGCCTCAGGGTTTGGGTTCGAGTCCCGTCCGTTGTTACAGGGCACTTCAATAAATCGATCAATCATTATTTTACGTGCCAATATCGCCCTCAATAAAGTAGGCATCGGTGCACTTGACAAAGGGATGGGCAAGGTACAGGGGGCATACAGCAATAGGAGTTAAAAATAAACCCGTCACTCCCTCAGTGGCTGACACCGACTGAGCAATGTAACCTGCAACCGCGCGCAAAATGATGAGTTCAGCACTTGACGAGTTCAACCCCTATGATATGGGTCGATGAATGGTCAACATTCGAGATCGCGGTCGTGATGCAACGTTGTCGTGAACGCGGCTGCTGGGCTCGCCGGATCCCATTCGTAAACTCCGTCTTCGTGACTCTCGTCGGCCATGTTCTGTCCCAACTGCTGGGATAAAGGCCGCCTCCTCAAACCGGCACTGCCTCTCACAGTCTTGGGACGCAGCAATCAATCTGGCTCCTGCGCATTAGCCGATCTCATCGTTAAATAGTTGGGTAATGCTTTGGTGACGTGGTCATCCTTGTCGTTAATATTCTCTCCACTCTGTGTGCCTTCTTCTCGTCTTAACAGCACACGTTTTGTCGAAAATGCACCCTGACGGCCGGTAAGCATTTACCGTACAATCGACCACGCACGACGACGAACATTTTAGCAATCAAGCCCATTGCTCTGCATCTGTATCTTGTAGCCGTCGGTGTGTAAGTAGGTTTAAGACGCTGCGTTGTCTGCGCACGTGTAACTGTGGGGAGCACCGGCGTAGTGGTTAGCGCGTTGCACTACCAGCCTGGTGGATTCGATTTCAAGCCACGGCTAACATCGGTGGCACATGGTAGAAAAGGGGTTCTAGGTCTCCCCTAGGCCTAAATGAAGTACCTGGTGCGATGTGTATACATCAGTGCTGGAGAGACAGCGTTGGCTGGTTATGGTGCTGGAGGGCAGGGTCATTTTCATGCTCCCAACGTGAGCACGTTTGCCGCTTGTTGCAACAGGTTCACGGTTCGAATCCTGGGGCCGCCCTGATTATTACCGGGCCTGTAACAGCCACTAATTATACGCACCATCTGCTTCACAGTGGATTTTGAAGATCCCGTGAGGTCCGTTCGCAAGAACGGGGCCACTTGTGTGCCGGCGTCAGGGTTCAAATTTTGCCAAATTCGAAAATTAACCGCAAAATTATTCAATTGTGATACATTTCAGTCATTACCATCTCCTGGCAGACTAGGGCTCCAGGTCACTGTTGTCAATGAGATTATCCTGGTTCCTTGAGCTATCACCTGGTTACACAAAATACAAGTTTCCCTCGCTCAATGCGGGTTCAGTCTATGTGATTTCGCGTAGATGCGGCTAACCTATTTCTTCCCGAAATGCGCTGTATGATGCAGGTTTGAATTCACTCATGTCGGTATGCGGTCGGATGTGGGGCAACATCGTGTGTACTGTGTGTGTGTGTGTGTACTGTGTGTGTATTCTGTGTGTGTGTGTGTGTACTGTGTGTGTATTCTGTGTGTGTGTGTGTGTACTGTGTGTGTATTCTGTGTGTGTGTGTACTGTGTGTGTATTCTGTGTGTGTGTGTGTGTATACTGTGTGTGTCTTCTGTGTGTGTGTGTACTGTGTGTGTATTCTGTGTGTGTGTGTGTATACTGTGTGTGTATTCTGTGTGTGTGTGTGTGTGTACTTTGTGTGTATTCTGTGTGTGTGTGTGTATACTGTGTGTGTATTCTGTGTGTGTGTGTATACTGTGTGTGTATTCTGTGTGTGTGTGTATACTGTGTGTGTATTCTGTGTGTGTGTATACTGTGTGTGTATTCTGTGTGTGTGTGTATACTGTGTGTATTCTGTGTGTGTGTGTATACTGTGTGTGTGTGTGTATACTGTGTGTGTATTCTGTGTGTGTGTGTATACTGTGTGTGTATTCTGTGTGTGTGTGTATTCTGTGTGTGTATACTGTGTGTGTATTCTGTGTGTGTATACTGTGTGTGTATTCTGTGTGTGTGTGTGTGTATATACTGTGTGTGTATTCTGTGTGTGTGTGTGTATACTGTGTGTATCCTTGTGCGGTTTCGCTTTGTGCGCCCTTTTTTTTGGAAGGCGCCTACTACCGCAAAGAGCGAGGCGAAACCTGTAAACCTGAAACACGATCCCCTCGTGCACCATGTCTATAGGCAGTCGTGACGGGCTGGAAAACCGACGTACTCTTATGACTCGAGGCTTGCGTTGTACGATTGCATCTTGCCGAACGCGCAGACAAGTGCCCGGCCGACCTGGCCAAGCTGAGCGTGGTGGTGAGCAACATCGCCGTGGCGGAGCAGGTAGGCGAGCTCGAGGTCCGCTGCAAGTACGGGTGCCGCCCTGCGGGCACCCCACTGGGCGCCACGGCCGCCCCCCTCTTCCGGCCGTCGGGGTCCTACGACTACGAATCGGACCCCCAGGGCTGCCCCATCACCATCAAGCTGTGCCTACGCAAGTACGGGCACTGCCGAGAAGCGAGATGGAATGCGCGCGGGTGTGGGCACGACTTGAAAACCGACGCGCTTTGGTCAAATGCACGCAGGATCGACCCGTATGCAGTGGTTGTTGTTGGTGGAGGTTGTGGTGGTGGTGGTGGTGGTGGCGATGATTGTTTTTGTACTAATGGTGATGGTCACGGCGAAGGTTGTTCGTGGTGTTAGTGGTCGGGTCATGATGGTCAGGTTGGTTGCTATTCCTGGTGGTTGTTGGTGTTGGTAGCAACAGTAGTGGTTATTGTTGGTGTTGGTAGTGGTTGTGGTGCTAACGGCAGTGGAGGTTGTCGTTGGTAGCAGTGGTGGTGATAGTGGTGGCAACGACAGTAGCGGTTGTTGTAGATGGTGGTGGTGGTGGTAATGGCAGTGACGGTTGTTGTTGGTGGTGGTTGTGGTTTTGGTAACACCCGTGGCGGTGGTGGTTTGTTGTTGTAAGTGTTGCTCTTGTTGGTGACGCCCGCAGGGAGCACGAGGAGACCTGCGAATACCGTCCCGTTCAATGCCCCAACAACCCCGACTGCCCCCCGTTGCTCTGGACTAACCTAGAGGCCCACCTGCGCGAGTGCAAGCACATCAAGTGTCCGCACGCCAAGTACGGGTGCGTCTACACACACGCACGCACGTGTACGCTCGGATTCAAGATACACGTGCACATGCGGAACGGGTGGGTGCGTGCACGCCGCGCGCATCTACACAGGCGTGCACACAAAATCCAGGTGTACGTGCAAGCACGCTCATGTACAGAATTACCTGTGAATATGGGTACTTATGCTCGTTCAGTAGAGCATGAAGACTGTTGATCTCACAAACCCACGTCTGTATAATGTGCCACAGCCTTGCCCTCTAAGGGATGCTGATGCCGCGGTTTAATGTACGTATGTGTATCGTCACTGGTGGTGGCCGTGAGCAGGAATCGAACTCTGGTCGCCGGGTTCGTAACGCAGCGCGCTACCCGCTACATTACCACTCCCTGCACAAAAGGCAAATATCCCCCGTATGGCCTGTTGGGCCAAGTGCTGTTAGCAAGAACCTATGAAGCCCAGTAAGGTACACGAGGGGGTGGGTAGCCAGCACCACACTCGACTGCCTTTGTGTGCCCAGTGGCGAGGATTTTACACACTAATTTGAGGCTGAGTCGACCTAGGGGGAGGCCCAGGACTGGTTTCATTCAGACAATCGTCACCAATGTTGGCCGTGAGCGAGAATAGAACATGGGTCGCCGGGTTTGTAGCGCAGCGAGCTATAACCGCTGCACCACCGCGCACACGCACGCACACACACAGGTGCGACTTCGTGGGGAACGACGACACGGTGCCGGCGCACCTGTCGCGCTGCCGGTACGAGGCGGTGAGCGATTACCTGCGCGCGTGCGAGGAGCGCTTTGGCGAGATGCGGCTGTCGCTGACGCAGCGCGACCAGGAGCTCGCCTTCCTGCGGAGCATGCTGGGCCGCCTCGCCGAGCGCCTCGAGCAGCTCGAGAAGTCGGTCGACGTCAAATTTGGTGAGGGGTGGGTGGGGTGGGGGGGCGTGCACGGGGAGGGGGAATGGGAGGGGGGGGGTGTCTGGGGCGCGAGAGGGTTGTCGGGGAAGGGGGCGGTTGTCCAGCTGTCTGTCTGTCTCCTGATGGATAGCTGACCGGCTCCTTGGAGTAGATAACTGCCTGTCTGTCTGTCTGACTGGCCGTCTGTGTTTTTTTTTAACTCGTGTCATTATATATACAGACACGCACACAAAGGGAAAGATACCCTGTATAGCCTTTGAACGGACTTATCGGGCAAGTTAGCGAGCATCTATGAATGGCGCATGAGGGGGTGGGTAGCCAGCACCACACCAGACCACCTTGGGCAATATTTACACATCGCACTAGGGACTCATTTGAGGCTTAGTCGACCTCGGAGAGGCCTCGGACATGGTCAGATGTATATCACTGGTGTTGGCCGTGAACGGGAATCGAACTCGGGTCACCGGATTAATAGCACAGCGTGCAAACCGCTACGCAACCGCTTCCCACCTACATATATAGGTACGCGCAAACACACTGAAATAATTATTTACTGCTCTTTATCAATCTGCCGCTGGATAGCAAATTCAGCGACCAAATAAAATGGGCACACATCTGCAATCCAGCACTGTGGAGGCGAGGGTTGGTGGAACACACAATTGCTGTGAGAAACTCCCTTTCCGTGGGCGTCAAGGTGCCCATTCCCTGGCTCGCCAGGAGAAAGCGGTACACCGTATGCGAACTCCCACCTGTTCTATCTGTATGGGGATCGAGTGTTGCCCCCTCGCACGTGTGGGTTTTCTCCGGGTGCTCCGGTTTCCTCCCACATGTATGAATGCTCATTATTTGGCCGATAACGCCTCAACATATAGAAGACCACAGAGCCTGGGCATTTGTAAGAACAGACCCACGGTGTGGCTGCCTTCCACTTCTCCGTGCAGTTCTTCGCTCCTCCGAGTCATTCTCCCTCTGCCAGCGAGCGAATGCAGTGGCGGCAGCCGTGCATTACGAGTTAAAACTAATTTAGTAATCTTGCATGCAAAATCTGATAGCGAGCGTTGAAATCAACGTTTAATGTTGTAACCAATCGCCCCTCTTGTCATTCATTGAATTTTCACGATTTGGGATTTGACGCATGTGTTGTGACCATAACAATTGATGTTGATGAATGGATGCACTGTGTCTGTGCGACTGAATATATAGAATCATCAGTGGTATTTGAAAATATGTATGTAAACATGTATGACTCGAAATCAGTCTAAATACACAAATTATGGTATCGTAAGCATAAAACACACACTTTCATCGATGACATCCCTAATATATACGATATCATTACTGTTTATTGTGTGTGTATGATGCGTATGTTCTATGTTTACACACAGACATGCTACATGAAAATCAGACGAAGCTGGGCGAAGAGCTGATGGAGTTCCGTAGAGATACCACCCTGCTAAGCGTGAGTCAGAATCTTTATCAGAGTATTTATTTAGACGGGAAGAATCCAATGAGCGATGAAGCTCTTTTTCACAGATGTCCAGTAGCACACAAAATGACAGCCATAGCCAATTCAGGTACGCAGAGTCCATAGTCCAGTGACCTCTTTTTAGCCACGTTCAAGGCCATTGACATGGGCAGCCTCTTTTGCAAGGTAGACTTGGGTTTAAATTAGGATCGCAAAACAACGTAGACTCGCAGCCCTGGCGGATTTAATTAGTCTCGCATATCTCTGTGGTCTGTAACCTCTTGCCCCTAAAAAGACAAAATTCCTCTGTAAAGCTTTAACAAACTGTTGGCAAGTGGTGTTAGCGGGCACTTATGAAGGCCGGCACGTCACAAGAGTGACGTGCCGGCCTTCATCGCACTGGGTACTTTATTTCAGGCTAAGTCAACCTTGGAGAGAACCATGACCGGTTTTTCACTGGTGTTGGCCGTGAGCGGGAATCGAACTCAGGTTGCCGGGTTCGTAGCGCAGTGCGCTAACCGCTAGACTACCGCTCCCAGCTCCAGAGCCACTTGCTACCATTCCTGGCTTATGAGGTCATTTATTGAATTAGTAAGTGCTGGTTGTGTTGCGTTCTTTTAGGGACCATGTTCACAGCTCTCTCCGCTTATATATTTTTTTCTTCCGCAGGATGAGATGTCTCACATCAACGATCGGCTCAACATGGGCGTCCTGGGATGTACGTGCTTCCACAATAAACGCGCAACACTGTCTATCCGTGTTAGGAATGTACACAATACGAGCATTGTGACCGCGCCTCCGATTAGCACGGTCGGCTATGTAAGGTGCGAACGAAGTTCTGCGTACATGCGTACGTAACTGCGTGTTTGGACGGTGACATCCCATCGCATGTAAAGACCGTGAGAGCGATTGACACATCTTGGAGGTGTCTGGGTGGATCGGGGGGGGGGGGGGGGGGGGCGAATAGCATAGCAGAGGCACTGATTTGTAATGGTTGAGATGTCAGGATTTAATCTGGGGTTTGATCCCGACTGGATTTAACCTCTGTTCTCAAGTCTAGCGAGTTGATGGTCTTAGCCCAGTAACCAACGACTGCACACAAAAAAATAATCGCGTTAAATTCCAACGCTGAAGACTAAATAACACCACCTTAAAAGAAAATAACATTCCATGATGTAATATTCTTTTTGTACTGCTTTGCAACGGATATCTCTATTTATTGCAGTCAGGGAATGAGGGAGAATGTATCACCGTTAATGTGGATAAGAGGTCACTTGAAGGGATCTCAGAAATAGTTCTGTGATTGCACCTTTTGCGGACCATTCATGGTTGTGGAGTGCTGCTCTGGGAGATTTCGGAATTGGATTTTTTTTCTCTCCATCTCATGATATGGTGCTGATAGCACAATTGGAATACGATTTTGAAAAATATACGAAAAATGTATTATTCATACGTTCACGACATTCCCCATGTGAATATCAACGACTTTTTTTTATCAGCTCAATTTGCAAACACGTCAGTTTAACACGTTAACTTTCGTGACCGATATCCATAATATAGGTTTTTTTTGGATGAGATCGCCTAAATATAAATGTGTCTGGCTATCTCCTGATCATGCTAGTTGTTATTACTGGCAAAACGTCATACTCCGATTGTTATTGTTGTGGATTTGGTCTCCAACACACCACTGTGCTATCCTAGGACGAATTGGCATGTTCTGTTTATGTGACAAACCTTACTAATTGGCTGTGTTGGGTGGTGGCAGTTTTAACGACACATTATTATTTATACGATCTAACCCAAATAAGACCTCTTATGGTTGCAAACACGTATTGTTTAAAATATATATGTAGGAGGCATTATCTTTTGGTCATCTTATCTTGTCTGAGAAGGAGGAGACCTGCTGTTGGACAGTTATGACCGCCTTCTGCAGAGGAGCTCTTACTCATGATGTAATCTCTGGTGTGCAGCTTATGATCCCCAGCAGATCTTCAAATGCAAGGGCACCTTCGTGGGCCACCAGGGACCCGTGTGGTGCCTTTGTGTGCACGTCGGAGGGGACCTGCTGTTCAGCGGATCGTCCGACAAGACCATCAAGGTGTGTGGTAGTGCAAGTGTCTGCTTGAGCGAGTGTTTAGTTGGAGCAAGTGTTCTTTTTCTGGAACGAGTGTCTGCTTGAGCGAGTGTTTAGTTGGAGCGAGTGTCTGCTTGAGCGAGTGTTTAGTTGGAGCGAGTGTCCTTTTTCTGGAGCGGGTGTTTGCTGGAGTGAGTGTTGGTTGGAGCCAGTGTCTGCTCGAGCGAGTGTTAAGTTGGACCGAATGTCTTGGAGCGAGTGTCTGCTGGAGCGGATGTTGCTTGGAGCGAGTGTCTGTTTGAGTGAGTATTTAGTTGGAGCGAGTGTCTGCTGGAGCGAGTGTTTAGTTGGAGCGAGTGTTCTTTTTCTGGAGCGAGTGTCTGCTGGAGTGGATGTTTGCTGGAGTGAGTATTAGTTGGAGCGAGTGTTCTTTTTCTGGAGCGAATGTTTGCTGGAGTGAGTGTTGGTTGGAGCGAGTGTCTGCTGGAGCGAGTGTTTAGTTGGAGCGAATGTCTTGGAGCGAGTGTCTGCTGGAGCGGATGTTGCTTGGAGCAAGTGTCTGCTTGAGCGAGTACTTAGTTGGAGCGAGTGTCTGCTGGAGCGAGCGTTTGCTGGAGTGGGTGTGTCATGGCGGTTGACGAAGTTCATTGCGAGGAGGTGTATTGTTACTTTGTTGCTCGTTGGGCACTGCTGTCTGTCTGTCGCTAAGGTGTGGGACACGTGCACTACTTATAAGTGCCAGAAGACATTGGAAGGGCATGACGGCATCGTGCTGGCTCTGTGCATACAGGGGTGAGTGAAATCACCGAGGCTTCAACACAGCAGAGGGACGTGTGTCTGTACACATGTACACGCACAGTGGTGCTTCAATAAAAACCTAACTGAAAACACAAACAGCTCTTAACTCGTAGACTGTAGAAATGGTATCTGCTTGAGGGCATACAATTCAACACATTTGTCAATAACGCTGTGGCTGTAAAAAAGAAAAGGTATTTAATAGAAGACATTTCGGGCAATGGCCCTTAAGAAAAAATGAGAGGGCTACTGGCCAAAAACGTCGCAGTTTATATACTTTTGTTTAAGGCCACAAATCAGATGGACTACATTCGACAGCGCACCACGAGTTTGAAAACATTTAATGAGTTTGTTGATTTACTTGCTGTGACGATGGGCTATTACCAGGAATGTCACCTGCTATACATATGTTTGTTGTTGTAAGGCCACGGTGTGCTATTGATGAATGTGTTGTTAATTCTGCTTGTGCCACCACTGCCAATGCAGCGGCAGCATCGCCAAATAATTTGTTTGTAAAGGAATGCACAACAGGCATTCGCAGCTTGCTCCCCCCCCCCCCCCCCCCGGCTCTCAGCGCTCCTCCTAACTCGAGGGTAGACAATCTTTCTAGTGCCCCTCATACCCAGCCTGGCGTGCCCCTTCCTGTCGCGACAACGAGTTTGCAGCGTTGATTCATGACATAAAAGGCTTTGAAAACGGCGGTCAGGCTCTTCGCCGTAATAATTTTAGTGCCGCGGGGGCTTGGTCATGTCAGCCAGAAACACCATGACACCTCCAGTCGCGTGCTTGAAAGTAACTTATTTTTCTTCCCCCCTTCATAGGTGCTGCTCACTTAGCTGCACACTTGCCCCCGACAGTCTGTTGAAGGCTATACAGGGGGGGGGGGGGGAGGCGTCTTTGTCTTTGTTGGTGCTGTGGTGGTCGAGGCACCTCAATGGAGCCGCTGTAGAGGTGGTTTCTACGAGGCCACCAGCGCCCGCACCCAGTGGTCAAGCCCTGCCAACTCCTCCTCGAGGTTGAGCTGCACAACCGTCGGCGACGTCCCACACTTTTGGCGGGCATTCGGGGCGAGGGGCGGGGGGGGTTCAAAAGACTTTGGTTATTACCGCAGCCGCTCCGAGATCGCAACTTTAAAGTGTTGCGCAAGCCGCAGGCTCGCGTCGTCGGGCAGCCGAGAGAGGGTGCAGCCACGCGGTGGGGCGTCGTTTGTTTTGCTGGATTGCATCTCGGCCAGGACGTGGCGGCCCTATTTTTAGCGTCACTGAAAAGCTGCTGCCATGCAAAAGCTGTTGCCATGCGGCGCGTTAGACACAGAACGACACTGCCTCCACCGCATAGCTTCATGCTATGCCCAGCTGTTCGGTACATTCCTCTGTTGGATGGAAAGTGTACGGTTTCACGGTTATTTTGTCCATCGCGGGATGTAACACGCAGACGCACGCACGCATACACAGGTGGACATAAACACATATGCACGCGTACGTACTTGCTCATGCAAGCACACGCACGTACACAGGTGCGTACGCACACACGTGCTCTCGCGTGAACCTGCAAAGGCTTGCTAATGCAAGCATGCACGCGAACATGCATACAGTTATGTTCACAAGCAAATGCTCATCTGCACAGCCTCAAGACAAAGGTCCCCTGTATAACCTTAACAGACTCTTGGGGCAAGTGCAGTTAGCGAGCAGCTATGAAGGACGGCACGGCACACGAGGGGGCGGGTGGGCAGCACCACGCCCGACCGCCTTTGTCTCCTTTGTGGTGATGTTTACACACCGTACCAGATACTCATTTGAGGTTGAGTCGACTTAGGGGATGCCCAGAACCGGTTCAGATAATTGTCATTGCTGTTGGCAGTGAGCGGGAATCGCATGCACACATTCTCACATACACACGTATACCCACACCAGTAAACACACAAAACAAAGACAAAGATTCCTCATAGCCTGAACAGACCGTCGGTGCAAAGGGCAAGTGCTGTTAGCGAGCGCCTAAATAAACAAAGACAAATATCCCCTGTATAGCCTTAACAGACTGTAGGGGCAAGTGCTGTTAGCGAGCACCTACATAAACGCACACATGCGAGCGTACATAAGCAGACGTGCAAACACCCTACACACTAACGCACGCTTTGCTTTCTCTTTCAGGAACAAGCTCTACAGCGGATCTGCTGACTACAACATAATAGTAAGTCCGGCTGCAGTGCAAGTGTGATGTAGGCCGGCACCCCGCGAGACGAGACATGTCCATGCCTACAGGGGACGTGAGTGGGGGCAATGGGCAGGAGTGGCGATCCCTGTGTCTGTCTTTGTTGCTCCGTCTCTCGTGGTGTCTCTATGCCTCTCCATGCAACTCACTCTGTTCCGCTTGTACATGTCTGTTTCTCTCTGTGTATCTCTGTTTATTTGTGCCCGTGTGGTTACGGTTAAGGAGTGGTTGGGTCGGTGTGCAGCTAGTCTTGCTCATTGCCAGCGCTAACGATTGGTCACGTTCCCTTATGTGCGTTGTGAGTAGGATTTAGGGTTAGTGGTTATGCTTAGGCATTTGAGGAATCTTTGGGATTAGGGTTATGGTTACGCTTAGGGATTTATTTTAGGTGTAGAGTGATGGGTACGCTTACTGTTTTGGTTAGCCTTAGGAGTTCAGGTGCGTTTTATGGTTATTGTTAGCCTTTAAGTCATGATGAAGCTTAGGATTAAGATAAAACTACGAGTTAGCAATCAGGATCATCCGGTTTCCACATCGCACGCACGACCGAGGCCGTTAATGAGCTAGAATGCGGATTGGGCGAGCCGCCGCGGTTTGACGCGTTTGCCGTGTGCTCCGTGCGGCCAAGGTGTGGGACATCCCGACGCTGCAGAAGGTGAGCATGATGCGAGCTCACCACAACCCTGTGTGCACGCTGGTCGCCGCCAACGGCATGCTGTTCAGCGGCTCGCTCAAGGCCATTCGGGTGAGCGCCCCCCCCTCCCCCCCCCCCCATCGCACGCGCCTCTGCACCTCCACCTGGCACCGGGAACGGACGATTTGTGATGACAGCACGCACGTTGGGGCACATTCCCCCCCCCTTTACGTTTACCGACTATCGACCACGCACAGGGCGGGCGTGGTCTCGGAGCGGCTGTGGTAAACAAAGTCCTTTGACCGCCCCCCCTTCCCCCCCCCCCCTGAATGCCCGCCAAAGGTGTGGGATATCGACGGTGTGCAGCTCAACCTCAAGAAGGAGCTGGCAGGGCTCAACCACTGGGTACGGGCGCTCGTGGCCTCGCAGAACCACCTCTACAGCGGCTCCTACCAGACCATCAAGGTGCCTCTACCACCACCGCCACCAACACCACCGCCACCATCACCGCCACTATCAACGCTACCATTGCCTCCACCATTACCACTGCAGCTTCTACAGTGGCTCTTATGAGACCTTCGAGGTTATTCCACCACCAACACCACCGTCATTACCACCACCATCATCATTACCACCTTCTACAGTGGCTCCTACCAGACTGCCACCATAACCACCACCACCACAACCATCACCACTGCCATGACTACAATCACCACCACGACTATAGACATTGAAAACGAGATTTGCATTTGTTATTATAATTTTCAGGGATGTAATGATTACATACACCTACGATTTTAGAATATTCAAATCTCAAACGTGCAGTTAGATGCATGAATCTTAAGAAAAATAAAAAATAAATATTTGAGCAAACCATTTTGGCCTTGTTATGGTCGAGGGGGCCAAGTCGTGGATGTGGTGGGCGTGAGGTTTGTGACTGCGGTGTTCCAAGTGAGTTGGCATCGGGCCCAGTGCGTCGCGTAACAATCACCTGAGCTGAGTGCGTGCGTCGTGATGTGACTGCTCGCTCGTTGCGTTTGTTCAAAGATCTGGGACATCCGCACGCTGGAGTGCGCGCACGTGCTCGAAACCTCGGGCGGCAGCGTCTACTCCATCGCCGTCACCTCGCACCACATCGTGTGCGGCACCTACGAGAACGTCATCCACGTGCGTCCACCCTCGAGGCTCGCCCGCCTACTTACCCGCTCGCCCACCTACCCGCTCGCCCACCTAGCCGCTCGCAAACCTGCCCTCAATTCCTTAGTGACCAAAATGGTTTCAGCCTCGCCTGTCTGCCCATGCGCCCGCTCACCCACCCACCCACCCGATTTCCTATTTGTGCACAGATCTGCTTGCCCACTCACTCACCCGCAGCCCTGTTGTCATAGCTACCTACTTGCCCACCTACTTGAACAGCTCGCCCACCCACTCACCCACTCGCCGACCAGTCTACTCACGCGCCGACCCAAGCGTTCGTTGGCTCAGACGCCCACCTGCTCAGCCACCAAGTTGGCTGGCTCGCCCACCAACACGCTCAACGACCCCCACCCACTTTTGGGGGGAGACAACTGAGGCTGGGCACGACGACGGCTAACAAAGCCCCCCTCGGTGTGCCCTGCGGGCCTGAACAGGTGCTCGCCAACAGCACCTGCCCCCGCAGGTCTACGTAAGCTTACACGCCGTGGGGGGGACCTTTGTCTTTGTGTGCTCATGCCGCGATGCAGGTGTGGGACCTGGAGCGGAAGGAGTGCATCCGCACCCTGACGGGGCACGTGGGCACCGTGTACGACCTGGCCGTCATCTCCACGCCCGACCAGACCAAAGTGTTCAGCGCCTCCTACGACCGCTCGCTCAGGGTGGGTGGCGGGCGGAGGCAGCGGCGTCAACGGCGTTAGCGGCTGTGGTGGCAGTGGTTACCTTCGGTGCCAGCGCATGGCCAAAGCTGTAGAGGACGCGAGAGCAGTGGCGTAGCGATCGAGCGGGCAGGCGTTGGCGACTGCACCGGGGCCCAGCGGGCCACAGGGGCCAGAGTGCTCGGCTTATCAAATTGGGGGCAAAATTGGACAGGTTGGGGGGGGTCCCTCCGTTTCGTTCGTTGCGCCATGACCCACGACGCCAACGCCGCGTCGCTGATGTGCTAACGTTACATTTGGGCTGACGGAGTGAACAAGACTGTGGCAGGATCAAAAACATGAGACAAATACATTTCTGGATGTCACTGTGAGGCTGGGTGTCACTGCTAGGCTGGGTGTCACTGTGAGGCTGGGTGTCACTGTTAGGCTGGGTGTCACTGTTAGGCTGGGTGTCATTGGTATACTGGGTCTCACAGTTTATTGTGAGTCCATTTGTGCATGCATCTCGTGGCTCCACTCCACGTGGTGTGTGCACATAGGTGACGAATATCTGAGCCGTTGCTGGGCCTCCCCTATATTGACTAAGCCTTAAATGAGTACTCGGTGCGATGTGTAAACATCACCACTGGAGAGACAAAGGCGGCCGGGCGTGCCGCTGACCACCCCCCACCCCCTTCGTGTGCTGTGCCGGCTTTCATAGGTGCTCGCTAACGGCACTGACCCCAACAGTCTGTTGAGGCTAAACGTGGGGGTGACCTTTGTCTTTGTGTGCATGTGCAGGTGTGGAGCATGGACAACATGATCTGCACGCAGACGCTGGTGCGGCACCAGGGCAGCGTGACGGCGCTCGCCGTGTCCCGTGGACGCCTCTTCTCCGGCGCCGTCGACAGCACCGTGAAGGTAGAGGCCAGTGGAGGGTTGGTGGGCGGGTGCAGGGCATTACAGGGGGGGGGGGCGGGGGGGTGGGTGCGGCACAGAAGGGCGGCCATCCCATTGTCGTTCATTGACTCATCCTTCAGTTTACTCACTTCATCGTTCAATTAAGCATTCGTTCATTCACTCGTTGCCACAAAGTGCGTTAAATGAAGACCCCGTTTATGAAAACGGTGCCGCACTTGCCGGTGGTCGATTCAGCCCATCGCGTCTCTGGAGTGAGTAACATTTCTACCGTTTCGCAGCGACGGTGGTTGCCTTGGGTGGGGAGACTAGCCTTCGCCCTGTGTAGTTCGGAATTCCCGCTGCTGGCCGTGATCCTCGCCGGCCCTTTGTATGCGCGGCCGTGGGCGAGAAGCAGACTAATTATTAATTGGCGTGTCGCCTACGTTGTCTCTCCATTCACAGGTGTGGACTTCCTAATTACGTCACATGCTGGTCACGAGACGTCGCATCGCGCCTCGGGCGAAGTGGCCGCCAGACACCGCTCCAACCGCGCAAGCTGCGTTACGGCGCCGAAGAGTTAAACTGGACGTCGACGATGTAGTCTGTAAATATGCTGATGTCGTAACGTGACGGTTGGTTGGCGCAGCGTCTAAGAAGGGCGTGAAACGGGGGCCTCCTGTTCTGCAGCTCCTGTGTGACTTTCAGCGTTTGCCAATCTTCGTCAGGAACGCACGAAAGTTGCGCGTACGCGCATGCGCAAGGATCGCGAACTGAATTCGTACAGACATCACCACGTGTCGGATATTCCATTAATATCGACACTTCACGACGATACGTGCATTGAATCGCATAGAATCGTACATGTGATGGGTTCACCTAACTCTTGCAGCCACATTCACCAAAACGTTAAAATAATCTGTTCTTGAATCGAATTGCAGCCGTGCTTCGCGGCAAATTTTATTAGCACTCCCTGTATACATGAGGCCAACACGTGTACAATCGGGGATCGATATCTAAATTTTGAATTGGCGCTCTCTGCGTCATGTGGGACAGGCTTTACCAATCCTTGGGCACACAACTGAATTTGTAACAACCTCATTGCATATAACGAGCACATTTATATTTGAACTGAAGATTGGTAAAAGTGGTAAGGCCCGCACCCATTGTGGGTAGTGAGTACTGGAGTTTATGAGAATCTAGGCTCAGAAAGACAAAAAAAACACGATGACCTGCAGCTTGAGTAATGAGGAAAAGACTGCAGTGACAATCAAGAGCATGAATTGACATACTGAGAAGTATACAACTGACACTGCAGTCACATCACGAGACTTTAAATGCTTTTATTCTCATTTACGACCTCGGATCGGAAGAGGTGGCTTGTAATTTGGGACATTGTGAGAATTTATATTCTTAGCTCTTTCGGTAAAATCACGTTGAAGGGAAACAATAAAATAAATATAAAAAATAAAAATTATTACGACGTTTCGACCATAACACAAACGGTCATCATCATTATTTTATTGTTTCCCTTCAACGTGACTTTACCGAAAGAGCTAAGAATATGAATTACTGCAGTCACGAAAGCTTTAAATCAAAATTGTGAGAATTTGTTTTGCGTGAATGGGTTCGACTAAATTTTCTTAGATTTTTATTTTCGTTTGAAAAGGGATATTTGCATCGTCAGATTTGTTAGCATTGCCGCCGATTGTATCGCCAACATCATGAGCATCACCGGCATCTTTATTGTCAGTCATCATCATTATTGTTATCAAGTGCATCAAAAGCATCAATCAATCATCAGAATCCCAGGGTAGATGAAATATGTACCACCCTGTGAAGCTAAACCTCTTGGTGATGAGGAAGTAATCAGTCACCTCTGTATTGCATAGAAGTACGGATAATTTGCGCAAAAAAATACCATTGCTGTACCGTACTGTGCTCGGATGACTGCACTTCCCACATTCACCGACCCGCACTGACCAGCATGGTGAAGTATGGTCAACCAACCCGCACAACTTGCGCGGTGTGGGGGGAGGAGTTCCTCCAGCAGTGGTGTAGGCAACAGGGGCTGTACATGCACACGCTGTCGACTGCCTAAACGCAACCGCATCTTAGCGTTGCAAAATATTGTGCCTAAGCGTGTGCAAGCGGCGGAAGTATGCATCCAAAAGAATCGATGAACGTCGACTCTTGAACTCGCGGTGTGTGTAAGAATGGCGTGTGTAAGAAACTTTTTTTGTTTAAGTTTTTATGATACCTGCAGTGGGTTCTTGTCAGCGCTGCAGCCTCTAGTGGCCACCGCATTCACTACGACGTGAACATAGAAGCGACCCTTGAATCAAATCGTGATCTTTAATCGCAACATGTAAACACTCGTTAATTGGCCAATAACACCTACATACATATAGGATCGCAGCACTTGTACGCACGTGTTCAACATCTTTAGCAATTGTTGGCGCGACGGCTCTTCGAGTGGCTTGTCGATGATTCCTCGCACCTCTGCGTCGTTCCCCCCACCTCTGCGTCGTTCCCCCCCTGTTCGAGTGAGCACATACTGTGCGCGTCACAAGTTATTTACTCATTGTTTCTCTTGGCGGGCTCAGAGGTGGATCGTTCCGCTTGTGGCTTGCCCCAGGCACGTGACATCTTCACCGCTGTCTCAGGACTATGTAACGCTCAGACAATGGCTCCGCAAGAGGCCGTTGGCATTGGTACGGACTGCCACTCAACATTTGTTTCGGTGGTTGCCACATGTTGCATTTGACATGGTATCAGGCCAGGTTCGCGCTGGGGTTTAGAATGTTTGACTGTCAATTTGGTTGCCAGTTCAAATCCCCGACGGTAGGTTACCGTTAAACCTGTCATAATCGCCATCATTGATACGGTTGATAAAATAGGTACCCCCGATGTGGGTTGCCCACTGGCTCCCACCATGGGAATATGGAATGTACTTTGACATTGGGTTGTTGAACCGTCGTAGAGACGATCGCTATAGCTACCACGCTATTAAAACACGCTTTGGCTGTGAAGTGAAAATGTGATGGCAGTACAGCCGTGCGGGTTCACGAACCTGTCTGTTCGGACCTTTGTTGAGTACTACCCGTCGTAGGCTTTGTAGGTTTTCTCCACACTCGCATGTTTCACTTATCCCATATTGGTACAACACACCTGTTACATCTAGATTGAAAACACATTTCTTTAGAACTGTTTTTTGTGTTCAGTTTGTTGTCCTCCCCCACCTACGATTAGCACGGTTGGCTACGTACGGTGCGAAAGAAGTTCAACGTGCACACCTTAAAACGGAAACTGTTCCAAACAAACAAAAAAAAAGGGCTCTTGGGACTCTGTGAAGCTTTGGTGGATAGGTATATTGCAATTGTTATTATGGACTGGTCTGTGACAGGAGGCCAGTGCTGCTTGCCGTACGCTGCGGCTGTTCACGGTGTCACAGAGTCCCCCATAGGTCACCGTGGCCCCCAGCCCATGCCTTGCGTCGTGTATTTTTGAAACTCCTTTTGACATTTTATATACACGTCACGAAAAGCACTGTTTGCTGCACAGCTATGAAATAAAATAAAAATTGCAAGTGCCAAATGGAATGTACTTAGCTGCTAAAGATTGCCGCTTAAATTATATTTTTTAAGATTAAAAACGGATAAAGATGTTTTTTTTTTAAATCGGATAAATGAACGTTTTAATCTGGATAAGGTTAACTTAAGGAAAACTGATGGTGACACAGTTCCGTGTGCGTTTTGGCCAAATTGACCGGTTAACTGCTGTGCTGGAAACAGAGTTGAACCAAATGTATTTAATAAGAGTCCTTCGTAAGTAGTGTCATTATTTTATTCCTCTTGGCAACCTCGTAAAAAAATGTGTTTTTCGAAAGACTTTATTATATGCTGACGCATTTTACGAATACAGGGTTTCTTCACTGCGGCGGCGACGTCATCGTCTTTGTCGACTGCTGTTCTCGTGTTCGCATGGCGTCGTTTACAATGTGGATGGAAACGCGTGAGTGCCGGATGAGCCCCCCACAACCAACACGGCGTGGGGGGGGGGGGGGGTAGGGCTCATCCAGCAGTGGATTGACACGGATGTCAACTATTCACATCGCGCCTTGAGACGCGCTTATATTAAGGGCTTTTTAAAAAAATCTCTTGAATCCTTTGTTTTGGGGTTGCATTGCATTTGCTGTGAACCTGCGTGTGCTGTACAGCGACTTGTGATCTCTGGGTGAAAGGCGGTTGAGAAGTATCCTTTCTTTTTAATTACTATTACTACTCTCCCCACGTACCTGCAAAGCCAATACTTGGGGATAGAATGGCACTGGGTTTTGCTATTCACCACTTTATTTGAACTGCCATTTATTTCAGTAAAAATGTTGTTTGGGAAAATCAATGGGACAGATACAATGTATACATGCGGCATTTTTGGAGGGATTGACAAAGCTCCCCCGCCGCAGTGTAGCGCTCAGAGACATGACAAGCATTTCTGGAATCCTTTACATAATCTTGAGCCAATGCATTCCGGAGTCCGCACACGGTGAAAACAATTTTATTTCCAAGTAAAGCTACACGTGACGAAATTGTTATTCAATTAATGCGGAGAGAGAAAAAGACAATCGGGAAACGTTAACGCTTTCGAATCGACTTAATTTTCACGTTAGAAGGGAGGAGGAGGAGGTAGAGTTGACGTCTGTGCTCAGCGATTGTTTTTGACTGTGGATGTCACAGTTTAAAAAAACTGCATTCAGATTTCCTTTCCTTTTGCCAAGGGCTGTTTGCGAGTCTTGATCGCGGGCGGCGGCAGTCTCGTCAAGAACATTTACGTACATCGCAGAGTTAATGAAAGGCAACGGTTAAGAGAGGGGTATGCGGCTGAAGTAGATTCGGATAAAATATCTTGGGCATATACAGATTCCCCGTTGGACCGTTTGCTTAATCGTTCTACAATTGTGATTTGACTACAAAATATACCCGCGATTACATTGAAAATCTGCGGCTGCTATGCACAATTAACATCGATTCTACGCGCACCAGCCGTAGTGCTGGTCAGGAGAGGGTTCTCGAGGGGGCCGAGTTCCCCCAGGGTCTACATTCTCGTAATAGTGAAATAAATGTCGGTACCAAAACAAGGTTTTGGTACCGACGAGCGTCAACGCCTTCACTCTTATGCATCAGTGGGGGGGAAGTAAGTGCAGCGGAACACGCGATGGACAAGGACAGTACACCGTTACTCATGCTTTTTAACAAATAACATGTTTAGAGTTTAACAGTGGCTGTGTTCTGGCCCCCCCCTCCCCACAGTTAACAAGGTCACATAGCTGACGCAGAGTATTTTAATTGGCACATTATCTAATTAAGTGTCGGCGCTTCATGCGTGAATCTAGTCAGTGCTCAGAAGTACAACGGAATCGATTTACAATATTTCGAAAAGTTTTACAAAATTAACATCCCATTTGTTTTGGCTGCAGAAGATGCCCACGTGTAATCTGCAGTGATCGCAGGCAGCAGCTGGTGAAGCTACGGACCAATAGGAACGGTGGGGGTGGCCCTGAGCAAGTCCCAAATCCCACACGAAACTTTTTTTTGGGGTATCTCCACAGTTTATCTAATATCACTACAGCATTATGTACATATCACTCACTATAGCGTTGCCCAGTGCGTTTAAAACAGTGGACTCTGGGGCTTAACAGCCCATTGCATTCATTGTGACCCTGGTTATGAATTCGGTTTGTGTCTTAATGACTTTTCGTGGAGTCGTCTGGAATGGAAGTTCGCAACATTCTAACATTTTCATGGGTTGAGAGCAGGTCGGTGCGCTATCAGGGAATGCAATGCAGGTTGTACCAGTGGGAACTCGGGTTGTTGGAACGAAAGCAGCTGTTGGAACAAAAAACGGAGTAAGTGTTTTCCCCTCCTGCTAGCCGCCCCCACAGTACAACGTACATGTGGTCTGACCCTTCGGGCCTGAGCGGGAGTGTTGTTAGCAAAAAGGCCATCCACGAGCTGGCACCAGAGAAATACTGGGCCATTCGGCGGGGCTATCAAGTGGGATGTCATATTGGCTGTCGCACAATGTTCTAGGCCGTCACGTGGTATAACACATTGATATGTGGTGGGCTATGATGAGATGTCTTGGGACTATTACATGGGTTGTCACATCTAATAACTCATATGTCATGGACCGTTATGAGGTGCCATAGGCTCTCACATGGGCTGTCGAGGACTGTCCACGTACTGTTGCGTGTGGGCTATCGATTTTTAACGGGCTCTCAAATGGCCAGGCAGAGGCTGTCGTGGGATATCCTGTGCTCTCACGTGGACCGTCTCGTGGTGTGTCACATGTGGCCGCCACAGCTGCTGCTAGCGCTGTCGCGGGGCTGTCGCTCCGAGGAAGCGCCGGCAGCGAGGTCAGGCGCCGCCTCAGCTCCGTGGCCCCATCATGGTTTCCATGTGCATGCTCATGTTGTGGCACATCTCCAACGCCTACGGGCACACGGAACCGAAAGCGGGCACGTCAGCGGGGGTGGAGAAAGAATAACAACCCAATAAGAAGGGGCCTGGGTTCGATCCCTGACTCGGGTGCCTTTCTCCGTGGAGTTTGTAAGTTATCTTCCCCTGTTCCGCATGGGTTGACATTGCGTTCTCAGTTTTACTCCCATAGTTAAAAAAACAATGGTAGTGGTATTGACCAAACATCCCAATGCTGCAAAATATTTCGACAAGGTACTCGCTTGGGGCTTTACATATAAGCAACATCACCCACTCATGCGAAAACTTGGCAGGACCCTCCTGAAAAGGTGTCTTGACATGGTGAGACTTTCCTGGATTGCCGAGCGCTATAACGACACTGTACAGGCCAGCCCGTGGTGTCACCACCACCACTTCAGTGGCAAATGGCAAAATCTCTTCCTCCCAGGTAAGAGGTGTCCGAGGAAGGTGATATCACCGAACCACTTCTGAAATCCCTTTAATTGACCTATTTTTACCCACACTAGGGGAGCAATTGCCTACACACACTGCACCAAACTTTTTTTTTCTCAAAACTTATTTAACACTTTTTACACGATTATTGTTTTTTCTTTGCAGACAAAGAACTGAGAACAACTCGCTAAACTTGTGAATCCAATATAATCACAGACAGCTGCTCGCAATTGCACCCAGGAACGTCCAGCAGTGGGTGCAAGCTCCGTGCTGTTACCTCCTGAGCCACTCGGGCCCCCTCGTGAACGCTTTTGCACAGTCACTTTGCGGATTGGACAAACGATGAAACATAGCTTCGTAATTCCATGAGGAACGAATGTGGACAAGTCACGGGCACAGCAGGGAGAGCGGCTGTGACGATTGACAGCCTCGCCAGGGGCGGCTGTGGCCATACCCTGAGCGCCGAGACCCCCCCTGGGTTTCGGTGCCGTAGATTCTTGAGTGCGTGTCACGAGACCACCACGTTGAATGTACAATGCTCTCAGCCTTGTCTTGACCGCCAACTCGAAGGCTCGTGCAACGCGGCGGCCAGCCACGTGACGCCACGCGACGCCACGCCACGTGACGCCTCGTGACGCCACGCGTGTGACGGGAGTCGTGCCTTGCCACTGGTTTGTGACCAGCGCGCGCCTTTGTGCGCCCGCAGCCACTACTCGTGAACCACCCGCACGTGTGTTCCCATCGTGTCCGGTTACGAATGGCTGTCGGCTCCGCGGTTGGCCCTTACATGCTGGACATCCAAGACGGTCGTCTTGCGGGAGCTCTGGTTCCCCGATATGATCTCGAGCTGCGGACTCATGGACTTGGTCGGCGGCAGGGCCTTGACGGAGTTCATGTCTCGCAGGTGCATGATGTTGAAGGGCTCCTGGCGAAGCAAAAGAGGAGACAATCATCGTCTGCGGTCCTGCACAAACTCATGGCAGCGCTTGGGCCAAACTGACAAATACGTAGCAGCTAAAGGTGCAACGATGTAATGAATCGTTGACTGATATTGTTGTGCTTGCGATATACGTACTGAATCGTGCGTGTATGACAATTGATACTTGGGAGTCGTATATGCACCATGTAACAACGTGGTCACCTGACCCATTGCAGAGCCGCGCGAGACATAGCTTAAATTTTGAATGAAATCTAGAGGCGTTATGGAAGCAAATCTATCGAATCACGAAGCAGGCGACGGCAGTTTGGGGAGGAGGGGGGCGGGGGGCGTGGGGTTTAGGTTGGCGTGGGTAAATCATTGTACCTCGAACTATAGGAATATACTGACATCAAAGCATCAACCGGACACGAAAACGCAGCTGGAAGGTGTGGAGGGGATTAAGTAAATGTGACAACACCCCATAGCAGATGTTGCACGGCACTCTTGCCCCCTCCCCCGAAACACACGAGGCCACACGGCCATGCTACGCTGGCGCCGTGGCGGCCGAGGTCGCGTGTCGTGACCCAGGAGGGCACGCACCGCGTTCTCGATTTTGACGAATTGCAGCCCCTTGAGGTTCACGGCCCCCAGGCACGGGGGGATTCCGCTGCCCTTCACGTTGAAGAAGTTGGAGCCGAACAGGGGTAGGGTGCTCATCTTTTCTGCGGGCGGATGGCGAGCAGAGGGAGGAGCAGAAGGAGAGAGACGGGCGGGGGGGGACAAGCACTCGGTGTTGTTGGAGGGCCGAGTCGAAGAGAAGGCACGCAATAAGCGGTGCCACTTTTGGTCAAACTTCACACATGGCATTCACAATACTGGCTTTGGGATCACATTACGGTTTAAAACCTGCAAGCTATTATAGTGGGGGGGGGGGGGGGGGGCAGCAGCACTAACTTAAATGCTTTTTAGGAATTGATCCTTATGGCGGTACCCTGGGGTACCAAATAATACAAAATGGCCGAGGCAATTAAATATTTTATTTCTGGGACACTTTCCCAGGGGTGTACTTAACTCCACGACTTGGGTACCAATCAATCAGAAATCGGTGCTACTCCACGATGTCGAAACGCAGCGAGGACTATTGCGCTGAACCCCTGAACGCTTGTACGCACCACGATGGTGCATCGTGTACAGCTCGTCGAGATGAGTCGATTGCCGCATCGCCGACCATCGGACTAAAAATGACTGCATCACGGATATTATGCGAGAGCCGGATGTGCTATGGTACCCCGGGGTACCGCCATAAGGTTTAAATTGCTTAACTGATTGTTGGCACAGGAACGTACCGACACTTCTCATTGGATTCAGAAATCGTACCGGCTTTTGATACCTTTTCAAGATTGCCTGGATGGAGCCAGTATGGCTCGTCTAACATTCGTGACGCTACCTGGCCATTCACAACGTCGGACAAAAAAACCACAACGTAACCAGTCTTGTCTGGAGGAGGCTCGCTCGTCCTGCCTCGCGAAATCCGAGGATACCCTCTAGTCGAACGTAATCGGGAAGTTTCGCACCCACCCAGTCGAGTGAAATCTGGAGAATAACTTTCCACCAATGCAGCGTAACCTATAGGCTGCTTGCCTACACAGTCTCCTGTAAAGTGGCGGAGACTCGCCCTTCAGTCAAGTGCAATCCAGTGAACACTCGCTCACCTAGACGGTATCGTGAAATGTCGAGGAGACCCACTCGCCCACCCAGTCTAGTGTGATCTGTTAGTTGCTCACCCTCTGGTCTAGTGCCATCTGGAGGGATCTCCACTCACCTAGGAAGGTGGTCCGGGCCTGAAGGGCACTCATGCCGTGCACGTCATTGAGCTGCTGCGAGATGAGGCTCTGCCAGTTGGACAGAGACTGCAACCGGAACCAGATGGTTGGGATGTAGGACTCCATGTCCTTCCTGCAGGAGCGCAACATGCGGCCGTCAGCGACGAGCGATCGTGCCGACTCGGACGAGCCCCCGCTCCGACCGCGCAGGTGGCGGAGGGCAGGGGGGGGGGGGGGCACTCACTGGCTCGGGGGCTGCCGGTCCTCCTTGGCACGGTGTTGCAGCGCGGCCATGCGCGCCACCATGCTCAGATGCTGCTCCGTAGGCCGGCCCGAAGGCAGCGCCAGCAGGTGGCCCATCGTGAAGTCGCGGCGCACCTGGAGGCAGACAGTGGCACAACGACGCGGAACAGGGCGGTTGGCAAGGGCTGAAACGGGGTGAGGCCCCCACCCTTCTTCACTGCCCCCCCCACCCCTTCCCTATAGCCCCCCCCACCCTTCCTCATAACCCCGCCCCCAAGCTGCCCCATAGCCCCCCACCCTTCCTAATAACCCCACTACCCTTCCTAATAACCCCGCCCCCAACCTTCCCCATAGCCCCACCCATGGGCGAGCGTCCAGGCCTGTGAGCGTGTGGTGCGTGGCCGGGTCTCCCGCCACACCTGGTTGAAGTGCATCGTGATGTAGAGGCTGTTGGACAGCACCAGCGGCTGGCCCCAGACCACACGCTTGATCCAGAAGCTGAAGGCCGGGTCGATCTTCTCCGCCTCGGCCACCACGTCCATCACGTACTCGCGCTTGAGCAGCGGCTTCTTGAAGGAACCTGTCCGCGGGCCACGAGCGGAGCGGTTGAAGTCGGACGAGACAACCGATACTGACGACTGTTAAGGAGCCTAAAGGTTTGCTGGGGCGGCGCGCGTCGCTCAAGAGGGGCAAATGGATGGCTCCGGCAGTCGACGCCAACGACGAAGGGCGCCCGCGACAGAACGCTGCCCCCCGGCGAGAGGTGGCGAGGGCTTGGGGGGGGGGGGGTGGGGGGAGGCCTTCATCCAGCGGTGGAGTGATCGTGACCAATGACGTCCATTACGGATAAAAGGAGTAAAATGCGTGGATAATGACGAACAAAAGGATTCGTTTGTCGCCACCCCCACATCAAGTCGGATGGGATGAGCCGCGGGGGGTGTGGGGATCGGGGGGACTGGGGGGCGTTGGGGGGCATTGTGGGGACTTCTCACCGCTGTTGCACAGGGCGATGATGGCGTACTCTTGCGCCGCTTGAGGGTTGCTAAGCTCCATCTCCTTGCACAGCTCCATGAGCACGTCCAGGGCCACCTGCGTTCCACGACACCGACTCGCGGCTCACGGCCCAGCACCGCTTCCTCCGTGCCCACTGGCCCCATGCCCCCCCCCTCTAGCCGTGGTGGTAAAATCGTGCTCGGCCAGTTTAAACGGTAAAGGTGCAGCCCTGCAATTGCTTGCTTGCGCGCGCCACTGCTGGCATAAGGGGCCTCCGTTAAAGGAAGCTCCGGCGAGCCGCCACATCCCCCCTCCTCCTCTTCCACGCTGCCCTCGACGTCTTGACATAGGTGGGAGCGCGCACACTTCATGCCCCGCCACACGCGACCTGCAGTACGCGAGCCGGCGACCTCTGGCAGCTTCCCCCGCCGTGATGGCACCAGCAGCACCAGCAGCGCCAGCAGCACCAGCAGCACCAGCAGCACCAGCAGCACCAGCAGCACCAGCTCTGGCAGCGCCCCACAAAGACGTGGGGTGCCGCTCGCGCCCGACCGCTCACGAACACAGCACCAGCTCCTCATAGGCTTCGGCTTCAGCGCCTCCGGTAAATGGCGATGACAGATCTGGAGCGAACACCAATATTCCGAGGAGGCGCCTGATCGCCGATCCCACTGAAAAACCTGTGGGATTTAATGTCTCCCTCGGAAACCCTGTCAGTCTGTATGTGAGCCTATGGGTGTCTCTGTGGGTCTCTATGCAGGTTTGTGGGTCTCCGTGATAGCCAATAGGTCTCTGTGAATCTATGGGTCTCCACGGGAGCCCAGATAGTGAACCACTGAAGCAATCGTCCGCACATCAGCTAAAGCCACGTCCCCCGGCCATGTGACCTGGACGCCTACTCGTAAGTCGCCCTTCGTCCGGCCGTAGGCACAGGGAAGGGCCGCGTGCGTGAGGAGTGTTGCGGGGCTCACCGTTGAAGTCTTCACTTTGAAGAACCTGTCGATGCCACCGGGCAGGTTGAAGAGCTGCCTCTTTGAGTTCCTTCCCGACTGGAAAAGAAAACGCCGATCACCAACCACTCGGTTTGTGACGATGAACCCTAAAACCCCCACCGCTGCATCAAGATGACAAGATGATAAGACTCGAGCCGAATTAGCAATTGCGTCCAGACAAAACCATCTCGGCCCCATTAAAGAGGCATCAGGAAAACGGAACCACTCAGGTGAGACCCGAGTGGCCGGGGACTCTCGCAATCGCGATCCTCCCTCCTCCTCCTGAGCCGCCGTCGTCGTCGTCGTACCATCATGGCGACGAGCTCCACCTCGCTGGGCACGCTGCGCCGCCCGCCGCACAGCAGCGTCTGCTGGAGCTGCTCCTCGCACACCTTGGCCATTCCTGCGCGGGCACACGGGGGGCACACGAAGACGCACATGGGGATCACCACGGGCACTCGTGGGCACACGTGTGGCAACACGCGGGCACTCGTGGGCACACGTGTGGCAACACGCGGGCACGCAAAGGGCTGAGCAAAAAAAGACGACTATATGAAACGTATTCTTGGTTCTTTCGGTAAAGTCAGGTAGAAGGGAAACAATAAAATAATAAAAATATTATTTATTGTTTCCCTTCTAAAAATATAATATTTTGATTATTTTATTGTTTCCCTTCTATGTGACTTTACCGAAAGAACCAAGAATATGAATCCCTGCAGTCACGAAAGCTTTAAATCAAAATTGATATGAAACGTATTTACCCTGGCAGCTACCCCGGTCAGCTTCCTATCAAGCAAGCATTTGAAAGAGTTACATAATCCGTACAATGTGCGTGATGGCTTTCCCGACACCCCCACCAGGGACCTCGGCACAACCGACCGTGACGAGACGAGAGTAATGAGTCAATTAACAACGAAAGTAGTTTTTATTTAGCAGGTTAAGGTCCACTGAGCTGTATAGCTCCTTTTCAGAAGTGAACTTGGCTACAAATGAAAGCTCAACAAAGTGGCTTATCACATGGAAATGTATAGTAGCCAAACACTCCAAACGGGTGATGTTGATTCTACGATTCTAAATGTGGAAGGAAAAACCAGAGGACCAGGATATAAATCCACACGATCACGGGGAGAGGGAGAGAGACATGCAAACTCTAAATATGCAGGCGTCCGGATCTGGATCGAACCCACGACCTCCTGGATACCAGGCGAGGGAGTTCACATTTTGCCACTGCGGCGACCCCTTCCGGCAGGGTGCTGCACTGTCAATGGGGATCCATTGGCAGGGAGCGACCCCCCCCCCCCTGCCTCCCTGCTTCCCCCGCATGCATGACGGGCTTGCGGCGTACCTTGGAAGGGGGAGGGCTTGCTGGCCAGGCCGTGGAGATACGAGATCAAGTACGGCTTGAGGACGTCCGTGCACTTGAAGTACGGCGTGAGGATGTAGAGCAGCCGCCAGCCCTTCTGGGCGCTGTCCCTGCACGGACGCCCAAAGGGGGTCGTCACCGGCGGCAAACGACGACCGCGTTCGGACACTCCGATTAGCACGTACGGCGCGAAAGAAGTTCAACATACGTACAACATGCACGGGGCACTCTGTCAATCCAAACGAACAAGAATTATGAAATAACAAACTGTATTAAGTGACGATTCGATGCGTCGTTATCTATTTGCCCCCTACTTTTTGGGCACTTTTTTTTTCCCCCCGAAACGCTCCAACTCCTTTCGGTTTCCTCACGTCCGAGAGAGTCGGCGTTTCGCCCGTGCGAGGTGTCGCGCAAGGGGTTTGGGGACACGCGCGTCTCGGCGTGCGTGCGTGCGTGCGTCTTACGGCTTGTTGCTTTGGTTGTTGGTGACCTGCTTGATGACTTGGCAGTAGATCTCATCCTTCAACACGTCCTGATGCCCATACTGCCAGGGCACACAACGCACGCGCGCCACGTTAACCCAAGTCTGTGCGTGCACAACAACAGTAAATAGTCAAAATGCGCTTTATTTACCCGAGGAGGGGGGGGGGCAGCCTCTCCGAGATTGAAGAATACTTTTCAGGAGAATCCTGCCATTGCGATCTTTGGTCAATTCCATGAAGGAGTGAAAAGTCGGGTGCACGAGGAAGTTCGCACTCAACGCTCTGCACAGTTAAAACTCAACACGTTTGAAGGAGCACAACCCCGCAGTAGCAGCTGTCCCTGTGCGGCAACAACGTGACTCAGCACCTGGCCTGCAAGCGAGCATTAATCTGCCAGTAGGGGGGTGATGATTGCTGCTGCTGCGTGTAATCCAAAATGAATCCTTTGCGGTGTCATTTTCAAAAATTGTCAAATTTGTAGCCACGATGGCCAACTCTCGCGGACGACGTTCGGGGGGTTATTGGGCGACAATCGTGAGAGAGGCAGGCGGCCCGTAGTGGCATTCATTTTTTCCATTCCATTCCATCAAATTTTTGAGTAAAAACTCTCTCCCACGAAAGGGGCCATCGCAATACTTTACTGTATAAATTAAGCGAAGGTAGTCCTACCAATAAAATCAAGACGCACGTCAAAACATCTAAACGAGGGGAACACACTCGAAGAAAAAGGGCAGCCGCTGGATTCGAACCGGAGACCTCTGCAACAACGGCTGGGCAAAATGTGTCGCCGCAATGGCACGTCACTGTCCCGGTGATCGCGCAAAAACTCACCCGCAGCAGGCTGTACACACACTCCGCGTCGGATCCCTTGGGCGGCAAGTCTCCCATGAACCTCATGATGGCTGTGCGTGGGGTAGAGGTACACACGCACAGCGCAAGCTAAGCACACATCTCACCAACAGCGATAAAATGAAGCGCTGCGTGCGACACCAACGGAGCGACGACGCAACATGTTCTCATCGTGACGGCGTTATTTATTTTTGTTATATCTTTTTAAATGTTATGATGTATAGGACATTGTCAGTGCACTGCTGGATGAAGGGAGGTGCACAAAAGCGTGGATACGTTTTTTAAAATATATTTTTTTTTTATTGAGGCAATGTGCGGGCACGATTACTTAACGTTGGGACGCACGTTACACACCGTCAACATAAACGTGGGCACATTTTTTTCGAACTCAAGCCCTGGGTTTCCGTTCCGTTACCGGTCAACCACTCACTCTGAAAGGATTCCACCGCCTGCTTGTTGAGGTTGCTGTCCTTGATGTCGATGAGTGAATCCTGGATCGGGTTCTGCGGAACACGCACGGGGGATTTCCCTCGAGATTCATTTTCTAAAGTAGGGTGTTAAAATAAATAAAAAACCCACGAGGACGCAGAGAGCTACCGCCGGGTGTGTTCGCCGCAGCACATTTATTGGAAGTTTTTTTACGTCCTTCAGGGCTTTCATGCCGGTTCCAAGAGCGATGCTGGCCCGGCTGTAATCATGCAGGGGCAATTTATTTATAATGAATTTTAAACTCGGCATCGTGGTAATTGTTTTTTTCAAATTTCAGATTATGAGCAGCACTCGACAGATTGCAAACGACGCAGGTAACGAGTGCATCGTTCGTGAGGATATCTCATGTCAACAACATTAATAGAATTAACATCAGTCACTCATTTGGTGAGTCACTCACCTAGGGCTAAACAGAGATTCCTGCAGAAATTGCCCCCTTAAGGCCACACACCTCTTCCACCACCACCACCCTCCCTTTGGGCAGTCCTGGACTCACCCGTGACCTCCTCTGTGTGTCTGAGAAGGTACGGTGGGTGCGAGTCCTTTGGTGTGCGTGGCCTCACCCTGCTGAACACCACCATGTCTGCCGGAGACATGGACTCATGGCCCTTTCTGCTCTTCTTGTTGAAGGGCTTCCTGTGGGGGGTCAAAAGGTCACCCGAACAAATCCACAGCGAGTGAGCGTCTGGAGTCGGCCCTTTCAAAAGATGGAAGTTTCGAGTTTGTGGTGGCCACAGGTCCACCGGTTGTTCAATGGAAAATCTTGCACAGATCCAATCGTTATTATTACTACATTCCTGTCAACCCCTTATCAGTGCCTTACCTTATTACAGACCAATTCAGACCTTATTGGTCACCCCGTGCCCTTATAAATCTCAACTTTCATCCTAAAAGTCCCATCACAATGGAGAAACACAAACAAATAAAAAAACAATTGCCGGTATTGAAACGACTATGCCGTATGGACCTCAAAACTAAATTTCCCTGCACAAGAATACGGGTAAACCGTATGGGGTGACAAGTATGTTATTGTTGTTATGTTTACAATTTGTGTCAAGCCTACATTGTTTCTCACCCAAAATAGAATTCTCCCTCAGAATTATAATTGTACGTCGTGAATATTTAATAGAATGATGGAAACTGAAATCTTCTGGATACATTACTGGGCGTAATGGGGAAAACTCGGAGACATCTTTAAAGATTAGTATCAAGTGGAAGGTTAAAGAAACAGAGATGGGCAGACGAAGATGGACACGATAGTATTGCAAATGTAACCGGGAGGACAATCAAACCAATGTCAATAGCACAGAGAGTAGAGTAGCTTCACCACAGAGGTCACAAATACGCATGAGTAGAACGACTAACAGAGATGGGATTCGTAAATAAATAAGCACGGAGATTATAGAAATATTCCATACTTCACAACGTCCACGTGTTTAGCATTAATAAATAACGTCTGATAGGCCTCATCCTTGACAGAAAATGTGGTCCTTCACACTTTGTGTTATTACTGCCATCTAATCTCGAATGTTTACATTCAGCTGCTTTCTAACTTATGAAGTGTTTTTACGACCACGTGAGCCAATTTAGTTGGCACCATACCATTAACCCAACTACATGAGTTCAATTCACAGCAACAGTTAACATTAGTGGCAGGTGATATCCAAACCATTCCTGGGCATCCCCCCCAACCAAGCCACACTGACCGTGCCCGATTTGAAAACGAATTTCTTTAGAACCACTTTTTGCGTATAGTTTGTTTTCCTTCCCCGCACCTCCGATTAGTACGGTTAGCTACGTACGCTGCGAAAGAACTTCAACATGCATACATACAAACACGGCGAAGTATGGTCAAACAATCCCCATGAGTGACATGACGTGGGGAGGCCTTCATCCAACGATGGGACCGATAGACGGTTTAAACACGTTACATAACGCAGCATCACCTGAAGTGCCTCTTGGCAAAGTCCACCATGATGTGAGGGTTTGTCTCCACCAGATCTTCCATGTAGGGGTTCTCCTCGGACTCTGGGGCACTGCTCTGTGGGCGCACACGAAGACAAAGATCCTCCGTATAGCCATACAGACTGCGTGGGTAAGGGGCATTACCGTGCACCTATGAAGGCCGGGAAGGCTCACGAGTGGGTCTCGGTCTGTGGATTTCATTAAGTGACATTCTTAAGTTGAGTTGACTCAAGAAGTCAAACATGTGCAACACTTTCTTAGTTATCGAAGCTTGGTGCGAGGGGCACGGAGTTGTTCCCCCCCGCCAAAATATGATCAGCTCAGCCAATGTGTAAACTCTGTAAATCTATTTAATAACGTCACCAAATTATCCTAAGTGTGCATCTTCATTGAGAAGGGTTAACCTCGTCTCCTTGTAGCCGTGCTCTGGTCTCCGGTGAGAAAACTTATGGTCATGCGAAATGATTTTAGTTCCCTTCATGATCGCCACTGATTAAAATAATGAACGCTTCATCGACTAATATTTTTGTCAATAAATAATTTAAAAGAATGAACCTTTTCACAGCCATGCGTTTTTTTCTTTCACAGTAAATCTACCCTGCGACCAGTCACTGTTTACAATAAACTCTATAAACTTAATTTATATTTTTGGCAAAAAAACGTTCGGTGGGAATGCTGCCATGACCCTTGTGTGCAATGTCAAGGGGCACCACTGTGGCTGTGAGATGTTCACTACCTCGTCTGTACTCTTTGGTTCTTTCGGTAAAGTCACGTAGGTAGAAAAATACAATAAAATATATCACGACGTTTCGATCGCAACACAAGCGGTCGTCCTCGGGCAGAAAAAATAATCCAGCAGTGGAACTGCCGAATCAGGAAGAACACAACGAGCCATGACAACAAGAGGTTATATACGTGGCGAAGGGCAAGCAGGCGGGGTCTGAGCTGGAAAGGAATTCCATCCCCGCACGCAAGCGCGTCAGGTATACAGGAGGTCGTGGGGTTGTTCCCGACCATGACACCTGCTGTATATTTGGAGTTTGCGTGTTCTCCCCGTGGTCGCATGGATTTTTCGAATCAACGTGCGTTTGGAGTATTTGGCGGCTATACATTTCCACGTGATAAGCCACTTCGTTGAGCTATCATGATTGCGGCCAGGTCGTTTCTCAAAAAAAGCTGTACAGTTCAATGAGCCTTACCTGGTAAAATAAAATTTTTGTTCTTTAATTTTCGTTATTTTCCAGATGTTGTCTCTAGATGGCAGCAGCAAGCAGGCATATCACGTGTGCATGTTTGCACGTGCTTCAGGCTTTAAAGGCCCTGGCTAACAGCACTTGCCCTAACAGCCTGTTTGAAATCTACATTGGGCAGCAGCGTGAAACAATCAGCACAGCAGGAGAACATCGACGAGTCTCAAACAATGGACGGGGATCGACCCGGTCGTGAAAGGGTCAACACTGCTGCCCGATAGCGCCGCCCCCCCCCCCCCGACTCTTACCCTCGAGCGACTGCTGGAGCTCTCTGCCCTCTGGCTGATCGCCGTCGCGGCCGGGGCCGACGCGATGGCGACGGCCACGGCGCCCGACTGCGCCACGTGCATGGGCGGGGGTGTCCAGCTCTCCTCGTGGCGCGGCTCCGGCTGCGAGATCGCAAAGTCCGGCGGGGCGATCGGCTGCACGTAGTCGGCCGGGAAGATGCCTGAGCGGCCGTGCGCCACGCCAAACTTCCAGCCTGGAGGGGGGGGGGGGTGGGGGAGGGGGGCGGCGGGGCACGGATGACGACAGGGTCAAGGGGTCGCCGTGGCGATGGGTCTTCAGGTGTAGGGGTCGGCAACCGAAATAACAAACAACGAGAGGTACAAACCTCAACAATTCAAGAGCCGCAATGCATCTCGGTACGTGCCGTAGACGCGTTACGTGACGACGGCAGTCCGTAAAGAGCCGCGTGCGGCTATGGAGCCGCAGGTTGCCGACCCCTGTGCAGGTGAAAAGACTCCACCACCCCGCCTGCGAGAGAGTGTGTGGCTGGCGCCAGGCGTTTTTTGGCGAGCTATGAAGTTAATGGAGTGCAATGTTGGAAACAAAAAATATCCGCGGTGGATTATCCACGGTTGCGGATTTCACCCATGCTCAGCCACGTGATTTGTCCGCGTGCCAAAGGCTGCTCCTCACTCGTATCGGGTCGGTGACTCGGTGCCCACGTGACCGCAAGGACGTCGGCAAGTTCAAACCGAGCGCTTTAAGAAACGACGCAGGTGGACGACGCACTCCACGTAAGCTAACCCCCTTTTTCGTACCCCAACTTGCTTACATTCAATTAACCCGTGCACTCGCTTTAATCCTCGCTCTCGGGATAAACGAGCGTTGGCTGTACAATACACGTCTGGACATTGCCTGAAATCAAGCTGCTGTGGACTTGCTGCTGGGTGTTTTGTCCGTTAGTCCGCGTCCGACTTGAAAACCAAAAGTAGTGCGAGGAAAACCAATACCTCAAATATCTGCAAAACATTTTCCCTCTTTCAAAATGCAAGGGGTATTTTTTTATTTTTATTTTGTACGTAAGTGCGCCGTGGCCTGACCTGGAGAGGAGGATTTTTTTTTTCTCAAATGGAAGAAACTACCAGCACGACAACTGCCGCCTCATTGCCATCTGCGAGGCGGGTAGCAGGAGGCGCAATGAGAAAATCGCAGACGGTGAACACACGTGCGCGTTTGGACAAGTCGCCAAGAGAGAGAGAGTAGGGACTGCAAACTATTTACGATTTATCGATTGTGGAAAAGGAAAAATCGTGATTTCTGTGGTGGCAAAGCAGCGCTGAAGGTTACCACCACAGGCTGTCAACTAATCAACTCCAATGAGCCACACAGCATGGGGAGATCTTTATCCGACACTGGAATGACCAAAGGTTGCGAATCATTATTCCTATTCACTTAATTTGGAGTCGCACACCGCTCTATATTGTGAATACCTATTTTGCCTTCACAGACCAGAGATTATTAAAGTCATATTCTTAGGGTTTTTCGGTAAAGTCAAATTGCCTACCTACTCACCCGTGACCGCAGGAATATGAATTCCTGCAGTCACGAAAGCTTTAAGTCAAGATTATTAAAGTCGTCGTCGATGCAATGGACGATGGCATGGCACTGCTATTCTATTCTAGCGCACAATGGCAATGTGGTTCAGGAGCTAAATGCAAATGTCGAGGGTCTGCTGCTGGCCATGACGAGGCGAGACAGAGAAAGAGTTCATAGAGTTTGACTGTCCCCCCTCCATTGAAGGAGTACAAACAACAGTTGGTCTGCTAAATAGTCCATAGTTTAGCTTGCATGGCCACAGTCGCACTTACTGCTGTGGTTTGTCTCAAATTTTACATCTATGTTGACGTTATTGAACTTCTTTCGCAGCGTATGGAGCCAACCTTGCTAATTGGAGATGCGCACATCCTCCTTTATGCTCATCGGACCGTTGACATTCTGACGATGGCGAGGCACTGTTAATCAAATCAGATAAAAGACAATAAAATAATAAAATATATATAAAGCAATACAAATTCTCACGACGTTTCGACCATAACACAAATGGTCGTCATCAGGTGTCGTGAGAATTTTTATTGTTTTATATATATTTTATTATTTTATTGTTTCCCTTCAACGTGAATTTACCAAAAGAGCTAAGAATATGAATTACTGCAGTCACGAAAGCTTTAAATAAAAATTCAGATAAAAGACGTACCCCGGTCACTGAAACATTTCGGCATGTTCTACTGGGCTCGAGTTTTCTCGTCGTAAAAACATTGAAAAAGAAATCGCCGAACAGCTGTGATAATCAATCCGTCGAGACAGTATAATTTGGCTCGGTGACGAGCTATCCAATTGCTTTCCTTTTCAGTGTGGTGCCAATATATATTGAGGTGTCAGTCTCATATCGGGAGGCAGTGCTGTATTGTCGTTGTACGCAATAGCCGCTGGGGTTGACTTTATTTTGCCAGGAGAGAACCTGGTCAAAGAAATAAAGTCGACAATGTTGCCAAAGATAAAAGAGTTCAAAGCAGGAAAACAGAGGAGTCGTTGCAGAAATCGGCGACAACAGGAAATGCCACGGCACTCGAGCACTGCACACGGGAACGGGCGTGCGGCGCACCCCGCCCCAATACCAAACCCACCGACACACTTCGCCTCCCCGTGGACGTCTTCGAAATAGTTGAGGGTTTTCCGGAGCACGCAGCCGTGCCTGGCTCCTGCACGAGCGGGGCCAGCAGTCCCGAGGAACAAAACGGGCGGGCACAGCGATCGCGCGGGCCCAGCCCGGCCGAGCCGAGCGGCCGTTCAGCGCGAGAGGACGTCTCTCTCGCAGCCGTGCAGGCAACAGTTCACCCACCGCCTCCGACTACCCCGCCACCCCAACACCGGCATCGATTCAATGAATATCCACACGGTCACTGGTCGTCATTTCATTGTTTTGCTCTCCTAATTTCGTCTACTGTTTTTCGTGTCTCGTTTGCGCACTTTTTTTTCCCCCCACCCCATTGGATAAAAGTAACGCGACCATGTACCCAGGATGCGGTGGTGCTGCCCTGGCTGCTGAGGCTGTCCCTGGGGATCGTCGTTGGTGTCGGGCCCCGGGCTGAGCTCTCTGCTCTCCCTCTGTGATTCCCTCTAACACCCCCACACTCCCCCCCCCCTCCTTACAACCCCCCGCCCCCTTAATCCTAAAAGGATTTTGAATTTCGACACAAACGTCCTAAAATGCTGTTGCATTTATGTTTTAAAAATAATCAATAGATCAACAAAAAATTGTAATTAAAAATGTTTTTTGAGTTCAATTACTCAATCCACTTTTAAAATATCAAAATACCTCCTGAAGGCAGGAAACCCCCTGCAAGCCACGCCCGCTGTGACCGCAGCTAATTATACCGACGACGTCTCTCCAAGCCTCGCCCGTCCATCACCTCCCGTCCAGCAGCACGCGTCGGAACAGAGGCGAGACCTTTTCCAGCCGACTCTTCTCGTGTCGTCCGTCGAGTCGAGCAATCGAAACGATAACCGGCAGAGTCATCCGTCACTTAAACAATCGTGTTCCAGCCCAGCTCGAAATTATCTGCCCGATAAATCCACATCGTATCGTACTGATTTCCACAGGGGAAGCATCACAAAGCTATGGGAGCCTGCGGAGGGGGGGGGGGCAGGAGATTAGGAGGATGGGGGGGGGAGCGGGGGTGGTGGGGGTGGCAGCACCCACCTTCCTGCATGGGGGCGGCCGCGGTCTGAAGTTTGATGACATCTCCCTTCCTGAAGCTGAGCATGATTTTCTGGTCGGTGAAGTAGCTCTTCACCGCGATCACGTACGCAGAGTTCTGCACGAGGACAACAACAAGAAACATCTCACTTGGGTGGGGTGGCGGTGGGCGGTCGAAGCCCTAACCCTGACCCATGAGAAGTAAAAGGTGCAGCCCTGCAATGGCTTGCTCACGCCACTGCTGGTGGACGGGCATCCACCACGGGCAGCTCCTGGAGATCCCACGCTCGAGAGCATGTTTTTTGTTTTGTTTGCATGTTCACCACAAGTACATGTGGTTAATGCAGACATGATTGCTTGAAAAGGGTTTCTGTTGGTGTTTTAACATCTTAACACAACTGTTTTAGTGCCATAAATGGTAAAAACCTATTATTGTACACATACATCTTCTAATAACCTCCACGATCTCTCACGGAAGCCCTCATCATCCAAGCAGCGGGTTAACAAGAAGGACGCTACGAGTTCACGTTGTAGCAAACAGCTGCTGCCCGGCCCTGTCCGGCCCTGCCCGGCCTGGCTGGGCGTGAAGCCCGAGGCCTAGCTGTTGGGAGTGGGACGAGGCCTAGCTCACCCTCATGAGCTCGGAGCAGTAGAAGTCCACGAGCTCCTTGATCTGGCTGGCTTTGGGCGAGTAGATGGTGATCTGCTCGTTGCGCATCGCGAACTCCAAGGTGACCTTGTTGGCGATGGTCACATAGAGGATGTCGGCGTAGCTGTGCGAGAGGTCAAAGAGCACCACGGCGGCTTGGGATGAGGAAACAATTTGGAAAACTGCCACAACTTATTATTATTATTTTATATCAGCGTTGGAAGCCTGCAGTTATTCTCAGCTGATGCAGCGATGTGGTGATTGTAGAGACGTGAAAGAAAACGACAAGATTTGTTGCTTGGCTTCTGCAGCGGGAAAAACAACACAGAAGCCTTCTGAGCCACGCCGGGGATGGCTCGGCACGGCCCCGGCATGGTTCAGCTGTGCAGTGGAAAAAAAGTTGCTCATCTACACCACGGTGATTCGGCCTCTCCGAGCAGTGTTGCAGCTTGTGCTGGACCAGGGCTCGGCAGCCTGCGGCTCCGGTGCTGCTTACGGCTCTCTAAGGGACTGCCTCGTGAGGTCATTTATTCAAGGACCGCCATCTCGCATTCATCACACGGTACATTGGGCCTCTTGAAATATTGAGTTGTTTTTTTTTACTACTACGACCGAAATCGAAAACAACAAATGTGGTTCTTCTCGTCGTTGTGTTTGGCGACCCCCTGGTCTAGACCAGCACACCCCGCTCACCTGTAAGGGGCTAAGACCTTGATGTACATTGTGTTAGCCCCGGCCAGCTTAACGATCTTCACCAACTTGATCCCCTTGTGGGATACGGCCAGCATCTGGATGTCGATTCCGATCGGGCCCTGCGTGGGGAGAGAAAAAAAAAAGCCCAACTCTTCATTCATTCGTCTTCCTCACTCTGGTACCGCCACACTGGAAGGGGGTGACCGAGATAATGCCGGCGGGGAGGGCAGGGGGGGTTGTGGTGGTGGTGGCTATGCATGTGTGATCTGGCACTGTGGAGGCAGCGAGGGTTTGTGGATCACACAAATCCTGTAAAACTCCTCTTCACGTGGGCGTCGAGGAGGAGCCCGTACACTGGCTTACCTGTTCCATCTGAATGGGATACAGTGTTGCTCCCTCGCTCACGTGGGTTTTCTTTGGGCGCTCCGGTTGCCACCCACACGAAAAAAACCCTCATTAATTGGCCGGTTACACCTTAATATAGGGTGCTTCAAAAAGATGTTAACACTTAAATGGAACTATCGTTTTTAATGGAAAAGGAACGAATAACACACTGTAACATGATACCAAAGGTATGTTGATAGCTTCAACAAGTCAAAGTCTCCAGTTGTTCGCCATCATTGTCAACACGTGCCTAGAACCTTCTCTAAGGTGGTCTCCAGAGTCTGGAGGCACATTTCTTTTGGCATTGTTGCAAATTCTCAGAAGTGTTAAAAAAATTATTGTAGCACCCTGTATATAGAGGACCGCAGAGCTTGAGGGGGGAATTTGGTGCCAGTTCACGGCCTGGGCCACTCGTCTATGGTTCCTCGTCCTCCTCACGCCTCCGAGTCGTCCCCCCTCTCTCTCTCTCTCTGCGAGAGCGAGCAAGCGCTGTGCAGTGGCGGCGCAGTGTTACAAATGAGTTGAAATTATAATAAAAATGCGGATGAGTTTTTCGCCCCCCCCCCAACTTAAATTTTTTCCCTTCTTCTCCCTGCTCCTCCAGGAATGGGGGGGGGGGGGCGCTGCTCACCGCCGCGGGGAAGAGACGGGAGAAGTAGGTATCCCACTGGTCCCGTGCGGCCATCACGATCCTCTTCTTCACCGTGTCGTCCTTGGTGGGCGTGTTGGGCGTCACCTTGCACTCGTCTGAACACAGCGTGACAAAAAGAAAGTCAAATAGCGCCGGCGCCGCCAGCACCGGCAGCGCCGCCGGCGCCGGCGCCGCCAGCACCGGCAGCGCCGGAACCGCCGTCGTCGGCGGGCACGTGACGACGCGTTGAGCGTAAAAATATTAGCGTGTCGTTAAGCTCGCCACCACCCGACACAGCTAATTAGTAAGGTTTGTCACATGAACAAAATGCGCCAATGCGTTACTAAATTTTGATTTAAAGCTTTCGTGACTGCAGTAATTCATATTCTTAGTTTTTTCGGTAAAGTCACGTTGAAGAGAAACAACAAAATAACAAAATATATATAAAACAATAAAAAATTCTCACGACGTTTCGACCATAACTCAAACGGTCATCATCAGGAGTTATGGTCGAAACGTCGTGAGAATTTTTTATTGTTTTATATATATTTTGTTGTTTCTCTTCAACGTGACTTTACCGAAAAAACTAAGAAAAATGCGTTACTAGTTCAGCGCACCGGTGTGTTGAAGATTAAACCCACAACATTTACAAATCAAGTACGATAGTCTGATGAGGCTGGCCGTTGTAAACAAAACGACTTCTAAAAGGCTCTCCACCTCTCTCATCTGGCTTTTCGAGCGATACCGAGCTTTCCGCGGCGCCTTCAGAGTACGCGGTCATTCACGTCCGCGTGAAATATCGCGCGCGTTATAAATTGCATTGTCGTCGTCGTTGTTGTTAAAAAAGAAACCGTGAATAAAATATGGCTCAAATGTAGGGCCCAAACGACCACCGACCCAGCAGGATCCTCATCCTGTGGCACTCCTCCTTGGTGATCCTCATGCAGGAGTTGGAGAAGGTGTCGTGCACGATCTGGGGAAACACACGGATGCGCCATCGGTCTCGACCTCGCGTGCGTCAAGTTCCTCTAAAAAAAAAAAACGCCTGGGTGCTTTCTGGGATATCGGGCGTCCGTTCCCTACACTTTAAACACGCGGGTAAAAAAAAGTGGCTTTCCGACCACGCATGGAACGTCAACCAATAATTAATTAGTCCACCTTTCTGAATAACGGGAGATTAACAGAGCGAGATGGAATCATGGCGAAGAATCGTTGATGCAACCTGCAGGGAAAATGTGCTCTCATAAATCGCCACGCAATCGGACACTGTAAAAAGGCAAAATTACTTTTTCATCCATGCTGGGACGGCGACTGTGGCATTCAATGTTTAAAAAAATAGATAAACTATTTTATTTACCAGGTCAAGCCCCCACCCCCGCGCTACTAGCTCTTTTTCAGAAGCAACCTGGCCACGTACGATAGCTCAACGAAGTGGCTTATCGTGTGGACATTTTTATACCGGCCAAATAACCTAAAACCCACGCGTTTCCAATTCAGGTTTGTGTGAGCACGTCGAAAAATTGACCCCGTGACCTATTCCCTGAACAAGCCACTCAGTGGCAGCTCAGCGCTCTGACCCCCCGAGCCACCCAGACCACCACGTTTCACAAACGAGAACCGTGACCCTGATCCGCGTCGTCATCATCGCCGTCGTGCGAGCAGTGGGAAGTGGCGGGGGGGGGGTGCTCATCACGGTACCTGCTGAACCAGCAGGTTCAGCACGGCTGGGTTGTTGAGGCTGTCCTGGGGGTAGAAGATCTGTGGGGGGGTGGGGGGGGCAAAGTCTCTTGTCAATAAAGAATCTGCGTTGAACTTTTTTCACACCGTACGTAGCCAACCGTGATAATCTGTGTTTCTATGGGTCTGTGGATCTCTGTGTATGTACTGCATGTTGAACTTCTTTTGCACCGTACGTAGCCAACCGTGCTAATCTCTGGGTCTCTGTGGTTCTCTATGGGTGTATCTGGGTCTCTGTATGTATTGTATGTTGAACTTCTTCCGCACAGTACGTAGCCAACCTTGCAAATCAGAGGTGCGAGGGAAGGACAACAAACTAAACACAAAAAGCAGTTCTCAAGAAATGAGTGTTCAATCTACATTATTTAAAAGTGCATATAGCTCCAGTGGCTTCCTAATATCAGAAGGAAGAGCATTCCAGACGGCCGCGGAAGCAGCGCATATCTGAAAGCGCCGCGCGACGATGCGGTGACCGTTTTTTGTTCGATGGCTGAGCCAAAAACCGCCACCATCGCCGTTGCGAGAAATCTTGGCACGGATCAAAGTTCACGTTTTATTTGTGTAACCATGGGGGAACTCAGGAGCACCAGGGATGCGGCTCCATTTGTCAGAGTGACATGGGTCACCAACATGACAAATCGCAAAAATAAATGAAGAACAGCCGGGAAGGGCGATGGCCATTCTACACAGCACATACAGCACAAGGCCCATTGCCTAAAACATCACCTTTTTAAAATATTGACGAACGTGTTGAGTTTGTTGTCATTGTCAATTGTGCTTGTGCCCCACTGCCAACGCAGTAGCCGCAGCAGCATCACCAAATAATGTATTTCATTTCGTTACGCGTCCGTCCCATGCGTATGTCTCTCATGTCATCACACCTCTATCCTTTGTCCGCTCTCGCCACGTCTCTACTTCACGTCGGTATCTCCTCTGTCACGTTATTGGGAGTTCATGAATTAAAAGGTGGGGGGGGGGCATCATTGGACCAGCGGTTCCACTGGAAGCAAGCGAGGATGGAGCGAGCCGGCGTGGGAACGGAGCGAGCCATGCCTCTTTGCGCAGGAAGAGCTTCCAGCGCACGTCCGTGTAGCTGTAGAAGTCTTCGTTGTACCATGGATGCAGCTCCGTGTGGATTCGCTCGTCTTCAGCCAGACTCGGTCCGCCCCCGCGCGGCTCCACCGGCCTCACTGGGCGGGACAGCGACGATGGTGGGGAATGACGAGAGAGGGCGACGTGGTGAGAGAGAGACACGTTGAGAGGGACGCGGTGAGAGGGACATGACTAGAGACACTGAGAGGGACAAAATGAGCGTGGGACACAAAGACATGGTGAGAGGGTGGGACACGACTAGAGAGAGACACGGTGGGAGGGACACGACGAGAGAGAGACACGGTGAGAGGGAAATGGTGAGAGAGACACGACTAGAGAGAGACACGACGAGAGAGAGACACGGTGAGAGATACACGGTGAGAGAGACACGACTAGAGAGAGACACGGTGAGAGGGAGATGGTGAAAGAGACACGGTGAGAGGGAGATGGTGAGAGAGACACGACGAGAGAGAGAGAGACACGGTGAGAGGGAGATGGTGAGAGAGAGACACGACCAGAGAGAGACACGGTGAGAGAGACGCGCAAGCTCACCTCCGTCCATGGCGTCGAACCGGGGCTCGGCGGGTGGCTTCGGCGCTTCGGCTCCGGCGGCGCCGGGCGAGGCCGTGGCTCCCAGGGCGGCCGCCACGCGCACCATCGCCTGGGTGAGCGCTGGCGGAGCACGAACACGGAACGCGATGCCCCTCTACGCGCCGCGGTCTCACGACACCCCCCCCGCCCCACCCCGCCTGTGCCGTGCAGTCTGCCGTAACGGCAAGGCAGAGCGATGTTCCCGCTCAGTGGTGCCCCATCTCGCGTTTTAAGAGCCCCCGAAGCTAGCGGTGCTGTGGTGCGGGCGAGTCTAAACATTTAAATAAACGCGTGTATTTGTTTACCAGCTAGGGCCCCTGCTTAGCCACGTAGCTCTTTTTCAGAAACTACCTGGCCACAAATGGTAGCTCAGTGAAGTGGCTTATCACGTGGAAATTTAGAGGAGCAAAATACTCGTACGTTGATTCCAAAATGTGGAGGGAAAATCGGAGGACCTGGAGAAAAAGCCACACGACCACCTGGGATCGAACCCACGACCTCCGGTATACCAGGCAAGGTAGTTAACATCAGGGGCGGAGCCAGGATTTCAGGCCGGGGTGACATTCAACAAATGTTAATTTCAAGAATGATTTAGAGAGTCAGGCTGTTGAACTAGACGCCATCGGTTGGCGACACGCTCTGACAATGCAGTTGCACGGAGTCCGCCAGACCGAGTGTCGTACACTTATACGCAGAATGTCACACCTGTCACCCCCCCTGGCTCCGCCCCTGGTTAACATCTTGCCAGGTGAATTCCTCGCAGGGCGGCGAGGGGCCGCTCGCTCACTCGCTCGCTCGCTGTACAACCGAGCCACCTGGCCAGTGCTTCAACGTGGCAACCGCAAAGCAGAACGGTGCCATAACACGCAATGGAATTATTCGTGGCAATGATTTTACTGCCCAATGTCAAGCAGCTGCGCCACGGCAAGCACAAAATGCTTTGCCGTGGCCAACTCCATTGCCGATCTCGAGTTTCCACCACAGGTAATGCATCGCCCGCAACGGATTGCTGGTGATAACTGGCTAAAAACTTGATTGAATACTATCGCGGAAATCAGAAGAGCACCTGCCCGGGGATGTCGCTCAGTGGCCTCGCTATCGAGGAGTGTGCAGGCGGTGCAACGGCAACCGCGGCCCATGGGCTGGAGGGGCACAGGAGTTCTTTGAAGAGGCGGGGGGGGGGGTGGAATTAGACTGGGGGGGGGGTTACCACCTCTGAGATTTAAAATGGGAAGAAAACTATCTCACTATGCCATAATATATATAATCATTATTGTGCTCGTTTACCCAGGAAAGTCGAACCGAGTCTCGATTCTCTTGTTGTTTAGAAGGGTCCTAACAAGTTTTTGCAGTCGGGGCACGATGTTGCTGCGACTGTGTGTAACCCCAAGTGAGTGATTTGCAGTGTAATATTTCAACATTGGAATCTTTGGGCAAGTACCAGTTCACAGTGTATGTTTCGTTGCCAATGGAAGGAAACCAGAAACCCATGCAGAACAGGGGGAGAGAATATGCAAACTCCACACAGGAAGGCATTGAACCCAGAAACCTGTTGCTCTGGGGGCACAAGTGTTAGCCTTGGGCCATCACCCTGTCGCCTGAAACTACAAGCAAGTGCACTGTCTCGAGTGAGTGGTGCATCATTGCTCAACTGACAAAACTGAGACTCTTAAAATGTCCCCGGGAAGAAACTCCCAAAATTTCCCCGAGGACGAATCAGCAGCCGCCTCAACGAGGGGGCGACCCTGGGAAAAAACTCAGACCGGTGGCAACCCGAACCTCACGAACTGCTCCAGCCTCGGTTCTCTGCTGTCGCCCCCTCGGTGTGGAACTCTCTAATCCCTTTGCACATCCGCACCACCAAATGCACTCTAACTTTCAAGAAACATCTAAAGTCCATAATGCAGGGTGTTTTTGGGTTAGATCGCGTAAATATATAAATGTTGTGTCGTTAAACCCGCCACCACCCGACACAGCCAATGAGTAAGGTTTGTCACGTAAACAAAACGTGGCCAATTCGTCACTAGTACAGCACTAACCGGTGTGTTGGAGAGCCAAGCCACAACATTTGCAATCTGAGTATGACGTTTCACCAGTAATTACAACCAGCTTCATCAGGCGACAGCCAAATTTGTAGAGAAATCCTCCTGTAAACCAAACATCTGAAGGCCCATCTGTCTGGGTCAGGCTTTCGAGCAGCCTTGAGCTTGGCTCCGCGCCACTTCGTCGGTGACTTGTCGGCAAAATGTGGCACGTTTTAAATTTCATCATCGTCATCATCATCATTATTATTAACCGGTGGAGGTGGGGGGGGGGAGGGGGGGAGGGACCCCCATTTCCTTCCTTGCACCAGGGCCCATGACCCGCTCGGCGCGAAGCCGTCGTGCTAACCGTGCAGCTAAACGAATCACCCCGAGGCGCCGCGTGCAAGGGTCCTTACTTGCGCTGACCTTGTGCTTCCTCCCCAAGGTGTTCGCCTGCGGGGGGACGGACAACGCGCGCTCGTTGAGCGTGCGCGGCGGCGACGGCGGCCCCACGGCCGTGAGGCCGCGATGCCACCCACGCACTCGTGCGCCGTGCCGGCATTCGTAGGTGCTGCTCGCGAACTGCACTTGCCCCAACAGTCTGTTAAGACTACGGGGCGAAGGGGGATCTTTGTCGTGGCAGTATGACAGCACGCGGCGGCAACCCAAGCGGGCGCAGTGGGGACCACAGAGACGGCCGAAATGGAGCGAGCATTCATCACGTGGAATTGATAACGTCACGCTCGGGCCATTTGTGCGACGATCGATCAATTAAAAGTGAATTTCTTTAAAGGCGACCTTTCATTAAACCAAGTCCCCTTGTACGTGCATTGTTATCCGCCAAACAACACTTGAATGCCACGCAATTAGAAGAGTAATCAGGTCGACGTGCAACAGGTTAACAACGTTTTTAAGTTCTTTTTGGAAACGGTGGACGGTCAGGCCAGTGCCTTATCAGGCAAGGCAGGGAATTCCAATCCACAGGATGGGGGGCCACAGCAGCGATCGTTTTAGCTTGAATTACAGAAACCTGATGGAGATTCTTATAATCGTGAACTGATTTGTTGGAAATTGTCAATGTGAAAAGAAACAAACCGAAACGATCAACTTTAAATCGATACAAACAATCAACGTATCTGAGGGCTCCACACCCGGGCCGTGTTTTTGTCGTCGTAGAACGACTAAACTATTTTTCAACTATTCAACTATTTTTTTTTATTTTTCCAGGTAAGGCCCACTGAGCCATGTAGCTCTTATTCCCGAAGCGACCGGGCCACATTTGATAGTTTAACAAAGTGGCTTGTCACGTGGAAATGTAGAGTTGCAGCCAAATGCTCTACGCTCGTTGATTCTAAATGTGGCGGGAAAAACGGAGAAAAACCCACACAACCACGGGGAGAAAGACACGCAAACTCCAAATATACAGGCATTAGGGTCGGGATCGAACTCACGACCTCCTGTATACCAGGAGAGGAAGTTAACATCTCACCACCGAGGCGAGATCGTAACAATATGAAGGGAGCCCCACATGGCGTTCTGCCTCGGGACTCCAGGAACCTCTGGCCAGCTTTTATTGAGACGGACAACGGAACGCATGACAGATCATGCCATTCGTTATTCATTATGTTTAACATGTCTCAAGCTCGCTTGACATTGATTGGTATTGCACCGTAGGGTCGCGCACCTGCTACACTCCCGATGGATGGCACACCTAAGCCTGCCGTACGTAACGTGTTTGCCCAAACCCCTCTAATCAAGCTCACGCTGCTGGGCTTGCAGTACCTGAGGCGCCGGAGGCGGTGGAGGAGGAGGTGGCGGAGGATTGGACGGCGCGCTGGCGGTGGTGATGCCAGCAGCAGCCGGTGGCGGCGGAATGGGCGGAGGGGGCGGCACGTTCTCCGGGCCCTTGGCTGCCGTGGTGGTGATGGAAGGCGAGTCATGCCCGGAGGACGTGGCTGGGCTGGTGCTGCCACTGGCGTTGCCCTGCTTTGACAACTGCTTTGTCTTCTCGCTGAGGATCGTGAGGGCCTCCGAGCGTGGGTCCGATCTTTTCACGAACTTGGGTTCGGATCGCACGTTCCTGGAAAGAAACGGAGTGCACGAGCCCACATGAGCGGCTGCTATGGAGTGCAACTAGTGCATTTCACCGTCTCTGAAAGAAAGCATACTGAAATATAGCTGAGGACCAGTGAACTCCAGTATACTGGTCTTGGGCTGGCTCCGGAAAACTCGATATGCACGACGTTTTTTGTTTGTGAAATCAGCCGAAGAGGGATGCCAGCACGTGGAGGGAAACGTCGGGACGTCGCGCCGAGTGGCACAAAGCGGTTACAAACCCCTAAAACGCGTTGCCGTGCAACGAAACCGCGAAAAATCTTATCTTAACGGGATTTATATAGTGCCGTTACCAAGGCGCTTTACAGCGAAATCGCGATGGTACGACGGGTGTGTGAATGCAGTGGTGGCGATGAGGTGAATAAAATAGATGAGAGGAAGCAGTGGGCGCAAATCTGCGACGCGTGAATCCGGTGAGAGCAAAATCGATGACAGTAAATGATGACGAATGCCCAAAGGGTGGTGGACCCGCGGCGGCCAAAACCGCCAAGGCGCCCAGCGGCCCGTGGGGGGTGTTGCTGCGAGAGGCACTCTGCCGTACATCTTCGGGATGATCTCCTCCGGCTTGGGAGGCGGCTTCTTGTTGTACATGCTGATGATGTGCTTGATGTTTTTCGTGGGCTCCGGCGCGTTTCTGCTCGATGCCACGACCACTTGGGGCCTCTCGGGGCTGCGGCTTTTATCCCTGCGCCAGGATTTGGAGTCGGGAACGTCTTCCTGCTCGCAGTCTGCACGCGGCACACGCAGGACGTTTGTTCGCTCACCGCACACACGCACGGCCCGTTCGCCGATCCACTGCTGGATGAGGGCCTCTCCACACGGTGGTCAGGCACGAAGCCTAGATGGTGTGAAAGCGTATAAGAACAGTGCAACGATGGAATTTGCCGTGCCCCGCAGTAGCCTACGGCAACCTAATTCAACATGGCGGCTCCCCACCCAAGCATCATCCATGCTCAACTCTGCTTAGAGTCCGAAATCTGATGGCACCGGGGGGCATTCCAGGCGATTTTGTCTGAATAAAAGTGGACGAATTAAAGGTGGCCAAAATCAACTCGCAGTTAGCAACTTTATTTCAACCAGGTTCAGAGACCACGCTCACTGAATGTCTCTTTTGCAACACGCACCACCAGAGTGACCAAGTACTATCAAACGACCCCCATGACGGGCACGGCATTGGGGAGGCATTCATCCAGCAGTGGATTGAGTTAACAGAATTAATTTTTCTCAATCTTGCCTCCTGCACAACGCGCGAGCCGTGTGTAGCACGCCTCTTCGGGAGATCACTCGAGAGTTACTCGGCTGCTATAAATGTCTACGTGATAAGCCACGTCGTTGGGCCTGTCAATTGTCGCCAGGTCGCTCCTGACAAAGAGCTCTGTAGCTCAGTGGGCGTCACCTGCTAAAATAAACGTAGCTTAAACATCGATTTCAGAGCAATCTCCCAAAATGGTGCCACCTGTATCCGTGTTATCCTCTTCTACATCGTCGCTCTCCTCGCTGGAAGTCGATGATCTCTTCCGGTATCGAGCGGGCGACTTGTCAATTGGAGGAGGTGGAGGCTTGGCGGTGGACACTTTGTTGCTCTTGCGTGAAGGAGAGGGTGATCGCTTCCGGTATCGAGCGGGTGACTTGTCGATTGGAGGAGGTGGAGGCTTGGCGGTGGACGCTTTGTTGCTCTTGCGAGAAGGAGAGGGTGATCGCTTCCGGTATTGAGTGGGCGACTTGTCTAGTGGAGGAGGTGGAGGCTTGGCGGTGGACCCCTTTTTGCTCTTGCGAGAAGGAGAGGGTGATCGCTTCCGGTATTGAGTGGGCGACTTGTCTAGTGGAGGAGGTGGAGGCTTGGCGGTGGACACTTTGTTGCTCTTGCGGGAAGGAGAGGGTGATCGCTTCCGGTATTGAGTGGGTGACTTGTCGAGTGGAGGAGGTGGAGGTTTGGCGGTGGACACTTTTTTGCTCTTGCGGGAAGGAGAGGGTGATCGCTTCCGGTATTGAACGGGTGACTTGTCGAGTGGAGGAGGTGGAGGCTTGGTGGTGGACCCCTTTTTGCTCTTGCGGGAAGGTGAGGGTGATTTTTTCTGTGATTGCACGGGCGACTTGTTGAATGGAGGTGCTGGAGCCTTGGCGGTGGAAGCTGCAGACAAAGACACATGCCGTCACGCGTTATCCAACTCGAATAGAACTAGATGGCCTGTAGCCGCATCTACTGCACTAAAAGTACGCTGCCCACTGCACATCTTTGATTATATGCTTTTACCTTAAATCAACAGGGAAGTTCAATCTATCTAGCGACCCCACTCCTCCATTTAGGACCCAACCTCTTTTTACTTTAAACTCCTGCTTGAGCCTATTTTGGCTCCGCCCCTTTAGGCTCCACCCCTTCCTGTTTAGGCCCCACCCCTTCCCCCCAGACACAGGGGCTGGATCGATTTGGGTAGCGTTGGGGGTTTGTAAAAGGGGGTGGAGGAGAGGAGGTAGTGGTGGGCGGCGACAGTAGCGGTAGGGCTGCGGGCAGCTTCACGACGGCCAGAATCCCTCTGAGAGCATTATAATACAGCAAGCGGGGTTCTTCACGTGCAATAAGGCTAACGTATGCCGGCAGGCCACGCGACGTCACACGTCACGTGGTGTCTTGACGTCACTGCGTCTCACGTAACTAATTGGCTATGATCCAGCCACGGCTTGGTGAAGGCCTCGGCGAGCTGTAGCTGTGTCTCACAATCTTTCTGTGCGGCAACCCATCTAACTCCTGATCTCATCACTCAGCTCGGTAAATGTTTCCACACGCCTGTACAGCCAATTACCATTTTTGGTCTTGCTCAGCTCACTGCAGTTTATAATCAAGTTACCAGATGATCTCTGTCTGCGCGTTCATTCCGACCAGTTGACATTTTCATCTCGTCATAGTCACGCCGAGGCCTTCGGTGGTGGTGGAGAAGCCATCGCCGTCGTCATATGCTCGACGAAATGTGCTCGCTCATAGTCTTTTTTTTAACGCCACTTCGCTGACAAGAAACATTGCCGTCGCCAACTACGCTCACAGGAATAACGCTGCCTAGCAGGTGCCGTGATGTTGCCGCGACGCGTGTTCCAGGGGCGGAGGGATGGCAGTTGGGCGGGAGAGAAATGGATCCCGTCAGATTGTAACGGAGGTCGATACGTGTCCCAAGCCAACGGCAGCAACAGCGGACTTACCACCCCTGGAGAAGCGGTTGATTTTACTGGCGATGGCCATGGATCCACTCTGCGACTCGTCGGGCACGCGGCGTCTGGGCGATGGTGGGGACTGCACGGGACACACACACAGCCGAGATGCTGCTGTTATGCGACAACAACTATTTACTTTGTTTATTTTACCAGGTAAGGCCCCCGAGAGCTATGTAGCTCATTTTCAGAAGCGACCTGGCCACATATGAGAGCTCAACGAAGTGACCTTATCAGGAGGCAGGAGTACCTACACTTTACCCCACCACAAGAGACAAGCCAAGTGATTCATGGTGCTACACCCATTAATATTGCTGCGTGAACGGAGACTGTGGGAATTCAAGAAACTCGGCCCGTTACTTCTAATGCGCTTAACAATGCAGTAGTAAGCCATGTCCCGTGCGTGCATGGGTGGGTGGTGCGTCCAACCTCATCCGAATCGGAAGAAGCAGCGGGAGGAGCAGGAGGAGGAGCAGGAGGAGGAGCAGGTGCAGGAGCAGGTGCAGGAGCAGGAGGAGGAGCTGTGTAGAGCGGCACTTGCTGCTGACGTAGGCCCGTGCTCCTCAGAGGCTACGAGGGGCAGCACACGGCGGAGAGAGCGTAGCCCCGTTACGCACAGACACTCGACGCTACCAGTTGTGGTTTGAGTGTTGAGTTTATTTTATTTGTTACGCGGGTGTTTACGTTTAGCCAGTTACCCGGCGGAGTTACAAGGCAGATCCGTGGTGCGCGAGTACAGCAGCCAGGCTCCGCGATTCCAGAATTCCCTTCCGCGGTCCATTGGGGAATCTGAGTCTGTTACACTTTTTAAATCGCATCTTAAAACTCACCTGTGTTTACAACAGGCTTTCTCTGTAACAGAGGCTTCATGCAAAGCGCTTTGAGGCCTTATGCAAATTGTGGTATTATAGAAAAGCGAGTTTACTATTATTTCTATTATTTTTGGGTAAGTCATCTTATAAGTCATAATAACAAAGAACTGAATTCAGTTCCTTCAAGAAGGCACTCTGCCCACAGAGTGAAACGTCGGCTGCCGTACCGAACAACATGCGGGCGCAACCTAAAATCGCCGCGGTGGTTAAATGTTCACTACCTCGCCTGGTTTACAGGAAGTCGTGAGTTCAATCCCGACCCTGACGCCTGCTGTATATTTGGAGTTTGCATGTTCTCCCAGTGGTCGTGTGGATTTTTCTCCGGGTCCTCCGGTTTTTCCCTCCACATTTAGACTCAACGTGCATTTGCAGTATTTGGCTTCTGCTATGCATTTCCACGTGATAAGCCACTTCTCGTTGAGCTACCGTTTGTGGCCAGGACGCGTTCAATGGGCCTTACACCTGATAAAGTTTCAAGTCGCGTCGGAGAGCCGTGCAGCACGGCGGCAAACACAACACCCGAGTTGCACTCCGCACCCTGTTGAAGCTGTGAGAAGATGAAGCTTGGGCTGCCCTCATTGCCGCCTGCTGCTGCTGCTGTTGCTGCTGCTGTTGCTGCTGCTGCTGCTGTTGCAGGGCCGCCGCAGTCATCTGCTGGGCCTGGCACGGGGAACAAACGTGGCCGGAAACGCTGTTTATAACTTCGGTGTCCAAATGATGGCGGAGCTGTTCGAACGCGACCGTGTCTGGGTGTGGGTGGTGTTGTGCAGTTCAGAGAGAGCTTGCAGATGAGGGAAATCCATTTCGTACGGTCGCATCGGGTGACCCCCTGCAGGTAATCCTTAGATGAGTAAGTCAGTAGATCTGGTACCCGTGCCACTATTGTAGCGCAAAGGCTATCACGAAGGAGCTATGTTAATGCCTTGCATTGCAGAACATTCATGACTTGGGTCTTCGGGTCAATTGACCAACGGTGACAAAGGGGCCACCCATAAATGACGTCACGCGATTTTGGACGATTTTTGACCCCCCCCCCCCCCTCGTGTAGTGCGTATTTAATGTGGCGATGCACTCTGATGTTGTAGGAGAAAACATTTATTAAAAAAGTCTATATAATTAAGTAGAATGTGTTGCCTATATTTATTCAAAGTTTCGCATTTTGATGTGACGTCACATTTCTCAACCCCCCTCGTGACACATCGTCACAAATGTCTGACCCCCCACCCCCCCCCCCCCATGTGCGTGACGTCATTTATGGATGGCCCAAAATCCGCGTTAATTGCTTAGGCTGCACTGCGATGATGGGCGTCCCGATTCAACGATTCTAATTCACCGGATTAAAGCCGCACCATGGGAGGCTCAACCAGGACCATATGGAGAGCTAGCAAACCCCTCCTCTCCTTCAGCCCCTCCCCCACCTTTAAATAACCACAAAGACAAAGAGCCCCCCTATAGCCTTAACAGACTGTTGGGGCAAGTGCTGTGAGCGAGCACCTGTGAAGGCCAGCACAGCACACGAGGGGGTGGGTGGCCAGCAACACGCCCAGCCCCCTTTGTCTTCCTAGTGGCGATGTTTATGCACCGCACCAGGTACTCATTTGAGGCTGAGTCGACCCAGGACCGGTTCAGATAAACGTCACTTGTGTTGGCCGTGAGCGGGATTCGAACCCGAGGTCACCAGGTTAGTAGCGCAGCGCGCTAACCGTTACACCACCGCTCCCCACACCCCCACTCAGTCACTCCCCTCCTCCTGACCTTGGCCCCGCCTACTGCTAATAGGCTCCACCCACCCCTCTCTCAGCCCCGCCCACTACTCGAGTAGCCCCGCCTTTTGCCGGGTAGTCAGTTGAGCACGAGGTCAGATAAATGTTAAACCTGAGAGAAAAATCCCAAATTCAAAGCACCGGGGACAGCCTTTTTGGTACCGGGGAACTCTCCCGGCTGAGCCAGGATGTTTGGCAGCTAGATACCCGCTGCTTCTGGAGAGTATGCGTGGTACGCTGCGAACTTCTTTCACAGCGTACGTAGCCAACCGTGCTAATCGAAGGCGCGGGAAGGGCGAGAGCCGAGTCGGGGAGTGTGCCGAGTGACGCCGAGCTCACCAGCATCATGGCTTGCTGGTTGATGAGGGCCTGTTGTGCCATCATGGGATCCATCACACCTGGCGACGAGAGCAAAACATCGGCGTGGCTCTCACGGAGCGTTATGGGTCGTGGTGTCGAAGGGCAGTGAGACGTGTGGACTGTGAGCGCAGTGATAGTGCCCGAATTGGTGTGTTTTCCCGCGCTTAATTTTAAAATCGCAGTGTATTTTTTTTGGTTTGCCGTTGTTGTCGTTCAAATAATTTGCATCGATTTACGGGCGCATGTTACCCGCTCTGACGTGGGGATCGCAAATCGTGGACGTTGAGCAAAGAAAATGGAACGGAAAAGACGCGGAAAGTGCGCAAAGAAGCGGGGATAGATGCGGTCCTTGGATGACACTAACTGACAGGGAGAGGGACACAGAGGCTAGAGAAAACATCCAGATTAGAGACATCACATTGACTGTATTTTTGGTTCTTTCGGTAAAGTCACGTAGAAGGGAAACAATAAAATAATAAAAAAATAAAACTATTAATTTCTCACGACGTTTCGACTGCAACACAAGCAATCATCATTAGGTATGAAAACCGCCACTTTTTTCAAATTTTCTTGCTGTGGTTTTCACACCTGATGATGACTGCTTGTGTTGCAGTCGAAACGTCGTGATAATTTTATTGTTTTATATTTTTACTATTTTGTTTCCCTTCTAAGCGGTGACTTTACCGAAAAAACCAAGAATATAAATCGCTGCAGTCACGAAAGCTTTAAATCAAAATCACATTGACTGTTAGGGTAAGTAAGTGTTGCTGGGGCAGGGCACGTCATGGCCAGCAGGGACGGTGGTTGAGAGCCGAGATTAACAACAGGGTGGCATCCGAAGGAGAAGGAGCGACGAAAATCGTCTCTTGTGCAGGAGCCAGAACGCACCTGGCATTGCGTTGACTTGCATGCCCATGGGTGCCATGCCACCCATGCCACCCATGCCACCCATGGGTTGCATGCCTTGAACCATGTTGGGCATCATTGGCATCATGGGCATCCCCACTGTTCAGAGACAACAGGCATCATCAGCACAGGCATCGACACGCACACACATGCGTCTGAACCTAATGTCATTCCTTCCTCTTGAAGCGTTAACTCCGTCAGCACCTTCATCACAACGGGTCGAACCATCCACCCCACGATTCGATGAATTGTCGCAATTCAGGGTCTAAAGATAAAAATTCAAAAATGTAGTTTTTTGTTGTTGTTTCACGTTGTGATGAATGGTTGTCCTTCCCCCGCACCTCCGATTCGCACGGCTGGCTATGTACGTTGCGAAAGAAGTTCAACGTACACACGTACGTGATATTGCCTCGAGTGGCTACAGGGATGTCATGAAGTAAACAAACATTCCTGCGGAGGGCGCTGGTAGGAACGTTGGATTGCTTGGTCAATGGCCAGGGTCAACAGCGGCACCACGTGGTGTATTCCGCAAATATGCCCGACTGAGGGCGGGCACAAGCCGGCGTGAGTAGGTTAAACGTTGAGTTTTATAAGGGCACCACGGGGTGACCAGCCCCTCCCCACCCAGCCCCACCCCTCCCACCCCCCACCCTCCCCACTCAGCTCCTCCCCACCAAGCCCCTCCCCACCCTCCCCACCCAGCCCCTCCCCACCCTCCCCTCTCCACCCAGCCCCACCCCTCCCATTTTTGGATGCACAACGGACGGACGGACATAATAATCCCCTGTGGGCCGGTGGTGTAACCAGGAGGTTCCTACCAGTAAAATAAATGCAGCATACTGTAAATGATAAATAATAACAATAATATACAGCCCTTGGTCAGGACACCACTGCTAGATGAAGGCCTTCTCATGATCCATCAGTCACGTGGGGTCCAGTTGACCATATCTCACCACGCTGGTCAATATGGGTTGGTAAAGAGGCACAGGGCTGGACTCCAGAAACGGTTCTGATATTCGTCGCCACTTATTCCAGCCGTGGCTGGGAATCGAACTCAGGTCGGTGGGCTTATTTTAGCACGATGCACTTGTAAAGCTAACATTTGGATCGGCACGTACGTGGTAAAAAACTGGATTAAATTTGTGCACATTGACCCGATTTGTCACGCCTGTTATTACGAAGACTGTCGTGTTACTCCCGCTGCTTTAAATGTACTCTTTCACCCATCCGTCATCACATCTCTGACTGTAACATTCACCACCGGTGACATTCTCATTACGGTCCCCATCGTCACCAGCTACCGACACTTCGGTGGTGATGGGAGGGGGGCCACTCACTCACTCACCAACTCACTCAAGTGAATCCACACACACAGTGGGCGTGACGGAGACGTCGCTCAATCACTCAGTCACTCACGTGATCCCGAACGCACAGTGCCATGTGATGGGGGTGCAACTCACTCACGGACTTGGTCCAACAACACACTCGTGGTGTGTGGGAAATGTCACTCACTCACTTACTCACGTGATTCCAAACACACCGTGTGTGTTCTATGGGAAGTGTCACTCACTCACTCACGTGACCCCACACACACAGTGGGTGTGATGGGAAGTGTCACTCACTCCCTCACTCACGTGACACCACACACAGTGGGTGTGATGGGAAGTGTCACTCACTCCCTCACTCACGTGACACCACACACACAATGGGTGTGATGGGAAGTGTCACTCACTCACGTGATTCCAAACACACCGTGTGTGTTCTATGGGAAGTGTCACTCACTCACTCACGTGACCCCACACACACAGTGGGTGTGACGGACATGTCACCCACTGACGTGACGCCACACATGCAATGGGTGTGATAGGAAGTGTCACTCACCCACTCACGTGACACCACACACACAGTGGGTGTGACGGACATGTCACTCACTCACGTGATGGTGTGACGGACATGTCACTCACTCACCCACTCACGTGATGCCACACATGCAATGGGTGTGATGGGAAGTGTCACTCACTCACTTAGTCAATCAACGCGACCATCCACACACGGCGAGTGCGACAGGGCAGGCGGTGTCAGTTACCCACTGCCGTGACCCCACAGGGGTGCGTGCGATGGGGCTTCACTCACTGGCGTTGGGCATCTGGTTTTGGTTGACCGGGGTGCCGTTCCACATGCCGCCACCTCCCTTGAGCCGGTTGGACAGGTGGCCCGGGGTCTCCTGCGAGTAACCGCGTGAGCTTCAGTACAGCTCTCCCCCAGCAGGAAAAAGACTTCGATCGATCGATGAGTCGGTAAAGCCATCGTGTAAAGTGACCATCGGTCAATCAGGCAAAGCTCAAAGCACGCAAAGATCAGTGTTCTCCAATGGAACAAGGTTTGATCAGTGATTGGCTAGCAACGATGTTTGTTCCATATCACTCAAAATGAAGTGTTTTTAAATCCAAGTCAAGCGCAATAGTAAACATAATGAGATATTTGCGCAGCTATTTGTCACCATGGCCGAGGCTATCATCTCACTATATGATAGGATCCAGTTTGATCACCAGTGGCTGAAACCAGGATTCGAACCCAGTGTCTCTGCGATACTTTAGCACTTTGACGTTCGAGGCACCCGGCCGCCCCACCACCTCCGTATGTTCACGTCGCATCATTAATCGTCTGAAAGAATAGCATTTCTGAAGGCCACTTCAAGTGTAATATACCGTTGTATAAACGTTTGTACAGCAGTCTAAATCTACCAGCATCCGTCGATCCCTTATCAAGCAAGCTCTGCGCCATTGAAAGCCGCGGCAAAGCTTTCAATGGGTGTGCACAAAAAACTACGTTCCAGGCAAGAGGTCTCTCTCCTGCCTTTGTCACAACTTCGTTAGCATTGCGAGCTCTGTTTGACGAATGTCGCTGGGGTACTCGGAGTGCGCTGAGCAAACACATCCATTGCGCCACATCCACCGTGATGGTTGCGTGGGGCCCATCGGCACGTGACCTGACGCTGATAAGGGCCGCCCCACGTGTGTGCTCGTTCGTTGAGTTTTTATTCTCCCCCCGAACCCGGAAAGCCGCGCTTGGATTGCACGGCGACCGCGGAAACGGGAGCGCGTTCCTCACCATCGAGCGCCCGTCGTGCCAGCTAGAGTCAGATCAACGGCGACCATTTGTGGGAGCCTCGGCGCCGATACAGCATTGGTGCTTGAATCGTCAGCTGTGCACGCGTGTTGGCCCCTTCCCCATTCCGATTCTGCTTCTCGATGACGTACGTATAGGTCATCGGAACGGAAAACGGACGAAAAACTTAAGCAAAGTAACTCAATCGGTAGCGAGGCTCCCGCGAGGCCACGCGGGAGGGCGCGTGGCACAGTTTGGCACGCCAGCTATCGCAGCGCCTACTGTTCTCTGCGGTGAGTAACAGTGTCTTTAAAAACAGCGGCGCTGCGCTGCCCTAAATAAAATGAACGCTGAACCGCTTGCGCCACCCTGCAACCTGCAGACGTCTCGGAACGGGGAAAGGGTCACATTTGGCCTTACCCCGTGGCTCATGAGCGGGTCGAAGAGCGTGTCCACATAATGGTTGATTTCGTGCTCGGAAAACCCCTCGCCCCGACCGTTGAACGGTGCTGCGATGGTGACAACAACAAAAACGACACGGGGAGGAGACGTCTTGGTGAAGCCTCCATTGACGCGAGGCGCGGCAGAGACACGTGTCTGCAATTTAGTTTGCCACGTTAAGCCGGTCAGAATCAAGCAAACAAATCGAGAAGCGACACGGACGAGACGAAGCAAACTAAGCCACTCTTGAATCACAGCCCTGAATCGCGATACATTTGTTGAATCGGCATGGAGATTATTCGTGACACCCACTCATGGCGACGGCCACCGATAGAGGCGAATGCATGGATTGTGGGTAAGGTTTTCACAGTGTGATCTTTCACGATATCAAATTTCACGACGTGACGATTATCGGGACATCAGCTTCCCATAATTTGTCATTGTATTTTGAAATTAAATGGAATGATATATTTTTGCTTTGATCGAGTCATTCAACTGCAGCTTCCTCAACATTTGCTTGCTGTAGATATTTTAAATGGTTACAATGTTACAACCGAAAATGCTTACTATGCCACACACTGCGAGTAATGACTAGAAATAATTACGTAATTAAATGAACGAGGAAAATTACGAGGTCGTATAAGGGGCCGCCCATAAATGACGTCACGCGATTTTGGACGATTTTTGAACCCCCCCCCCATCGTCACACGGCGTCACAAAAAGTCAGACCCCCCCTCAAATATGACGTCACAAAGCTCTTACCCCCCCCCCCCCAAAAAATGCTTTAAATCGCTTTAAACTATTGTCATTGTAGTGCGTATTTAATGTGGCGCTGCACTCTGATGTTGTAGGAGAAAACATTTATTAAAAAGTCTATTTAATTAAGTAGAACGTGTTGTCAATATTTATTCAAAGTTTCGCATTTTGATGTGACGTCACATTTCTCAAACTCCCTCCCCCCCCTCGTCACACATCGTCACAAATGTCTGACCCCCCCCCCCTAGGTGCATGACGTCATTTATGGACGGCCCCTAAGTAATCACGATGCCATCAGAAACAGTTTACAAAGCCCTAATTTACTTTGAACTTCAGTTCTTAGGTTATTTCTTAAATGTTGTCAGCAGATCAACGTTGTTTTTTTACCAATAAAATGAGCAGAATAAGAATCTTTACTTATACTGGAGAAATCCGATGAGCTATACAGCTCTTTTTAACAGATGTCCAGCAACTACCGTCACCATGCAACGGACGATGCGATTGTTATAAGAATAAGTTTTACCCATATTCCTGGTTCTTTCGGTAAAGTCACGTAGAAGGGAAACAATAAAATAATAAAAAAATATAAAACACTACCCAGTTTCAAAGACAATGCTTATATTACCAGAGCATGTTTTTGTATGCATGTTCACCACAAGTCCTGCGTATGGTTAATGCAGATGTAGTGACATCACAGTAACATCGCGGATGTCACTGTGTAATGTCGGCTCTGGAGAGGCAAGGCGGGCAGTGCATTGACATCACAGGCACCACGTGTATATGGGGGTGCAGTAGCGGCCCTAGAGAGGCTCGGGGAGCACTGACTGACAGTGCTGGATGGCACCACGCTTTGTGTGCAGTGCCGACCCCTATAGGATAGGGTGTGAGAGTGCCGGCCACGGGAATGGGGTTACTATAGGCTGTGGTACTCTGGTTGATCCCAGAGGACACGTGACCGGTTGAGTCTACACAGGGCCCCCAAGTGGGGGCTAGGGATGGTCACGTGTCAGGGTCGAGATCCTGCTCGAGGGTTCTGGAAGGTGGGCGTGGCTAAGGGCGGAGCCAGCCACGCCATAGAGGATATAAGCCGGGTGCCCCAGAGGGACCAGCTGCTGTTGTCATCCTGAAGAATCTACGTTCTACGTCCTACAGAGTCTCCAATACGTGGACCCGGACACAAGCTGTGGTCCGGTCCGTTGTAGCAGTTACGTTGTAATTAGCGTAGTAACTAGTGTAGTAACTAGTGTAGTTAGCCTGGTGGTCACCACCTGGCTAACTACAACAGTTACGGTGTAATTAGCGTAGTTAGCCTGGTGGTCACCACCATAGGTTCTTATTCTGTGTTGGTGTTAATAAATGTGTTGCCTCCAAAGAGTATGTCTGCAACTCAGTTGAACTCACTACACAGACATGATTTCTGTTTAGCATTTGAACATCTTAACCCAACTGTTTTATTGCCATAAAGGCTAAAACTTATTCTGATACTTTGATACTGGCAATGCGATTGTTGTGGGCCTTGCGCTGCAAATCTCGCGGCAATTCAAATGGTGGAGGGGGCTGTTGAGCAGTCACGGGGTCACCTGGTGGTTGGTATCCCCGCTGGTCGAAGCCACTCATCGCGGGTGGGTAGTTGGAGCGAGGGGGCAACGTGGGAGCGAGTGATCCTGGAGGCGGCGGGATAAACTCCACGTAGCTGCCTCCTCCCGTCGTCAACCTGCCAACGACGCGGCAACGACGTCATGGGGATGTCGATGATGTCATGGCATGGCAACGATGTCCCTGATTTTTTTTTACTTACCCAATTCTTTACTTCAACCACTATCATCTTTTGATTTAAAGCTTTCGTGACTGCAGTAATTCATATTCTTAGCTCTTTCGGTAAAGTCACGTTGAAGGGAAACAATAAAATATATATAAAACAATAAAACTTCTCACGACGTTTCGACCATAACACAAACACCTGATGACGACCGTTTGTGTTATGGTCGAAACGTCGTGAGAATTTTTATTGTTTCATATATATTTTATTATTGTATTGTTTCCCTTCAACGTGACATTACCGAAAGCACTATCATCTTATGCACAAATGTATCTTCATTGCAAAGCGTCTTGCAATGAGGCGTCGTGTAAATCTCCCTGTGACATAAGGTAAGCCGTTATCGTCGTTGTTGTCAACAAGTCCATAATACAGTTCTTTTGGGTTAGATCGCGTGAACATATAAATGTGTCGTTAAACCTGCCACCACCCGACACAGCCAACTTGTAAGGGTTGTCACGTAAACAGAACTTGCCAATTCGTCACTCGTACAGCACACCGGTGTGTTGGAGAGCAAATCCACAACATTTACAATCTCAGTACAATCTCGTGGATTTGCTTTCCAACACATTTATATCGACGCGATCTAACCCGAAAAAAACCTATGTCACGGACGATAGTGGTCGCGAAAGCCTCCTACGCGTTCAATTGTCAACAAGTGTCGCTCGACGGCCGGGCACCCACGGGCTGCTGTTGCTGCTCAGCTGGTGGGGGAGCGGAGGGGGAGGAGGCGGGGGCGGCGGAGGCTGCGGGCTAACGTGCGAGCTCCCGGCGCCGGCGAAGGCGCCACCACCGCCACCACCGTGCGGTGTGGGCGAGCCGGGGCCCAGGCCGGATCCGCTGGCGGAGTGGAGGAAGTAGGAGGGCGGCTTGCGGAAAGTCTGTGGCAGTTCGACGTCGCCCAGCAGGTCCAGGACGTAGTCGTGGCCCGCGAGCTCGCAGGGCCCCGTGCCCGCGTCATACATCGCTATCGTCCAGCCGTGGCAGCCTTCCGAGATGCCCCTGTCAGCCCCCGCGACCGTCCGGGAGGAAGGAGGGGGTGGAGGACATTGATTTCATTTGGCGCGCTTCACGTCCAAGGTTATAGGCATTCACAGGCAAAAAAACGATACAATGATGACCGAATAGCGCTCTTGATTGGTGAATAAACCTGAGACCGATTGGGATTGATTTATCACCGAAAAGCGCTCGTTCGTTCAGTCACTTCTTGCCTGTGGCGGCAATTCTACTTTTGTATTGTTTGTGCTGTTTGTTTTGGTGCCATTATTCATTTGTTTATTAATCTTTCGAATTGACTTGATTGTAGTAGGGTTTTCACTTGCTTGGCATGTACGTGCGTGCGTTGGGGCTTCTTTCGCAGCGTGCATAGCCAACCGCGTACAGGGGAATTGGTCCTTGCATGTTATTAATGTACAGCGTTGCGGGATGCTGTTGGACATGCTGTACAAAGTGCAATTATTATTATCACACTGCCGACTGACGTTGTGACGTCGACTGCACTTCTACGCCGATTCACCCGGCGAACAACAGCAGATGTGGAGGCAAAGGCGCAGCCCTGCAATGGCTCGTTCACGCCCCCGCTGGCAGAAGGGCCTCCACTGAAGGAAGCTCTGCACGGCCACCCTCTGGAGAACACACTTTGGCCTACTTGTCCACCGCGGCTAGACATCTTGGACTAAAAAAAATGAGAACCCACACTTTACCCTACCACATGCGACCTGCCAGTTGACTAACTGTGGCATTCCCCATTCGTACTGCTGCGTGATAGAAGGGGGGGGGGATGGATTTAAGAAACCTGCACCCTTGCTTCGACTGCTGTGCCAGGCGAAAGAATCGGTGACCTCTGCATTGCAAGTCCAGCATGATAACCGTTGCAGCAGTAGCAGCAGCAGCAGCATCCCAACGTTGATCACCTCGAGTCTCCAACAGTCTCCCTCTCTGCCAAGAGGAGGCTCTTGGAAGTCCCAATAAAGTTTGGAACTTACCTAATTCTAATCAGTGAATAATAGTCAGATGAGAGGTCGTTCAGCAGGAACTACAGAAGTCGCTCTCGTGCAATAAATATTCCATGTTTATAAATTCGATTATACGTTCCATTTCATAGAGAGAAAAAAATATGCCACGCAGGATGTGCGCATTTTATGTCGTCTCATCAGAAGTGTCAGACTCGCTTGAACCAATCAACGCTGGTGAATTCACCCACACATTCACAGGCAATGATCCCCGTCTCTCCGTTAGACAAGAGATCCTACCTAATTCGACGCAAAAAAAAACTTGACAGTACACACTAAAATCATCATTTAGAATCTCGCGACGAAAGCTTGACGGCACGGGGCCTTCTCGATCCACCGACCTCTGGCGGAGGACCTGCTCCCCCAGCTTCTCCCCCGTGGTCCACGAGTCCAGCCCCACGGTGGCCACGTTTCCTGAACAACGACAAAGATCAAAACAAAGACAAAGATCCCCCCTATAGCCTTAAACCGACTGTAGGGGCAAGTGCTGTTAGCGAGCACCTATGTCGGCACGGCACACGAGGGGGTGGGTGGCCAGCACCACGCCCGACCGCCTTTGTCTCCCTAGTGGCAATGTTTACACACCACACCAGGTACTCATTTGAGGCTGAGTCGACCTAGGGGAGGCCCGGGACCGGTTCCGATAATCGTCACTGGTGTTGGCCGTGAGCGGGAATCGAACCCTGGTCGCCAGGTTCATAGCGCAGCGCGCTAACCGCTACACTATCGCTCCCCACTACACACGCGCACGCACACACGCACACACGCGCGCGCACATTCCCACGCCAATTTTCAAACCGCGTGCGTGGGCTTCAGCTATCGGTGGCAGGTGGTTTCAGGGCGAAGGGTGTCAGCTGAAGGGGGCCCCTCCTCAACCCGACGACACTCTGTCGACCGCGTTGCGTTCGAAACGCAGGGGGAGGAGGAGGGCTGGTGGTGGTTTAGCCGGTGCCGCGCCATGAACCCGGCGACCTGGGTTTAATTCCTGGCGGTGGCTGACACCGGGCAGCATTTGATATCAAAACCGGTTTCCAGCCCCACCTCGCCCCTTTCACCAGCCCGCACTGACCAATATAGTGAAGTATGGTTGTAAAACAATATTGACTGATACGGTGTTGGGTTAGGCCTACGTCCATCGGTGAATAGATTGAGGATGGCTGGAATATATTATTACGTTACATTCAAGCACAGATTGCACGGTTGCAACCTCTCGAAGCCAGATTTCGCCAAGAAAGCGCAAGGTGCACTGCGCTATGAAAGAATTACGAATGGATCCTTCGTCTTACGAACCATGGCAATCAAAACAAATACGAATGAACCGTGCCAATAGAGCCTGGTATTATACCCTTGAGAGAGGAGCTCTCGAGAGCTCCCTCTCGTAGGGGCCTTTCCTCCAGCACCGCAGTGAGCGGGCAAATTGCAGGGCTGCGTCTTGATCTCACATCTACGATGTAGGTTTGAGCCACTGCAAAGCACCGCTGGTGGGCTGCTGGCCGTGTGCACGCTCCGGGTCAGGTTGCTCAGCAGTCGGAAGGTTGTTAAAGTTTAAATCCTGGCTGGGGGTTGTCTCAGCCCATCGTCCACCCACTGGGATTGATAAAATTAGCGTCCCTTTGTGGAGACTTCAATAGTGGTCGTCCTATGGTTAAACTCGCCCCTGGCATGGGAATGTGGAATCGTGGATAATGATGGTTGTCTAGGAGTGATAATGATGGTGGTGGTTGTCCACTATGATAATGATGATCATGAAATGGAGATGATGATGATTGTACAGAATAATGATTACGGTGGTGGTTGTCTCGAGTGACTTGGCCGATGATGTTAACGACAGTTGCCCGGAGCGACGATGAACTTTATTAGTGAATACGTGGTTCATTTTTCAGCAACCAAAATATTTCCAAATTGTCGTGTGGATCAACAATTCTGAATTCCTAACTGGAATGGAGACCAGTGGGCGAGGAAGTGGGTCTAAACGGTTGATATTAAACAACTGGCGGTGATGACGACAAGGACAATGACGCTGTGACAAAAATCGCATCAAGAATGCTCCACGCCCTGAGTACACTACGGCGCTAAAGTTAGCACTTTTTATAGCGCAAGTATTGCCAACCTTTGCACCCAATTATTACCTCTGCCAACAGTGCCCTATCAGATGCTTGTTAATATTTAAGCTTGTACTGTACACTATTCATAAACGCACATTCCCGTTTGTAAACTCTAACTTTATAGACGTGCGTGTGTGTGTGTGTGAACACTGGAAGTGACGTTATTTTTTGTTGTAAGTGTATTTTAGTTTTTATTTTTCAATTATTTTTGTTAAACATGTGCTATTGGCATGAGGTCACAGACGTGAAGGATCCATTCCAGAATACAGAGCAGAGCAGAGCAGCCACGTGTATTGTCAGAGAATGGCTTGCGGAAGTGGATATCGAAGAGCTACCTCTTGAGATTCCTGAAAGTGTGACCTCTGATCCACACGGCAATGGTTAGCATGAGATTTAAAGCAGCGTAGAATTTTAGGTTGAAGCTGCCCCTATAAATGAAACCAATGAACATTCCAGGCTGCAATGTGACATTGTGTGTGCGACTGTAGTCTATCACAGCCACGGTCACACACACAGGACACGGATACTGTCAGCAGCATCTTCTTCGGACACAAACAATACTTTCGGGGTTTATTTAGCTATAAGCGTAGACTCAAATGTATTTTTTGTTGCCAAATTTCAGCTTTCTAACCATTATCGGTCATTGTAAAAATGTCCATCAGTCACTCAGTCATTATTGTCCGTGCATACCATACGGTAACACTCAAAGCTTTGGACACATCGATTCAAGAATCCAATACTGTACAGCCATCTCCTGGCCATCCCACAGCTGTTTTGCTTCGGTAGAAAACAATTATCAGTTTAACAAACACCTTCATCTACTGGGTTGGTTTTCGCTGGTCCTGTTGCAACAACTTTTCGACGCGTCTTCTGGGGGGGTTGTACTACGCGTTGTCCGACGTTCCGCTCCACGTGCTGGCAGCTCCTTCGGAGAATGAATGGAGCAGATCGTATTCTCCCCTAGACTAACTAAAGTGGACGGCTTCTGCTGTTGCTGCTGCTGCTACTGATACCAGCACGTGATGCGAAAACATCGGGCACCGTACCGAACGACACGTGACACACACAGAATCGGCGAGACACACGGTGGCACAATCCGCGACAGGCTGCCGACCTCTGCGTGGGCGTGGGATGAAAGCTGCAACTCGACAACCTTCTCGCGAAAAAGAGCAAGCTTTTGGATAACCATCGAACAAATACGGTCACTGCATCTGTCAAGTTACTCGGCCGTTCTTCTCCCACTTGGTTATGGGCGACGCTTGTTCGCGAGCCAACACAAGCGGCCGGAGTTTGCGTGATGGTTTCTGCTCCCTCCTCTGATCTCGTCAAGGAGCATAAACCATCAACCACGCGAACTCCGCTTCATTGCCGTAGCAGCAGCGGCTTTTGGCTCAACCATCGGACGAAGACGGTCGCTGCGTCACGCGCTTTCAGATGCGCTTCCGCGGCCGTCTGGAACGCATCTTCCTTGCGATATTAAGAAGCGACTGGAGCTATGCACTATTAAATCTAAGTTGAAAACTCCTTTCTTTTCCACCATTTTTTTGTGCAGTTTGTCGTCCGTCCCCCGCACCTCCGATAAGCAGGGTTGGCTACGTAGGGCGAGCGAAGGAAGTTCAACACGCACGCATACGTACCTCGTGCCTCTGCAACATCGGAAGCAAAACGGAGAGAGCGAGAGAGCTAGTTTGCGGTTGTTGTTGTTGTTTTGTTGTTTTGTTCGGTCCCCCCCAACCCCCCACCCCCGCTGCCAGAATCTGTGCGCCGGCCGTACCGTCAAAGGAGTGGACGCTGACGGTGGTGCGGGCACAGCGCTGGTTCGCCGTCCACTCGAGGAAGGTGGAGGGGAACTGGCGTGAAGTCTCGGGGTCCCTGACGGCCTCGGACGCCCCCTGGATCAGCTTGCGCTGGCACAGGGACTTGAAGCCGTTCATCGCGTGGTCCGACACGTACCTGCGCGTAAAGCGAGGCGCGGAGGGGGGGTTGGGTGGGTGACCGTGAATTCGCGAACGCACGCCCGGTACCCACGGGAACCACCATCGCCGCTTCCAGGCGGACGTTTAAAAGATCCCCGTGGCGCCATTTGACAGCGAGTGGGCCGCACGTGCCGGCATCGTGGCCCGACTTATTATGTGCCAACTCTGAGAAGCGACTCGCAACACCCCGCCCCCCACCCTGCTCCCCCCCCCCCCCCCCCCGCTTACTGGCAGGACAATGGCCCGTTCTGTAGGCCAGTACAGCGCACATCCTCGTGCCGTATAGGGACAGCTGCCGGTGGGGGTCCCCTTGCCTACACTGTAGCAGGGCCACTGGAATGGCTGAGGCGGGACTGGAGGCGCTTGTAGTCGCTGAAGTACTGAAGCGAGCGCAACTCTAAATATGATCGCAAATGTGTGAGATTCACCGCCTGCCGCTGACAGAGGCGACAGTCGGTCAATAACAATCTCTCTCGTTTGCATTTGTTCCCTGATCTATGCGTCTTCTCTCTACCATTCCAAGCGCGCGTCTCTCCACGCTCATTTGTGCGCTCTTCACATTTTATTTCCCCCTAATTTTCTTTGTCAGCGTCCATGTTCATAATCCCGAAGTCATCGTGCAACCTCAACACGTTTGTCAACGGCACTGTGACCTTGAATGAAAACGTATAATAGGCAACGGCTAAAGCAAATGGCCCTTCTTCATAGCGCATAACTAGAGAGATCGGAGAGACTGAGTGGATAAGAATTGGACACGGTGCTTTATACCATGGGGCATGATGGGTATTTAATTAGTAGCCGTTGAGCAACAGACAAGTATTCCTCCATCAACTAATTGGTATTCAAAGTAAAATTATAAAATGTTGCTGGCACACTGCATTCTGGGTAGAAACTGCTATACGGAGGTCAACCCTACCACGATTAGCATAATATGCTTAGCGATGCATTCCTGGGCCCAATTTCCCATTTCAATAGGGCTATGTAATAGTGGTTCATATGAGGCGCCACAGAAGTCGGGTCTAACATTTGTAAGTGCGCGACAACTGCACGGTACATTCCTTCACATTCATTATCAAGTTATTATATAGAGACATTGCTCGATATTTTATTAAACCGGTAACGTAAAGCAAGTTCAGTCTTTATTTTATGTTCGTATTTAATAAACGCTCATGTACCCAGGAAAGCCTCACCAAGTCTCCCGACTCTTTTCCAGGTTTTCACAGAAGTGGAGTAAGGGGGGGGGGGCGATGATTTCTAAATATATTCCAATTGTGGGTCATTTTAAAAAGTTGGTAATTTTTTTTACATTGAGGAATTTTGGACCACCAGCCCGCGTTTGTCTATTCTTGAGAACGACGTCGCGGGATCATTAACAGCCACTGTGAGGCGGATGGCACATATATTTTACGGTTCACGCACCCGGTCTATTAAATCGGGGCGGCCGCTGGAATCGAACCGCGAACCTCTGCGACCAAGCTGTGAACACGACGCCGCTGGGCCCGCGTTGCCGCCCCCAAGTGGAATAAAGAAATAACGAAACACGAGCGACGATGAAGCTCGCCGCGAGGTGATCAACACCCTATCAGCCGAGTCATACGATAAACCATATTGCTTAATTAACCTTGAACCAACTCATTTATAACGATAAAAGACTTCCTTGAAGTGGGCTATATAAAAGTGCAAATACAGTATTGGCAGGTCGAAAATCCTCCACTCTAGTAGCCAGTTAGGGTGGCTAAGGTGCTTGCGGTCACGGGCAAGTGCGTTGATTGGGGGCCCTTTTGAAGTGTAAGGCCTCACATGGCCGCCAGACGCACTAAAGAAGTTGAGGGGCGGATGCGACACCATGGGCCATAGGTTTCTCACCATGAGGGTTGCCACCTCTAAGATCAAACAACGAAAGGACCAGGTCATATCACGAGGACAAGAATATCTCGCAATGTCAGAAGACGGGGAAAGCTACAGTCCACCGCAATGCGTCATCTCTCGCGGAGCGTCGTCAATTAACTGACAAATACAGAGGCACTTTAAATGTCCCGAGGAAGACTTACAGATCTCCCACGACAAAGGCTCCCTCAACAAGAGAACGACCGTGCGAAAAACCAGGACAGGTGGCGACGCTATCCACCCCTGATCATAGAGCCCACCACGAGCCCTTGGCACTGGGTGCCACGGGGGGTGTGGGGGGGGGCCTCACTTGAGCAGGTACGGTCGCAGAATGGGCGGCACGGCGAAGCAGCCGAGGCAATTCGCGAGCAGCAGCCAGCCCCGGCGGGCGCTCGCCGGGTCCGGGTTCTGCCACGTCTGGTTGGCGAGCTGGCACAGCACCTCCTGCCGCAGGCCGGGGATGTTGATGGCGCGCTGCACCACGTAACTTCCCAGCAGGAACTCCTGCATGGGGCTCATGGTGCTGTCCGCCATGAAGCGCATCACCTGCGGAGCGGGAGGAGGCCAATTGTCAGGATGGGAATGGCGCTCGACATTTGAGCGCCGAGAAATCTGTGCGTCAGTTACGACAAAATCACCCTGACTGTACCCGATATCCTCGATTCTCAGAGGTCACGGGGCGTCCGGGTTCGAGAACTTCCCTCGCAAGCAGATATCACAGAACTACCTCTAAAAATTCCTTCAAGTGATCTCTGTCCCATACAGTAGGGGAGAGCACTTTATCAAATGCCCTGTTACATGGGAATAATGTTCATTGCAAATTAGTCACACCAATTTAACACGTAGGCTATCCCGACCAATTTCAAATCTGGCTGTCGCCTGATGAAGCTAGTTGTAATTACTGGAGAAACATCGTACTCAGATTGTGAATGTTGTGGATTTGCTCTCCAACACACCGGTGCGCTGTACTAGTAACGAATTGGCATGTTCTGTTTACATGACAAACCTTACTAATTGGCTGTGTCGGCTGGTTGCGGGTTTAATGACAGATTTATATTTACGCGATCTAGCCCAAAAAAACCCTATATTATGACTCAAACCAATGCTTTGTTCATTCTCAGGACTGGCACTTCACTAAATTAAGTGCAGAACCAAATGTTCTGAGATGGTTTATTGTGTGCAGTCATTGGTGAGCACAACAACTCGCTGCACTTCAGTGCCCAGTTTTATCCAGGCGGCTGCCTCAATTTGAACCCAGGATCACAGCGATGCCAGCTCAGCGTTTGGGACTCTTTGCGCCACACGGTTACCTCAAATAAACTCCCAACATCTGAACAAAGCGGTTGAGAAGGATCCGTTTCAATATGTTTGCATAAATATCGCTTAAAATCAATAGAGGAAACGCATGCCAGCTTCACAGAAAGCATTGGCACCTTGATAATCACAGTACAGTATTACTGTACGAACCTCAAACAACGCTAACGGTTAACACTGATGTAATTTTTGCTCGGAACACTGTCCTGTAGAGTCTCAATTGTGTAAACCGACCCTGACGATGCCAGTGAAACATCCCTTGTACCCAATTGTTGAAACGTTGTGGATTGCTCTCCAAAACAACGGTGTGCCAAAGCAGGAACTGAACTGGCACGTTGCTCCCGTAACGTTATTAATTGGCTGCGTTGGCTGGAGGAGGGAATGTTGTTTGCGAAACACATTTTACGGACGCAATCTTACCCAAGAATCAATTGTAAGTCGTAAGAGATCGGTCGCGAAAGCCTACGTGGCTAAATTTAGAGCGGGGTCTCTGAACTCCGGTCCTCGTGACCCGGTACACGGTCCGGCCTGACGCAACTATCGACGGTGAAGTGCGTGGGCAGTGTCCAGAAGCCCCGCGTTGCGCACCAATTGAAAAGATTGGTAATCGCAAAAAGGTGGACGTTGGGAGGAAGTGGACGGAGGACTGGAGTTCCGAAAAGCTGCCGACTTCCCAAAAAATATTTAACGACTGAAGAGTTGACACGCTCTTCTCTGAAACGAGCATAAATCAAGTCGCATTAAAATATAGTAATCAAAGCTGGGCACAACCGGCACGCACACCCAATCGCGTTACGTGACACCGAGCTGTAACTGTTTTTACAGCCACGCGTAAAAGCACTTGCTGAAGAAATAAATTCACCAAGGATTTTGGCAGAGGTGACCAATTTTACGACTCGTCACATTGTTAGCAAGCAGCACGGGTGGTCAGAAAAAATCTGATTTGTTTTTAATTGCACATAAACGGCTTTGGGGAATGCACCAAGACCTTTTCACCTGTTCTGCAACCATGTTTTAAAGTCAACTTATAGTACGGTATTTACTGTGATTAGTCTCTTGGATTGGGCCTCACTTTCATAAAGGACATCTCCTTCCCCTTTACCGAGGCATAGGACGTTGAGCCAATCGCAAACAACATACGCACAAACGGCGTCATGTCACCTCACGGCGTGAGCTCACCAGCTTGAAGATGGATATGGCTTCCATCTGCTCCTCCTCTGTGATGACCTTGGTGAGAGTTGAATCCACCGGAGGTCCAAGGTAGCCGAAGCATCCGTTCTGCGAGCAACAAGCACAGCGATTGGGAGGGCGGGGGGGGGGGGGGGGGGGGGGGGGGGTCCAACCTGAGGTGACGTCCCGAGGGCATCCCCTGGCCGTGCGCAGGCCGAGAGTATCTCACCATACGTCGCGAACGCCAATTACGTACACGTACAGCCCCTTCCGTCAATCCTCTGCTGGATGAGGGTCTCTGCACAACGCCGCGCGGGTCGTGAGGATTATCTCGCCGTGCTTCACCCGCCGCTCGTCAGCGCGGGCTGGCCAAGGCGTGGGACCACAGACATGGAAGCGTAGATGTCCAGAACAATGGGGATTTCTACAGCCCAACACGTAGCCCTGGAGTGGCCGATGGCAATCTGTCTAAGGCAGGATTGCCCCACACTGCTTAGCTTCTGAGATCTGATGAGTCTCGGGCACATTCCGTGTGATTGGCCTGACGGGCAACGTCAATTACAATGCCAATTGTGTATCCAGGAAAGCCTCACTCTTGTTTCCAGGAGGGTCCTGCATTGGGATGTTTGGCCTCATACTGATGAGTGTTTGACCTCATATGGAAGGAAACCAGAAAACTCGAGAAAAAACACAAACGTGAGATTCAACGAGATAATGCGCAATTAGTGTGATTTGGTGGTAGGCAGTGGACTTACGTTAATCTTTGCCATACTTATATTGTGGCTGGCCTGCTATGACCTGTTCTACAAGGGACCAACGCAATGAAGTACTCCGTTGTTCCCTGAACAGACTTTTGGGGCAAGTGCTGTTAGCGAGTAGCACCTATGAAGGCAGGGGTGGCCCAAAAGGGGGTGGGTGGCCAGCACCGAGCCCTGCCGCCTTTATCTCCCCAGTGGCGATGTTTACTACACACCACACCAGGTACTCATTTGAGGCTGAGTAGACCTAGGGGAGGCCCAGAACCGGTTCAGATAATCGTCACCTGATGTTGGCCGTGAGCAGGAATTGAACTCGGGCCGCCGGGTTCACACCTAACCGCGACACTACCGTGTCCCACAAGGCAACGGGGACCTCACCCACCATCGAACAAACACCGATGTTAATCATTGACGTGACCAAGGTGCCTTCTACGGGTGCCACTCTTTTGGTCGGTGACATGAACAGCAGACTGGGGAGGAAGACTACTCTGTGAATGTCCCGCGGGGGGGGGGGGGGGGGGGGGTTCAAGGGGCTCACCTTGAAGGCGCCCTTCGAGAACTTGGAGAAGGGATGGCTGTTGATGTCACGGGGGAGGTCGTAGACCCGCGTGTCCCTCATGGGAGGTGGCGACATGAGCCTCACCTTGTCGCTGTGCATGTGGTACTTGCCTGCGGCACCAACGAAAGAACGTCGTCGCCTTGTCAACGGGGAAACTTACACGGCGAGGTTTAAAAACCGTGCGGGCGAATAATATTAAAGCGGGCAAAGAAATAAATGGGACGTTCAATCTGTAATTCTTTCCAACGTACCTTTGTGCTCAGACGTGTGTGTGTCTAAACGTAAGAATGTGTATAACCCATGGTGTACGTTTGCGATTAGATTGAGACAGAAAGAGGCACACATGGATTAAAAAGGAAATTCACATCGGAGACATTGTATTTTACTTCATCAGGCAGTTGATAGCTCATGACTGATGGTGATGATGATGGTGTTAATTAAAAACGACTTGGGCCTACCACGGTTACTCTCATTCCATTGCCTGGTGAGGCACCAGGACCAGGGCAGTGAAACCAGGCAAGGCAGGCCTGGGCCCTCGAGGCACTAGAAGCAAACTACATCTATGTTTATAATGATTAATGTATTGTTTAATACTTTTATTATTTTATTGTTTCCCTTCTACGTGACTTTACCGAAAGAACCAATAATATGAATCCCTGCAGTCACGAAAGCTTTAAATCAAAATGATTAATGCAGTTCATAAATGTGATTGCATCACACATAATGAGAAGACGTCAGCTGTAATGACATCATCTTGTTTATCAATAACTGAGTAAAAAGTTTTAATAACTTTTGTTATGCTGTTATTGTAATTTCTTGTGAAAATGTCAAAAAATTGCGATACAGCACAGTCGCTGTTGAAATAATCATCATCACCCATTGTCTATGCACGGCTGGATGAAGGCCTCTTCCACGCCTTCCAACATTCCTCACAATGTCACGATCCATCTCACTCTGGCCTCTGATGCGCTGATGTCATCTATGGGTCCCCATGGTGGTGACTGTCTCTCGAGTACATTCCCTCCTTTGGCTGCCATTCCATCACCGGTCTCGTCCGTTGGCCTTCACCCCCACCTTCTAGCCACGTGTTCCTGCCTGCCCCAAGCCCGCATACTTGACTTGATGGTCATTATTACTATCTCTGATTTGAATTGATAAATCAGAGGAGATGTCGAGCACAATAAAAAGGCACCCCCCCCCCCCAATTTGGGGAAACATGAGCATAATGGAATTTCGCTTAACAGGGGCGAACGTTTGTTCACTGAATCATTTAAGTAATCAAGCGTTCACAGTTTCCTTGTTTTACGACGTATTACAACGATCATAATACTCTTTGGTTCTATTCGGTAAAGTCACGTAGGTAAAAAAATAAAACAAAAATCACGACGTTTCGGCCACAACACAAGCGGCCTTCCTCAGGTGAAAAGGACAGACCTATTGGGGAAGGCCACTTGTTGTCCCAACATGTCTGTCCCTTTCACCTGAGGAAGGCCGCTTGTGTTGTGGCCGAAACGTCGTGATTTTTGTTGTTTTATTTTTTACCTACGTGACTTTACCGAATAGAACCAAAGAGTATGGATCCTTGCAGTCACGAAAGCTTCAAATCTAGAAACGATCATAATAATTTACAACAAAATAATGTTAAGCCTTTTGGCAATTCACTGCTGGATGAATGCCGCACCACACTTTGATCTTTATTGTCCCATTAAATAACCCTCCCTTTATGATCCCACGAGTGCTAATGCCTCATTAACCCATGAGGAACCATGGCCTCATTAACCCATGAGGGAACATGGCCTCATTAACCCATGAGGGAACTGCTTTTTGCGTTTCGTTAGCTTGTCCTTCCTCCGCACCTCCGATTAGCACGGTTTGGCTACATAGGGTGCGAAAGGAGGTCAACATGCACACATACAAGGGACCACGTCTTTGTGAAACCAACGAGGGACCTTACCTTCGTACACCCGCAGCAGCATGGCCAGGTCAGGTGGCACCTCCAACTGGGAGACAGCCGTGTTCCTGGGTGCCCATGCCTGCACACACATTCATCATCATCATCATGCTCCTCCATCATCTATCCACTGCTGGATGAAGGTCATCTAGACGCCATCTCTGGTCATCCTCGCAGCAGCGGCTTTTGGCTCAATCATCGAACAAAGACGGTCAACCGCATCGCACGGCGCTTTCAGATGCGCTTCTGCGGCCGTCTGGAACGCTCTGCCTTCCGGAATTAGGAAGCCACTGGAGCCGTGCACTTTGGAAACATCATCTAGATTGACAAACTAATTTCTTTGGAACTGCTTCTTGTTGTGTTTAGTTTGTTAGCCTTCCCCCGCACCTCCAATTATCACAGTTGGCTATGTACGGTGCGAAAGAAGGTCAACATATATACACCATACATGTACACAACATACATACAACAATCCATCTGTCTCCTTCACGCGAAGCAAACATTATTCCATGCATTTCTTCCGTGCAAGCTTTCCCACCTGTGCTGTACAGCTCCCTGACAACACAACAGGACAGCTCCATTACACCATTGCATCCATGCGTACACAACGCATGGATGCGATGTCTCTCTCTCTCGCTGTCTCTCTCTCTCGCTGTCTCTATCTCTCGATGTCTCTCTCGCTCTCTCTCTCTCTCGCTGTCTCTCTCTCGCTGTCTCTCTCTTGCTGTCCATTGAATATCCGAAGCTTAGCATGGTTGAGTCTGGCTAGTAGGTGGATGGGTGATGGTTGAGGCTTACCAGGTGTTGTAGCCGCATACTGTCAATCCATACGGTTTATCAGTATTCTTGTACAGGGAAATTGAGTTTTGAGGTCCATACGGCATGCAGGCGTTTCAATAAGCGCAAAAAATTGTTTTTGTCTATTTGTTTGTGTTTCTCCCTTGTGATGGTACTGTACTTTGTAGGATGAACGTTGAGATGTATAACGGGCCAATAAGGTCTGAATTGGTCTGTGATAAGTTAGGGAACTGATAAGGGGGTGACAGCTGTGTGTAGCCGTGGCGCTGTGAGGTGGCTCGAGAGTGGCCCTGCCGAGTGTCACACAATTCCCTGGCACTGCATATGCACGGTGGGTTCTCTCCGGTTACTCCGGTCTCGTCCCTCACCAAGTCGAGCATCACGGATAGAATTGGCCAAGCGTCCCTCGTGGGGCAGGCGATCACCATTAATCGTCGGAGCGGGGGAATGCAACAACAACAACAAGGGCTCTTTCGGCCAATTCCAGGTGCACTTTCACCCAACGATCGCAAGGCGTTTGGCTTGGGCACGCAGCGCGACTTCCAAGTCAACGCCACGTCTGGCCGCTTGAAGAGGGCAAAGGGGCAGCCCTGCAATCGCTTGCTCACGACCGCCGTTGGCGGAAGGGCCGACACCAGACGGAACTCGAGAGCAGTGGTTCTCAACCTGTACTACCCCCTTGTTGAATTTAGTTTCAACCGAGTATACCCCCCCCCCTCCCTTGCCTGACCCAACATGGTTCTGAGAAATACATGTATGAGTAATATGAACGTCAATAGTATAACCAATTGTCCATTTTATGAGATATCCTAACGAGAGAGTAACTTGCAAGCGAATAAAAACATTTTTTAACGGACGCTGTGCACGCATAAAGTGAATGTGTTCGCGCTCGCTGGTACTCTTGGAAACCCGCACTGTTTACCATCAATGAGTTTACAAAGTTTGACTTAAAGCTTTCGTGACTGCAGGAATTCATGTTATTTGGGTCTTTCGGGAAAGTCACGCAGATAGGTTCAAAGAAAATAACAACAAAAAAACTACGACGTTTCGATCGCAACACAAGCGGTCATCTTCAGAAAAAAAACAGACAACCCTTTGTGTTGCGATCGAAACGTCTTAGGTTTTAAATTTTGATTCAAAGCTTTCGTGACTGCAGTAATTCATATTCTTAGCTCTTTTGGTAAAGTCACGTTGAAGGGAAACAATAAAATATATATAAAACAATATATTTATTATTTATTATTTTATTGTTTCCCTTCAACGTGACTTTACCGAAAGAGCTAAGAATATATCTTAGGTTTTTTTTTACCTATCTACGTGATTTTACCGAAAGAGTTTACAAAGATCTTTTATATCGTTCTTGGTAACCATACGGATTTACACTTTATCGTAGTTATTTTATATTGGCAGATTCATACACGATTATTCACCAATGACGCTTATGTATGATACTGGGTGCTTCAAAAAAACGTTAACACTTCAGAGAATTTGCAACAATGCCACAAGAAATGTGTCTCCGGGTTCTGGAGAGAGACCACCCGGGAAAGATTCCAGGCACGGGTTGACGATGATGGCGAACAAGTGGAGACTCTTTCACTTTTTCAAGCTATTAACATAACATATGTTATCATGTTACAGTATATTGTTATCCGTTGTCTTTCCATTAAAAACGATAGTCCCATGTAAGTATTAACGTTTTTTTGAAGCACACTGTATAATTTCACACATTTAGAAATCAACTCACGCTACCCCCCCTGGGACATTGCCACGACTGCCCCCCTCCCCCCATGGGGGGGTCCGCGTACCCTCGGTTGAGAACCACTGCTCTAGAGTAGCCCCCTCCAGGACTAACGCCCCCTCCCCCTTGGAAGAGGTGGGCATCTTGGAAGAGGTGGGCTTGCCCAAGCCACGCTTTGCGCCGATCGCACGCCGACCTGCCGGTCGATTAGCCGTGGCCGTGCCCACTCACGCCGATGGGTTGGAGAGAGTGGGCAGGGATGTAAGACACTTTACTCATTGTCTCAACCGGCAGTGTCGGGTGGTGTGGGGTGGGAGATTGGAAGCGGTGACGCGAGCACACACCGACCGCGCCGCTTTATTCGACGGTAAATAACAGCCGGAGTCATCAATTATGTTTTGTTCTCCGGCGTGGAACTTTGCACCGACCTTTACGTTGTTATAATCACCACGCTGATATGAAGGACAATACCAAAGCAAGCCTGGCCGCGTTGGGCTTGTTTGTAAACGCCCCAATTGGCGTTTGGCTTGGGGGAAAACAAAACCGCGCCTCCGTTTTAAGGTGTGGCAGGCGACTACCTGTCACAGATGGAAAAGTTTGGCCATAAAACTCACTCACGGGAAAAAAAAACCCCAAACTGGTTAGATGCCAACGCTGAGCATTTAAACGTTGGGTTTCGCTGCTTTGCGACGAACACCAAAACCTCGTGGCCGAGCAAGTAAGTTGAACTTTTTCGCACCGTTACGTAGCCCACCAACGCTAATCGGGAGGTACAACTCCACCTCCCCACGCCCCCCTCCCCCTCTCCTTTGATGCGCGAAGAAAACAAAAGCCACTCACTCGGGCGGGCGTTGCAAAAATAATCTCCATGAAATTCTCTCCCAGGCGAGCCGTCCGCGGGCACATCGCCGACGGGGTCGCACCGGCTCTGCCAGCCACACCTCCGAACGGATGATTTGACAAGGTGCCGATAATGCACAGCCGGGAATGTACCTGGGTCACTACACGCAGTGCGACTACCAGGAAGGGATACCAATGTTCAATACAATTGAATATTGGCACCGGTAACATGATCAATACAATTGAATATTGCCAACGGTAACATGATCAATACAATTTAATATTGCCACCGGTAAAATAATCAATACAATTGAATATTGCCACTGGTAACATGATCAATACAATTGAATATTGCCACCGGTAACATGATCAATACAATTTAATATTGCCACCGGTAAAATAATCAATACAATTGAATATTGGCACCGGTAACATGATCAATACAATTGAATATTGCCACCGGTAACATGATCAATACAATTTAATATTGCCACCGGTAAAATAATCAATACAATTGAATATTGGCACCGGTAACATGATCAATACAATTGAATATTGCCACTGGTAAAATTATCGATACAATTGAATATTGCCACCGGTAAAATAATCAATACAATTGAATATTGGCACCGGTAACATGATCAATACAATTGAATATTGCCACCGGTAACATGATCAATACAATTTAATATTGCCACCGGTAAAATAATCAATACAATTGAATATTGGCACCGGTAACATGATCAATACAATTGAATATTGCCACTGGTAACATGATCAATACAATTGAATATTGCCACCGGTAAAATAATCAATACAATTGAATATTGCCACCGGTAACATGATCAATACAATTGAATATTGCCACCGGGAACATGATCAATACAATTGAATATTGCCACCGGTAACATGTTCAATATAATTGAATATTAATACCGGTAACATGATGAATACAATTGAATATTGCCACCGGTAACATGATCAATGTAATTGAATATTGACACCGATAACATGCTCAATGCAATTGAATATTGACACCGGTAAAATTATCAATACAATTGAATATTGACACCGAGAACGTGTTCAATGCAATTTAACATTGACGCCGGTAAAATTATCAATACAATTGAATATTGCCACTGCCGGGAATGCAACTGGGACACTAGATGCAGCCCCATTACCACTAAGGATTACAAAGGTTAAGAAAACAATCATGGCGAACCAATGGATCTCAGGCAGTAGTCACACCATTGCTATTCTTGAACGCGAAGGCGAAATGTTCAGGAGCTAAATGCCAGTGTAGAGGTCTGTTGGCCGTGAGAGGGCTTCAGCTGAGGGAATTTGCGTAGTTTTTGCTATTCCTCTTCCACTGCAGGAGCGCAGATCTCGGTGGGTTTACTATACGCTCCTTCCTTTGGGTTTAATGGCCACAAACGCACGACACTACAGTGGCTTGTGCCCTTTAATTTCCACTGTGCACAATGAGCCCACTGAACCAACCTATGTTCTACCCTCTCTGCAGTTTTGTCTTTGCAATGCACTGCTGGATGAGGGCCTCCCCGCGCGGCGTGGGGGTCACGGGGAATTATTTGACCATACTTCACCACGCTGGTCAGCGCGGTTTGGTGAAGGCCAGGGAGCATAACCGTGGTTTCGAGCAGAGATGCCGCTGCTGCACCACCCTCTGTTGAACCATCACCCAGGCACGGCGCTGCTGCTGCAGCAGCGCCGTGACTACCCTGGCACGCACGAAGATCACCCAAGCGCTATCCTCGCCTACAAAGGAAACCAGATCACAATAAATCACCGGAACCTATCGTGACCTTTACGGTTTGACCGTGCGCGTGTATGTGTTCGGGTTCACAGTTCCACCTATTATAAACATTATCGACCTACGTAACCTAAACCAGGTCTTCTGTGTGTCCGCACTATCGGTGTATCCGTCATGGGATTCCAGCCTTCCTCATGCCATCGTCGCCGCCTCAGACTCGGTTATCAGAGACGCGTGCCGTTATCCCTGCTGTTTGTACTGTTCATTAGTTTTACGACTGTAGCAGAAGACCACCCCTGGAATCAAGGTTTCCATAAGTTCAGGTCTCTCCCGCACACAGCGCACCGCGCAACATGCTCGGATCCGTGATCGTGACGAACGTTCATGAGTAATCAGAGGGGGTGACCACCAGGGCGTGGAAGCTGCTGTAGGCGTGGGGCTGTGAGATGGCAGAGTTGAGTGTCACCCCCTTCGTGTGAGCGATGGGTTTTTTTTCAGGGTTCTCCAGTCTCCCCCCACATGAAGCCAAACACTCACCGTGAGTGCAATTGGTAAAATAGTCCAATGTAGCATGCTCCTAAAGAGTAGTCGTGAGACTCAGTCAGAGCCAACTGTGCACCTCCGATTAGCACGGTTGGTTACGTACGGTGCGAAACAAGTTCAACATACATGCATACATACTTTCCTGGATTGGTATTATTATTGTTGTTGTTATGAATGAATCGCCATGCTTAGTGACAATATCCCAACGCGATAGGCATCAACAACTCACGTTCGCCATCGCTCCTGTCCCAAACGGCCCCAAGTGGGCCTCGTGTCTCAGCTTCTCTTCTTCTTTATACTGCCAAGGGGGGAAAAAAAAAAGAAAAAAACATTGATTTGATCAGAACCCAACGCTCGTTCCAGGAAGGTCCACGTGGTCAGCCTCCCAGGCTTGATCGTCGCAGGGCCATCGAGATAACCGCGACGTGTAGAACTACAACCGAGCCCGCAGCCGAATGTGCCCGACGTCGCCCCAATCTTGGAAGCAAAGTACGAATAATAATCCTCGCCAGTACTTGGGACGAGCGATCACCACGTGCTGTGGTGGGTGTGCGGCGGCAAAGGTGCGCGACCAGGAGATAGCGGTGCCAAGTGTCACGCCATGCTTGGTGTGCGCGTTGGTCGGGGTTGTTTTATCCCGGGCCCTACCGGTTTCCCTCCCATATGAAGACAAACGCTCGTGAACGGAATTGGCCCAAACATCTCATTGCATGGGGACCCTGGTGGTAAAGGATCCCGAGACTCGGCGAGGCCTGCAGTTACGTCAGGAAGTTATACAGTTTGGTTAGATGGAAGAAAAAAAACACTGCAATTATTCATATTTGCAGGAAGACAGTGAATATATCAACATATTGTCTGGTTTGCCATTTTCAAAAAAAGGCCTTAATAATGATTGTCAAAGCAGCAATAATAAACTTCACAGAAACGCTCCACATGTGTAATAATTGACAAAGAGTTATCATTTCAGATGAGGGTTACTCCCCCTTCGACTCTCGGCAATTCCTCGAGCCATAACTCGAGACTAGGTGTGGCCTACAGACTCCAAAGGAACCCACAGAGATACGGACACTTTTACCCTGCACTGACCCTCTCTTGCATCATGTTCACTATCGTGACCGTGATGTTCACTGCCGTGGACGTGATGTTCGCTTTCGTGGACGTGATGTTCACTGCCGTGGACGTGATGTTCGTTATCGTGGCCGTGATATTCGCTGGGGTGCACGTGATGTTCGCTGGGGTGGACGTGATGTTCACTGGGGTGGACGTGATGTTCACTGCGGTGGACGTGATGTTCACTGTCGTGGCTGTGATGTTCACTACCGTAGCTGTGATGTTCACTGAGGTGGACGTGATGTTCACTATCGTGGCCGTGATGTTCACTGGGGTGGACGTGATATTCGCTGGGGTGGACGTGATGTTCACTATCGTGGCCGTGATGTTCACTATCGTGGACGTGATGTTCGCTGGGGTGGACGTGATGTTAACTGCGGTGAACGTGATGTTCACTATCGTGGCCGTGATGTTCACTGGGGTGGACGTGATATCACACTGTGTGGAACCTCCCCAGATAGTTGTCTACGAGTCCAGGTGCTCCAACATTGTACAATTGCACCGAGTCTGCATTCCTTCAACAGCGATGCTGCTTGTGATGTAACGGTTAGCACACTGGACTTGCAATCCAGAGGTCACCCCCGATTAGCACGGTTGGCTACATATAGTGCAAAATAAATTTAACGTACAAACGCGCAATTTGATCTTCCGGCGTGGCAGTTTGGAAGGATGATGCAAGTGCTTTTTTCACCAACATAAAAGAAAATAAAAAAAACATAAGAGACGGACTGAACGAGCATTTTTTTTTTATTTTAGCCCACCCCTGGGATTCAAGGTCCCGTCTAATCTGCGGTGCGAGTTTCTGAAAAGCACTCTGCCACCCGTCCACCCAGCGGCATAAATGGGTGACACCACAGTTAGGCGATTGGCGGGTCACGTGCGGTGGGGTAAAGTGCGGGTTTAGCCTCACTTCTTCCAACACGTCCGATCAGCATGGAAGAGTAGACCAATACACCCAATAGAACTCCCTCAGGTCTCAAGCGGAAGTCCTTCCGCCAGCAGTCGCACGAGTGAGAAATTGGAGGCCTGCACCTTTACCGTGCTCTCTGGTCCTGTCTCTACTCCAGTCCGCCCCGAAGCCATCCGGAAAATATTCCGTGAGAAATTCAGCACTTGGAGTGAACAGGCAGCCACAAGTTACTGTCAACAAGTTTCCTCGACTGTCGCTACAGATGAACTTTCATTTTGTCAATTTGGCAGCTTGGGAGATGTTGAGCCGTCTCAAGATTTGCGAAAGGCATAGCCATGCTAACGATCAGTGAAAACAAAACTGTAGGAATGCACTGAAGGATATCACAAAACGAGGAGCTTGGGCTCAAAAATATATATACGAACAAAAGTTGCGCAGAAAAGGTGTCCCGAACAAAATTAAACCAACGGTTGGAGGAACACCGTTATAAATACAAGCAGAATATGTTCACCTAGGGCAGTGATTTAAAGTAGATCAGGATCAAACTGATGAAATAAAGAGGGGATCAAGAGCAGAATCTAGTGATTTATAATTAAAAGCAGCATCCCGGAAAGTTTTCAATCAGCGCACACTGCCGCCTATGTTGTATGGGTTAGACGTGGGGACAGTGTCACAGAAAGCGGGAGGGGTGCACAAACTCAGCAAGGGAGAGAGATGCTCGCTCAGAATCACGCCGAGGAAAAGGGAGAGAGAATCGGGCGAAGCAGGGGACGCAAAACCAGGGGTGTCACATCGACCACGCGAGACAGCCACGCGGACTGGAGCGGGCCACGTTCATCGCTTGAAGGGCGCGGGACGAGACTGGCGGTGAAAAACTGCGGCCAAAGGAGGGACCGCAGCCGAGGGGGGCGACCACGGCAGAGACGGAGCGGTGAGATGAGTTCACGTGCAGGAGCAACATTAATTGCGGCAGCGCAGGGACCACGACTGACGGTGTGTGGGGACGTCCTTCGTCCAGCAGTGGATCGAGAATGGCCGATGATGATGATGGGCAATGTCAGCTTTATAACAGCCCATTTCATTTGTTACCGTTTCACCTTATTACTCTCACAAAGCCACCACGTTCGTGCAGCAAATGTATGCGGTTATCTGCTGTGTTCAAGCTTCCCATCCCTTCACGTAACGCTACACAGTCGAGAGACAAAGCTCAGTGGGGAAGCCTTCGAATGTGCAGGCGGTGTAACTGCACCAGCTGCACCCTCGAGGGGCCCAGGACACACGCCGACCATGCTACCACGAAGATCCCCCGTATGGCCTTAACAGACTGTTGGGCCAAGTGCTGTTAGCGAGTAGGACCTATGAAGGCCGGCACGGCGCACGGTGGGGTGGGTGGCCAGCACCACGCCCGACCAGCTTTGTGACGATGTTGACACACCGCACCGGGTACTCATTTGAGGCAGAGTCGACCTAAAGGAGGCCCAGGACCGGTTAAGATAATCGTCACTGGCGTTGTTGGCCGTGAGCAGGAATCGAACTCGGGTCGCTGGGATCGTAGTGCAGCTACGCGACCACTCCCTCGCACGCTAACACACCGCTGCCCGACACGGCACATTTCGCGATAAAAAATATTATTTTTAAAACAACACGAATACGACAACGATTTGGTATTGTCCCATTACTTTCCTACACGGATGATCCATCGCTTAAAAAAACAACACTGCGTCCACCCAAACGTCTCGGTTAGAAAAAAAAAGACCCCAGCGAACAACGCCCCAGAAGAGCCGGCCTCGGCGAGCCGCGTTGTCGACCGCGCGGAGTGGTCCTGCCCAACGCCCTGCCGCACGGGGAGATGGACGGGGAGATATCCCGGGGATGGGTTCTCGCACAAACTCACGACGGCACTCACCCGGCAGGTAGCGCTTAATCCTCTCGGGCAAACCCTCGGTGGCGATCGGCAGGCGTCTTGGCCTCGCCGGTTACTCACGCCGTTGAAAAGAAAGGTCCTCTCTCCGTACGTACGTCTCTAACGTCTGCCTTTTTTTCTAGCAGACTTGAAAAAAAATCGTTGCGGGCCGAATTCTAAACGGGACACCGTTAAGGACTTGGACTTGCGAACACAAACAACGCAACTATTTCCCGTGTCAAAGTCCAGCCATAAAAAGCCGTATTGCGCTACAAACGTTATCTGGCTTTACGCACTACCGCTGTGCGCCCTGCCTAACGCCGGCTCCCAGAAAACGAAGCAACACCCCGTAACATCGCACTGCAACAGGTTGCAAGGGCAGCGCAATAACGGGAGCATCGTAGGGGAAATCTCTCGTCTTTTTGCCGCTTTGGGGAAAAAAGGACGGCCGAGGTGGTGCTGCGTCGTGATCTCGCATTCGTGGATCCAGGTTATAAGTATCTGTGGAATCTCGGCTCCAAGTGGCCCCGTTAAATAGGAGGCATCTGGCCAGCTCAATAGAGCGGTAGGGTCAACACGGCGCATGTCAATGCCCTTCTTTCTGCTTCGTGCATCTCCCGTCGTCTATTTTCCCACACTCTAATACACCCCTGGTCAGGAGAAGTATTAATGCGTATCGACTTATCTACTAACACCCACAATGGTGCTGTTTGTTGTTGACCACCTGGCGTTTTGGGCCTCTATGCCTGCACCAAGGGATGCTTATTTTTATCAATAATTTAAAACAGCAAGACAAAATAAGTCCCTCTATTTCAAATCAGATAAGAGTCCACATTATATATATATAAATAACATATATGCCCCCTGTTCAAGATATATTTAATCAACTAAATTCACATTTCTCCCACCACATAACTCGAGAAAGGTCTGTATGCTGGGTTAATTGACAACTACTGCACTTGGTGCGAGCTAGACAGGAGAGAGGGGAAAAAAAAACCCAATGTCGTGATTATATTGCATTAAGATGCTTGATAACTCAAGTGGCTGGCTGGTCCAGAGGTCTCATGTGCAGAGCTGGTGCTGCTTGTAAGCTGGATTCAAGCCCAGGTTTCAGCCACCTGTGATCACAATTGGTTGGCAAGTCGATGGTCTCATCCTGGTCGCCAAAGCCGCACGAAAAGGCAAACGCCGCGTTAAACGTAAAAAAGAAAATTAATATTCGCTTTAGCGTGATTCAATTCCAGCTGGGAGAATTAAAAACATCGCTTTGTCATGCTACAACAAAAAAACAATAATCTCATATCAAGAGTGTTTGGAAATGTGCACACCGCTAACTGCATGAAGTGTAAAGATGCCAAGTCAATGTCTTAGGAGACGTCTCATGAAAAAACAAATCTCTTTTCCGGTAATTCTCCAACAGACGTGGGGCCACACCGCCATGCCAGCTTTCCCGATGGATTCATCATCTCACGACGGCACGATGCTGACAGGAGAAACTTAGAACGAACTGGGGAAATACAAACGACATCACTTTAAAAGATGTTGAATTGCTTTTTTGACAGGCCTCGTGTATTACTCAATAGCTCGGGGGCTTTGCGTTTGGTTGTGTAAAGACTGAAAAGAGACCCCACGTGGATAATGGATAACACCACACTTAGGCCTTAGGCTTCAAGGTGTTGAGAACAATACTCGTGGATCGAGGCTGCAGGGAATAGGCAACGATATTTATGCGATAGGTAAACATCAAAATGCTCTTTGGATTTTGTCGAGCGTCTCAAATAAAAAAAAAACTGCATAGCCAGACTCTTCACAGAAGGACGTGCATCGTGGAGAAGAATGAAAGCGTTTTCATTGTTGAAGGGAAGAGCCGGTCATAGGAGAAGAGGGATGTCTTGAGAGCAGGGGGTCGACAGGACAGATGGCCGCGGTAGGGAAGGACGTTCCAGATAAGAAGATTGGCAGAGAGAGAAGGAGCAATCTCCCACTGAGCGGAGGTTGACCGAGGGCTTCAACGTAACTCCTTGGTTGCTGGATTGGAAATTGAAAAAAGTGCATGGACGGGAGTAGAACGGGGGGGGGGGGGGGGGGGGGGGGGGGAAGGGGGTGATGTGGGGAGAGATAGGAGGAGGCATGTAAAATGGAACATCTTGAAAACTGTGAGGGAAGTCTTGAGGTAGAACTGGGATTGGATTTGGAGCCAGTGGAGGGATCAGAGTATTGGGGTTATGTCGTTTAGTTTCTGAGTTCAGGTGAGGAGTTTGGTAACAGCAGACTCTGTAATATAGGTAGTACATCAGTGTGTTATCATCTTAATTCAGTGACTATATTCTTCTCAAACTGTCGTGAAACACAGTACACCCCACGCCAACACTTTTATCCCACCTGAGTCAAAAGCAGATAAAGGGTTTTGTGTCACACGGTGAATACGAGATGCTCTTTCCCATTTTCGAATTTTCAGGTCCGGCCAGTGATGGATAACTTTGAACACGGTCGGCTTCAGCGAACCAACGTGGAGATTGATCGCGTGAGCTCCATCAGCCCGCAGCCACCTAAATCTGATCTCTACCCCACGGGGGGAAGGGGGGGGGGCATGCCTATCCACTCCACTCCCCACACGCTGGCGTCTCCTCGCCTGGTATGCAGGAGGTCGTGGGTTCGATCCCGACCCTGACGCCTGCTGTATATTTGGAAGTGTGGTCACTACATCTACGCCTCTATATAAGGAACGAAACGGGTGGACTTCTCCACAAATATGGCTGTCGCCTGATGAAGCTGGTTGTAACTACTGGCGAAACGTCGTACTCATTGTAAATGTTGTGGCTTGGCTCTCTAACACACTGGTTAGTGCTGTACTAGTGATGAATTGCCACGTTCTGGTTACGTGACAACCCTTACTAGTTGGCTGTGTCGGGTGGTGACGAGTTTTAACGACACATTCATATATTTACGCAATCTAACCCAAAAAACTCTATATTATGGATGTATATTTGGAGTTTGCACGTCTCTCTCCCCGTGGTCATGTGGATTTTTCTCCGGGTCCTCTGGGTTTTCCCTCCACATTCAGAATCCACGCACGTTTAGAGCATTTGGCTGCTGCTACACATTTCCACGTGATAAGCCGCTTTCATTGAGCTATCACTTGTGGCCAAGTCGCTTATGAATAAACTCCTTCAAAAAAGTTATCTTATAAACAACGGTTTTATTTTAAAGTGCTACTAAAAAGTAAATAACTCGATTGGACAACGGGAAGTGGATGACATCTTGATTACAAGAGACACGTGGCGCCTGAGACACGTGGCGCCTGAGACACGTGGCACCTGAGACACGTGGCGCCTGAGACACGTGGCGCCTGAGACACGTGGCGCCTGAGACACGTGGCGCCTGAGACACGTGGCGCCTGAGACACGTGGCGCCTGAGACACGTGGCGCCTGAGACACGTGGCGCCTGAGACACGTGGCGCCTGAGACACGTGGCGCCTGAGACACGTGGCGCCTGCTTCTTGGGCGAGGCGATTCCAGAGTTTAGCGACCGCGGCGTTTTTGACCTACACACAAATATATATAAATAATAAGGCGTCCGTACTAAATGTTAATCGCTTTAAAGGAGGCAATTAATTGATTATTTTATGCTGATTTTGATACAGGCACGCATTGTCACCGGATCTGAGTGCGTGTGCAAAATTTCGAATTGATTGGACAACAGGAAGTAGACTACATTTTGATTACAATATTTGACCACGACAAACAGGAGTCAAGTTAAAAATAAAACAGTTGAAAAAGAGCTTCATAGCTCAGTGGGCCTTACCTGGTAAACTAAAATAAATTGTTTAATAGTTACATTTACAGATTTGATCTCGCCGCACGTATTTAATGCTCCGGGTGTCTTTTGAGCAAATTCGAGGACAAAAAAATTCACCGACGGTGCGGCAAATCGTCGAGTTACACGAAAAAAACAAATGTGACAGATCAGCCCACAATGAATCGCATTCAAGAACGCGCGCCATAAACCGTTTGTGGTACCTGCCCATAGTGCTGTAGCGCCGCAGTAAAAGCTGCAAAACTATGCGCATGGCCCTGGTGATGCACGCTTTGCCGTCCATAAACAATATAGGCTCGGCTTAGTTTTAGTGTCACGAGTAACGGGTGAGTGTTACCCCCCCCCCCCACCCCCAAGCGTTAACCAGAGTACAGCCTGGCCTTTGCCATAAGCCATCGTCTTTCCTTATGGCCGCTCACGACCAGAGTTTGCCACCTGTCCCGATTCTTCCCAGGATCGTCGTCTTTTTTGAGACAGCTGCCCTGGCAAATCCATTGCGAGGCTTCCATAAACGTTAAGAGTCCTGCGGGGGCTTTTGCTCTTTTTCTCGAGCCAACTTTAAGTTCTCCCTTTCGTCTTCCTTTTTCCTCCCACGAAATATATCCTGGGGAGTGTTCTTTTTTGCACTGCAGTCGCGACAACCACCACGGGGATGGGCAGGCGGCGCGGGAGGGGCCTGCCACGACACCACAGGCTGGTGCTCATTTGGGCTTGAAGACATGTTCACTTTGTGAGCAGCCCCGTAACTGGGCGGCCCATGAAGGACCGTAGCAAAACCACGCAGCTGTCGACTGCTGAGACATCGGCTCAGTCGCATTCCTGAAATGGCCTTGATGAAGTGAAGCGTGGGGCAGAATTGAGTGCATTGGATGGACCGATGACATCAGTCATCTCAATTTCAAGGCCAGTTCGAAAGAAAACGAATTTCTTTCAAGCTGATTTTTGCTTTTAGTTTGTTGTCCTTACCCCGCACCTCCGAATAGCACGGTTGGCTGCATACGGTGCCTAAGAAGTTCAACATACATACATGAACTCACAGAGAGCCATAGGCTCACACAGAGACCCGTAGTTTGGTGTCCTTAAACTGCACCTCGATGAGCGACGTTCATGGGAACATTAACAAACGACAGTAGCGGTAGAAGAGTCGTAAAGAGGTGGCTTGGCACCAGTAAGCGAGTCAGTGGAGTGAATCGGCGAGTCCTGGATCAACAAACAACGCGACTGCTTTACGTTGAATGCTGTCAAGTGCAGTGAGGTGGGCACTGGGCGCTCCGCCCCAAGATGACAGCGGTGTTCCAACTTGGGGTGGTCAGATGACATGTGCCAGGCATGGTGGGAGTCATGCCTTCCTGTCGTGTGTGAACACACCTCCGAGTATTATTATTTCTCCACCGTGGCTGCCTGTAATCCAGCACTATCGGGGCAGCAGCGAGGGTTGGTGGGTCACTGTAACAAGTGTTGCGAGACTCTCTTCCCGTGGGCGTCCAGGATGTGCCGTACCCTGGCTCACCAGGGGAAGGCAGTACAGTAAGTGGTCGAATCGTCACCGATCTACATTTGTACAGGGATGGAGCTTTGCCCCCTTGTGTATTTTCTTCGGGCGCTTCGGTTTCTTCCAATTTGCATAGTAAGCAATCATCATTGTTGAAACTTTCTGACCCGCCCATACTGGACATCTGTGTAAAAAGAGCTTCATAGGTCATCGGATCCCTCCTGCAGTCTTAATAAAGATTCTGGTTCTGAATCGGCCGAAAACCTCGTAAGATTAAAACCCAACGCTGAACCCTCGTGAAAAATAGTTCAACCACCCAGTGTCGCCTTCCTAGATAGATCAACAAAATCAGTATCATTATTAAGACTCAAGCTCATGCACTGGGCAGGGGGGTCAGTGCAGGAAGGGGTGGGGGGGGGGGGGTGTGGAGTAGAAGGGGGGGGGGGGGGCGGTGTCTCCCGGGAGCTGCGCACCTTCAGGTACCTCCGCGTGAGCACGATGATCCGCACCGCGGCCCGCAGCTGCACCCCGCCCTGCCGGTACCGCTGGAACCGCCGCCTGCGCAACGACAACGAGCCACGTCATGGGGACGGCCGCCGCCGCCGCCGCCGCAACCGTCGCCACCCTCCTAGAGGCCCCCCGACGCGCACACGCAGGTCAAAGGTGACTCACGTCCTGCTCCGGAACACAATCGCCTTGTTGAGGTACAGGCGGTTGCGCTGCCCGTGAAGACGAATAACGCGCGCTATCTTTGTTTCCACGGATTCATAAAACAAAAATAGGAGGCGATTCGAGTGAACTTGGGTGTGGCGCAATTTGTCCCACAATTCCAGTGGATGGACGACCAGAGGTTCGAAAGTGGAATTTTCGAGTTACTTGAGGTATCACGTGAATTGGGTGGTACTCTCCCCAGAAATTAATATTTTCACTTGGCTCGAATTTTGACGCAGGGAACTCAGGCCAGCCCGAGTGAATCAGTATTTTGTCCAAAAACATGGAAATTGTGTTTTATGGCCAGAGAGAGGCAAATAGGGAAATGAACATCCATAAGTTATTAGGTTCATACAAATTGGATATTTGTATTCTGTATTTTATTTAAACACAAATACAGACAGCCCATGCACCTTCTCATTCGGTCTCTGCCAGACTTCCAGAGGGGAGAGTGAACACCCAAAGCCCATCGGTTATACTCATGTTATAGAAGTAGAATGTTAGAAATATCAATTAATGGGGCGTCACTGTGACGAGATGCTAACTGCCTCACCTGGTATACAGGAGGTCGTGGGTTTGATCCCAACCCTGATGCCTGTAAATTTGAAGTTTGCATGTTCTCCCCGTGGTGGTGTGAATTTTTCTTCAGATCCTCCGGTTTTCCCCTCCACATTAAGAAACATGCGTTTAGAGTATTTGGCTGCTATACATTTCCACATGACAAGCCACTTCATTAAGCCATCATTTGTGGCCAGGTCACGTCTGAAAAAGAGCTATATAGCTTAGTGGGCTTTACCTGGTAAAATAAAAATAGTTCAGTTCAAGTGGGTGCCAAGGCCCCTTCATGCATAATAACAAAAAATACCGATCTATTCAGATTGCTATATGGAGCACTGGCACAAATGTTTAGTGCACTGCACCATAAACGTGGCGACACATAACATGAAGGGCGAGCGACTTCTGAACAAGTCCCCGGACCTTCCCTTCGACAACGCACACGGACCCAGCATGAGGTGGAGTACGGTCAAACAACCCCCACGACTGGTTGACAAAGAATCGAAAACAATCGTGCAAAGATAATTAATCACACAGAATCAGTAACCTGAAAAGGACCAAAAGAAATGCTGACATCTCTCATGCCCATAAAGTACAACCCCACTCACTGAACTTTATCCCAGCCCTGTCAAACTGGAGCCACCCTTTTCAGTGACGCACACAAAAGCTTGTACGTACGCACGCACGCACGAAACCCACACCCACACAAAATAGACTTCTGGTCTCTCAAGCCCTCGCCGAGTTAAAAAAAAAATAACAAACTTGAACTTAGAACCAAAAACAATACGGCAGTTTTCTATTTATATAGGGCATAGGGGTGCCTGGTGATGAGGACATCTTATCTCTGTCGCCGAGTACGCAGGAGGTCGTGGGTTCGATCCTGTACCCTGACGACGCCTGTTGTATATTTGGGGCACATGTTGCCTCTCTTTCCCCGTGGTGGTCGTGTGGATTAATCTCCGGGCTCCTCCGGTTTAACACCCTTCCACGTTCAGAATCAACACGCGTTTAGATTCTTAAACTGCTGCTATAAATATCCACGTGCGATGACGAAATTGGCCACTTTGATGAGGTATCGTCACGCGTGTGTCCAGGCCGCCTCTGACACAGCGCCAACAGCTCAGTGTGCTTTACCTGGTAAATAACACAATACCATACTCTTTGGTTCTATTGGGTAAAGTCACGTAGGTGAAAATAAAATAACAAAAAATCACGACGTTTCGGCCACAACACAAGCGGCCTTCATCAGGTGAAGGGACGAGACTGTCTGGAGGACAGCGCTGGAGTGGGAGAAGCCACGCTTAGATCACGACCTTTAAGCTGTGTGAGAAGAAAACACAAAGCGCCTTGACAAAGGAATTAGCATATAATTTAGCATTGAAAGGGCTCATTGAAATAGCTAAGTTAAAGTATACTAAAAAAAGTAACTTAGCTATTTCAATGAGCCATTTCAATGCTAAATTATATGCTAATTCCTTTGTCAAGGCGCTTGGTGTTTTTCTTCTCACACAGCTTAAAGGTCGTGATCTAAGCGTGGCTTCTCCCACTCCAGCGCTGTCCTCCAGACAGTCTCGTCCCTTCACCTGATGAAGGCCACTTGTGTTGTGGCCGAAACGTCGTGATTTTTTGTTATTTTATTTTCACCTACGTGACTTTACCCAATAGAACCAAAGAGTATGGATCCTAGCAGTCACGGAAGCTTTAAATCTAGAATACAATACCAGTTTAATTCATCTCCTAAACATGACTGCACATCGTGGCATCGGTCGGGGAAGTTTGGATAATCCGTCGCGATCGCCACGCGCGAGTGTCCAAAAACTTGTCAGGACCCTTCTGAAAGACAGTCACGAGACTCCGTGAGGCCTTTCTGGGTCAACAAACGTCAACAATTATCAATATATATAAAAAGATCTGGACTCAATGCCGCCCATTCGCGTTTTAACATTGAGTTTGTGTTCAAGATAACGCATGCACATACACAGATAACGTTCCCCATGTTAGCATTAGATACCGTTGGAGGAGCGACCCGATTACGAACTGAACAACACACAAGGCAGCGTGGGGGATAGGCCAGGAATAAAACACAAAGATCCCCAGTATAGCGTTAACAGACTGTCGGGGCAAGTGCTGTTAGAGAGCAGTTGAGCACACATACAGGCACATATCATTCTGTAAAGCAGCGGTTCCCAACCCCGTGGCAAGTTTGACATCTCTAGGGGAAACATACGCGAGTCCTGACATTTTTCTAAGAGTTCAGGGCCTGTGGTTATGTAATATTGGAGAGTGAGAGAGAAGATCCTGCGAATAGCACCGAGCTCAGGGTTCTGCATTAAGGTGTTCAGGAACACCGCTTATATATGGATTGCGGCTGCAGGATCCAGGCTACGGGGTGGGGTTTACTGACATCGAAACAATGTGACACGATCTTGATTCATGAGACCAATGCCACGTTAACTACGAGTCTGATCCCACTGAGGCCATGCAGCAAGCAGCAAATGCGGCGCCACCTGTCCCACGTGTTAAGTTCTTTCCGCGCGGTTCTGCGTGATCCCCCCCCCCCCATCAGCTCCCGCGAGCAGCGCAAGCACCTGGCCCTGAAGCCGCGGATGTGGGCCTGCAGGACCACGGCCTTCTCCCGGAAGACGCGGTACTGCTTGCGGAGGATGTAGCCCCGCAGGTGCCGCTGGATGGTGATAGCCGCCACCTTGACCCGCCGCTCGCGCTCCCTGTCCAGTCGCACGTACAGCGCCTCCTTCATGAACACCTGGACACCGCGCAAGCACACACGCCTGTATGTTGTATGTTGTATGTATGTTGAACTTCTTTCGCATTGTACGTAGCCAACCGTGCTAATCGGACGTGCGGGGGAAGGACAACAAACTAAACACAAAATCAATTCAAAAGAAACGAGTTTTCAATTCAGATTTAAAAGTGCATAGCTCCAGTGGCTTCCGAATATGGAAAGAGCGTTCCAGACGGCCGCAGAAGCACATCTTAAAGTGCTCGATGCGATGACCATCTTTGTTCGGCGGCTAACCACAGCACAACGGCAGTGGGATTCTAATAAAATATATATGGCGGTATTCGTGCAAAAACTGCACGTCACAACACTGTACAAGAAAACAGCAAAAAAAGATAACAATTTAATACTCAGCAGCGCGACCGCGGGTGTGCAATTACCGGTAATGGATTCCCAGTCGACTCAGATGTTCTGGGTGCGATTCGTTTTGCTTTCATTGTTTTACACGCTTCTGACAATTCTGTGTGTCCCCCCCCCCCCTCCCAATTGTATCCCAACTGTTGTCAGTGTCGTGCAACTCAACGAAAATTCCACAAGGAACTCCCGCACAACTACTTCCGAGAACCCTTCAAGTGACGTCGGGTCCGCTCAATAGGGGGCAGCACTTTCCCGCCCATCACGTTACAGGTACAAATCGCTTGTTGCGTCAAATTTAATTCTCAGAGCGGGAATTTAGCTAAAATTTAGTGCAGAACCAAATTTAGCGAGATGATTTATTGTGTGTGGTCCGTGGTGAGCACTGCACTTGAGAACCCAGTTTCATGCAGGTGGCTGCCCAGATTCAAACCCAGAGTCTCAGTGATGCCAGCTTCAGCGGCTCTGACCTCTGAGCCACCCACCCACCCAGCTCGGCAATCTGTGTTCGCTTAACCATGACGTACGAGTGCAGTTCTCTCACACATTTCTTAGCTTTGTACACGCATTAGGTCCGAAATACACTCTACTTTTGTCAAAGGTATTTGAAAATCCTCTTCGATACTCGGTACAGAAAATGCTTCCCCCTTCAGCAATGCCATCTCCTGGCAACTGCACTCCTGTCTCACCTGGCTGAGGCCTATCCTGAATAGGCCCTCGGGTTCTGGCTTGAGGATGTTCAGGATGGAGAGGCACCCGTTTTTCCCTTTTCCAGTGCTTTCTGTCAGAACTGCATATCTGAGCCGAACAACATAATGTATCATCATTTGCACATTAAACCATTGAAACGAAACAACAAATATTTTATACTCTTTTGTTCTTTCGGTAAGGTCACGTAGTAGGTATAAAATAAAATAAACGAAATCACGACGTTTCGATCGCAACACAAGCGACCGTCATCAGGTGTAACAGATACTGCAGGAGAACTGCTGACGTAGGAGAAAGAGCTGCTGCTGCAACAAGAGTTTATATCGTATTTTGGTGGGCTCAACCCAAGGCTAAGTGGGCAGAGCTAGAGAAGGAATTTGTACGTCAAATCCAGATAGAACAAATATTTTACCAGGTAAGGCCCACTGAGCTATGCAGCTCTTTTTCAGAAGCGTCCTGGCCACCAATGGTGGCTCATCGAAGTGGATTATCACGTGGAAATGTATATCAGCCAAATACTCTAAATGCACATTGATTCTAAATGTGGAGGAAAAAACCGGAGTACTCGGAGAAAATTCCACGTGACCACGGGCAGAGAGAGACACGCAAACTCCAAAAATGCAGACGTCAGGGTCGGGATCGAACTCACGCGCACTCCTGTATACCAGGCGAGGCAGTTAACATCTCGCCACCGTGACGCCATTGACATTTGCATGTAAAACCATTTGTATCCAAAGATCGCCAGACATCGTATTGACCGCTAACAACAAAACTAAGTGGGCCTGAGCGAGGACGCACGGCTAGAATGGATGTTGATCGACGGGCGATACTGGCGACAGAATGGCAGCCGAAGAGAGAGCACATGCTCGAGAGGATGAACCACAGTGGAGATGGAGCAATGAGGTCAGCTCGAGCGTAAGGAGATGTGATGGATTGTGGTGTCGCAGGACCATGAGAGATGGAGCCAGGACATGTTAGAATGGACGATGTTCGATGACCAATAATAATAATAATGGAGTGCCAGCCAAGGCATGGAACGCGCAGAGGATGTTTTTTTTCCAAGGAGATGGAGCAATGAAAACAGGTCGTGTGTAGGTGCTGGTTGGATTGCTACATCGCAGCTAGGTTCGCGAGAGATGCCTGCGGCTTGGGGAGGGGCTTTCATCCAGCGGTGGATGGACCGTGTCTCGTGACGATCTGACATGTTTCGACCCACGTGGGTGGGTGTTTTGTGGGAGGGCCAACCCATATGAGAGTTAGTTAAGTAACTGCACAGGCTAGGAAGGGCTGCCACGTATCGGTGGCGGACGCGCCATTGTGACGCCAGTAGGCTTTTTCTGGGCTTATGCGTGTGGAGTTTCAACTTTCCGAATGCATTTCCATCAAAAGTACAAAGGCACAGGCGTTCGTTAGAGGCCACGAGGCCTCCCCCACCTCCTGATGAAGGAGTCAAAGGGCATCCGCACCGGGAATCCGGCCTTGCGGATTCGAATCGTCTCCAGGATCCCCAGGTACCGCAGCTGGTTCCGTACGAGCTCCGGCTCAAACGAGCCGGCTTCCTGGTGAACGGAGATCACAAGCACGGTCACTTTAAACGTCGCTCTCCTTTAAATGTTACAAACGCGTCGATCGGAGAACGCCCATTCTGTATGTATGCTGAACGTATTTCGCACCGTACGTAGCCAACCGTGCGAATCGGAGATGCGGGGGAATGACAATAAACTAAACACAAGAAGCAGCTCTAAAGAAATGAGTATTCAATCTAGATTTAAAAGTGCTATATAGTTCCAGTGGTTTCCTAATATCGGAAGGAAAAAGGTTTCCAGACAGCCGCAGAAGCGCATCTGAAAGCGTGCGATGCGGTGACAGTCCTTGTTCGATGGCCAGCCAAAAGCTGCTGCTGCGAAGATCACTGGAGTTTGTGTGATGGTTTAAATGCAGGCATAATTAGTTTAACATGTAGGCTTTCGCGACCAATATCATCCATAAGAGCTTTTTTGGGTTAGATCGCGTAAATATATGTCGTTAAAACTCGCCATCACCCGACACAGCCAACTAGTAAGGGTTGTCACGTAAACAGAATTGGCATGTTGTGATGAATTGTACACCCTCCACCACCCCCCACCACCCGACACAAATGTGTGTCATAAAAAAACTGGCAACTGCCCAATGGTGCTGGTGGTAAGTAGCAGCAAAACGCCGTACCAACTTGTGCAATGCCGTGGAGTGCTCGCTCTCACACACCGGTGTGCCACAGCAGTACGTTTGTTCACGTGACAACTTTTATTCATGGGCTATGTCGAGTGGAGGAGAGTTTACAACACACATTCTACTTACGCGATCTGACCGAAAAAATATCAATTACGTTTCAATTGTTTCTGCTTAAAACCCTATTCCTCTGCATTCTAAATGCACGAGTAGGATTTTTTTGTAATTCAACGGCCCTTGAATTTCCCCACGTCAAGTTTTTGAGACCTCACTAATTATGATTTCGAAAGTCAATCTGAAAACCCGGTGAAATGTTGCCCTCGGTGCGCCATTTACCTTCCTGGAGTTTGGCTTCAAACATCGAATCAAACACGTGTTGCACCTGCAGAGGAGAACCATTCAGACGGAATTACGACGGCAATCGTCCACAATTAAAACATTATTTTTTTTCCATTCCTTTTTTTGTTAGGTCCCAAGGTGTCCCTTGCAACATTATACTTTTTTTAAAAATCTAAAATGGCTCTCAACTGCCACAAAAGGGTCTTTTTTTCTTCCCTCCAAGCACTTGAGATGTTCACACAACCAACACACATTGAAACTCGGCGCTTCACGTGACGCAGAGAAGGAAAACGAAGGCACATAGCTGCCCACAATGCACTGGGCCAAAAAACGAACAAAAAGTGCCATATGGGCAGCTACGTGCCCTTCATGCGCCACTTTCTGCAGCACTGCGGTGGATGCTGTCAACCGGGGAGGTGACACAACGATCAAGTCCACCCCGGCGGCGGGTAGAATGTTGTAGCGCAGGATCGCGAGAGGTGGCGGTGGCTTGGGGAGACCTTCATTCAGCAGTGGACTGACCGTGGCGGCCGATTACGATCATCACGATGATGACGCATTTGAAACTGTCAAGATTTAGATATGTATATGCCCTTGTGGGAGAGCCAAAGAGGTTGCCCATTGCGGAGAAAGAGTGAAGAAATCGGCTGGGAATTTCTTCGAAGCTTCTTCGCACAGAGGTCAACCACACTTTTGAAAGCCCCCCCCCCCCCCACCGTGGCCCATCAGCGCCTCCTCCTCCTGTGTGGCTTTTCCCCACCAACCACTCACTGCTCCATGCGTGACAGCAGCTCCTGCAGGGAATGCTGGAAGGCGGAGGAGACCGTGTGGCCCAAGGGACCGCCGCGAGGACCCGGCACCGCCGCCGCCAGATGGCGCCGAGTCTGAAAGATCTCGGCGAGCAGCTGAGGACAGAAGGTCGGGCGTGGGACACACGAGGGCAGCTCAGTGACTCGAGGGAGGAGGTGGACTCAGCGGAGACAGCCGCATGTCTGCACGTACACACGGTGGGTCTGTTCCTTGTTTATCGGTTGCGTATTGATCAGGCGTGTGCATACGTATGTATCTATGTTGAGCTTATTTTGCACCGTAAATAGCCAGCTGTACTATTCGGAGGTGCGGAGAAAGGACAACAAACTAAACACAAAAATCAGTTTTCAATCTAGATTATTTAAAAGTGCATAGCTCCAGTGGCTTCCTAATATCGTAAAGAACGAGCGTTCCGGACGGCCGCAGAAAGTGCACGATGCGGTGACCACCTTCTTTGTCCACCCCTAGATGGAAGTGTGTGTGTGTGTTTATAAAATATCGTGCTATAGTGGTGTGGTATTTGTTTTTATGTTCGGCGTGTGGCAGTGGCGAGTGAGTGTGTGTGCGTTGATTTGTGATCGAGGCGAGCGTTTGTGGTGATCGTGTGGCAGTGGCGAATGTTTTTTGCTGAGCGCGTGTGCATGTGTGGCAGTGGTGGTGCGCCTAGCTTGGCACAAGTGCAATGGTGACGTCACCGCGACTTAGCGGCGAATAGCAGCTGTCGATGTGAGCATGTAGTTTGCGGTCAGCGCGTGACAGTGGTGAGTGTTCGGATCGGGTGAATGGTAGCGAGCGGCGAGCGCTGGCTGCACCGTGGGAAGGGAGCTACCGTGCAACTGCTGCCAAGGAAGAGGTCCATCACATCCTGCCGCACGTGCTCACGATTCTTCTCCACAAAATGAGACACCTGCGCACGGCAGAGTGCAGCAGGGCGACGCGAACGTTCATTCAGCTCAAATTTGACTCGATCGCAATCGGCGCTCAAGCCTGGCAAGCGTCCGAGGAGAATATTTCACAATGCCTGCAGCGTCTGGAGCGGTGCACGGTTTGTGACGTTCAGATTTCTCAGGACAGGCCTCAATTCTGGATGTTAAAAGTCCCAGTGTGTGTCATTTACAAGTAACAGACCACTCAATAGAATACATTTGCATGCAGTTTCTCCCCTCTTGTGGTTTTTATAGATGATCTGCTTCTTCTCTTCCCTAGGATCTGTCCCGGATTTTACTCCTCAGAAGTGGCAACCCGAGCAATGACGCCTCTGCGCCACCAAGCACGTCCGAGAAGAAGAGGAGCCTCCATACAGCCACCACACAGAAGCATCACACAGAAGCATCACACAGAGAAACCCTCATACAGACACCACACAGAAGCATCACACAGGCAGCACACAAAGAAACCCTCATACAGACACCACACAGAAGCATCACACAGGCAGCACACAGAGAAACCCTCATACAGACACCACACAGAAGCATCACACAGGCAGCACACAGAGAAACCCTCATACAGACACCACACAGAAGCATCACGCAGCACACAGAGAAACCGTCATACAGACACCACACAGAAGCATCACACAGGCAGCACACAGAGAAACCCTCATACAGACACCACACAGAAGAATCACACAGAAGCATCACACAGAGGAACACTCATACAGACATCACACAGAAGAATCACACAGAAGCATCACACAGAGGAACACTCATACAGACACCACACAGAAGCATCACACAGGCAGCACACAGAGAAACCCTCATACAGACACCACACATAAGCATCACACAGAAGCATCACACAGAGGAACACTCATACAGACATCACACAGAAGCATCACACAGAAGCATCACACGGAGGAACACTCATACAGACATCACACAGAGAAACCCTTTTACAGGCATCACACATGCTGTAGGAACTCATACAGGCATCACACGGAGGAACCCTCATGCAGGCATCACACAGAGGGCCAGCCTTCATAGAGGCTCCTAAACCTTTGGACCCCTCAAGAGGCACGGTGAGAGCAGGCCACGATGGACGTGCCTGGTAGGTGACCCGGCCCGCGTAATGCTTTATCGTGAACTCAGGCAGAGGGATCTTGGGCTTGCTGTAGAGCTCGTTACCACCGTGGTGGTAGTGGCACTTCTGCAGGAAGCTGTGGTCTGAGGCCTGCACACACACACACAAATAATAACCCGTATCGCCTTAACAGACTGGGTAGCAAACACCACGCCCCGCCACCTTTGTCTCCCCAGTGGCGATGTTTACTACACATCGCAACCAGGTACTCATTTGTGGCTGAGTCGACCTAGGGGAGGCCCAGGACCGGTTCAAATATTTGCCGTTATTATTGGTCATGAGCGGGAATCCAATTCGTGTCCTTGGGTTCGTAGCGCAGCGAACCAACCGCAACACTACCGCTGCCCACATCATTCCTGCACACGCAGACACAAAGATAAAGATCCCCCGTGTAGCCTTAACAGACTGTAAGGGCAAGTGCTGTTAGCGAGCACCTCTAAAGGCCGGCACGGCACACGAGGGGGTGGGTGGCCAGCACCACGCCCAGCCGCCTTTGTCTCCCCAGTGGCGATGTTTACACACACGCACCAGGTTACTCATTTGAGGCTGACTCGACCTAGGGGAGGCCCAGGACCGGATCAGATCATATAATCGTCACTGGTGTTGGCCGTGAGCGGGTTCGTAGTGAACACCACCGCTCCCCACATCATTCCAGCACACGCAGACACACACACGCACACACGCAGACAAAAGAGACAAAGATCCCCCATATAGCCTTAACAGACTGTAGGGGCAAGTGCTGTTAGCGAGCACCTATGAAGGCCGGAACGGTACACGAGGGGGTGGGTGGCCAGCACCACGCCCGACCGCCTTTGTCTCCCTAGTGGCAATGTTTACACACCGCACCAGGTACTCATTTGAGGCTGAGTCGACCTAGGGGAGGCCCGGGACCGGTTCAGATAATCGTCACTGGTGTTGGCCGTGAGCGGGAATCGAACCCGGGTCGCCAGGTTCATAGCGCAGCGTAGCGCTAACCGTTACACTATCGCTCCCCACACACACGCAGACACACACACGCGCACACGCAGACACACACACACAGGCTCGGACCTGAGGGAACGCGGTTTGGTCGTCAAGGATGTGCAAGATGCCGTGCGGCTTTTGTGCGATGAGGGCCAGGCAAGGCTGATTGTCGCAGAATGGAACCTCCTTCCAGCTCAGCCGGTCCCGCACATACTCCTCCTGCGTGCTCGTCCAGGCGAACACAAATGCGAGCAAGTTCAAGCAAAATTCCATCTCCACCATCACCGAGCGGGAGCCGCAGGCTAAGGGGCCGTCCATAAATGACGTCACGCGATTTTGGACGATTTTTGACCACCCCCCCCCTCATTACACGGCGTCACAAAAAGTCAGACCTCAAATGACGTCAAAAAAATATATTAAACATGCTTCAAATCGCTTTAAACTATTGTCATTGTAGTGCGTATTTACTGTGGCGCTGCACTCTGATGTTGTAGGAGAAAACATTTATTAAAAAGTCTATTTAATTAAGTAGAACGTGTTGTCTATATTTATTTTTAAAGTTGCGCATTTTGATGTGACGTCACATTTCTCAAACCCCCCCCCCCTCGTCACACATCGTCACAAATGTCTGACCCCCCCCCCCAGGTGCGTGACGTCATTTATGGACGGCCCCTAAGCTGGACGGCTGCCGGGGCGGTGAGCCGGCACCAACGATTGCTCCGCAGTCCTCTACGTATCAAGATGCTTTCAACCACTCTGCGAGCGTTCATTATGCACGTGGGGAGGAAACCGGAACGCCCGGAGGAAACTCACGCGGAGTGGGGGGGGTTCAGCAACACTCCATCCCAAACAGAAGGGACCGACATTTGTCCACACTTTGCTCGACTGCATTCTGCTCGTAGAGCCAAGGGGCACTGCACTTCGGCGTCCGCGGAGGGGGGCGGGGGAGAGCCTCGCTCCCGCCGCAGCGCTTGCTACGCCACAAGGCCACGTGCGTAGCCACCGACGCGCACCTGCTCCTGCTTGAAGATGATCTTGTTGATGAAGGACTGCAGGCACTCGTTGGCGTAGTTGATGCAGAGCTGCTCGAAGCTGTTCACACCCAAATCCTGCACGCACAGCCGGAAGGGGGAAAGCGGCCACCCACTCACTCGCTCGCGCTCTCTCTCTCGCTCTCTCAGAGCCTCGTAAAGAGTGATACATCTCTTCACATGCAAGTGCGAGCAGTATTCGAACGTGCATCAGCAGATTCATGTTAAACCTGTTACATGCAATGCCACAAAAGTCTGACAATTCGTGAGCTGCGTTTTTTTAAGTTGATCTGGGCAGCAACGGTTTTGGTCTTCCTAAGTTAATTCGTTTTTTTGTGTGTTAATTATCACCAGATTGGAAACCCTTACAATGAAATGTCCCAGGTAAATAATGGTCCATATTATTGTATCTACAAATATCACAAAGAGACATTGAAACGAACAGGCGGAGCAGAGAAGAAACACAACTCTGAGGCATCACTTTTGACTTTGAAAAAGCGGGCTTGAACAAGGGATGACGGCTCTTGGATGAGACTGGTCACAGAAAGGTAGCCAAAAGCAAGACCACAATCGACAGCCCAACCAAGAGTGGAGATGGAGCAACGGGTTCAGTTCACGCACGAAAGTGAGATTCATTGTGGCAGCACACAGGACCGTGAGTAATGGCGGTGATGTCGGTGGTGCGGAGGGGGGGGCCTTCATCCAGTAGCGGATAGAGCGTGACTGATGAACATTATGACGATTACGCTTACATCTAAAGAGCTATAATCGACTCCGTATAGTTGGGGGTTGCTTAATCTCGTCCGGTCGTGACCGCCGGCTGTGTCGGTGAAGAGGGAAACTACGGCGCAACGAAACGCCCGAAGCACCTCAAAGCCGTAAATGTCGAGAATGGCGAGGGTTACACCCTGCTGCGTGGAGGCCCCCTTGGCGTTGAGACGCGCGATGATCCAGGCGAACAGCTGAGTGTACAGCACCTTGGCCAGGGTGTCCCTGCAAAGCATCGTGGGAGAAATGTTTTTCTTGACAGTCAACTCGTGATTGTCGTGGGCAGTGTGCGGTGGCATGGCCGAGCGGTTAGTGCCACAAAAATTACTTGTTGAGTACCTAAGTTGTATGGAGATGTATTCTTGGGTCTTTCGGTAAAGTCACGTAGATAGGTTCAAATAAAATAACAAAAATAACCTAACCTATCCAGGCGACTCTACGTGACTTTACCGAAAGACCCAATAATATGAATTCCTGCAGTCACGAAAGCTTTAAGTTAGTGTGGAGATGAAGACGTAGAAAAAAAATTGTATCTTAAATCAGTAGTGGAGTAACGAGCGAGGAGCAACTAATTGTAGAACCAGCATGCGCAAAAATGGTACAAACGAGCGTGGAACATCCTATCCTCTTATTTCTACTCCTTTTTATCACAGACTTCCCCAGAATTCATTGCGAGCCACACGGACGACACTCACCTGGCTTTGACCGAAGCCTCGACAGAGAGAGGGGAGAAAATTTTCTCCCGCATCGTCTCCTGCAAACAAAGACTCCGTGTGATTAGTTCCAACACAGCGGGCACCGATCCTTAAGCTTAAGATAATACAAATGTGTATCTATATATGTATGCTGAACTTGATCATAGGTTTTCCCCTTTTTTCTGGCAGTAAAACAGGTGTTAAGATGTTAAAACACAATACTTGTGGTCAGAATGCATTCAAAAAACATACTCCGATAGTACATGCATTGTCTTTGAAACTAATTTGTCCACACCAGAGGCAGCTTTCATCAAAATAAAATCATCATTGCTACATGATGGTGATGATTGTGATCGTGATGATCATGCTGATGATGATCATACATACATACATCTTTCCCCTCTTTCGGGCCACTAATTAAAAAAAAAAATGTGTTCGAATTTCATAGTTTCCAGTGCGAGGTCACAGGGTGGGCGGATCGGTGCCTGACCGTGAGCTTGTAGGTGATGGACATCTGCAGCTTCTGGAAGGAGACCTGCAGGAGGTCGGCAGTGATGCGCATCTCAGGCCCGCTCGCCACGCATGCCACCTCCTGGCGGTCCATCTGCGGGTGAACGTGGAGGTGGAGCACACAGAGGTGGAGCACACAGAGGTGGAGCACACAGACATGGAGCGCACGCGGGTGAGCGTGGAGGGGGAACACATTGAGCAGATAGGTGGAGCACGCATGGGTGAGAGTGCAAGGGGAAAACAGATGTGGGGCACATGTTGTTGGACATGGAGGCAGGATCACAGGTGGGTGGATCACGTAGTGTACGTTGAGCTTCTTTCGTACCGTACGCAGCCAACCGTGCCAATCGGAGGTGCGGGGAAAGAACAACAAACTAAACACAAAAAGCAGCTCTAAAGAAATGAGTTTGCAATCTAGATGATTTCAAGGTGCGTATCTCAGCACACGTGGAAGGTCGCGTAGGTGTTGGGCAGGGGTATCGCACGTACGTTGGACTTCTTTTGCACCGTACGCAGCCAAACCGGGGGTAGCGGAGGGGTGGATGGGACGGACGGCAAACTAAACGCAGCCGAGAGGCGCGGGCGAGGAGGCCTCCTTGCGCTGCCGCCGCCACAGCAGTAGGGGGGCCGCGGCGCGTCGAAGCGCACCTCGGCGCGGGCGAAGTAAACGTTGCCCAGGTGCAGGATGGCGGCGAGGATGCGGAACAGGGCGCCCCGCTCCTCCAGCGAGAGCCCCAGGCGCTCCAGCGCCCCCCGCAGCCGCTGGAAGTCTCGACCGTCGGACTTCCCCGGTAGCTCGCACACGCCGCCCTGCCAGCGTGAGGTGACGGCGGTGGGGAAGGGGGGGGCACGGGGATGGGGGGGGGGCACGGGGATGGGGGGGGCAAGGGGATGAGGGGGGGGGATGAGGGGGTGGGAGGGGCCATGTCAGGGGCAAGCTACAAACCCAACCAAGGTCATGCGAGGTCGGTCTGAACATTCAGCAGCTGACGCTCACGAAATTAATTCTCCAAGTTGCCAAATGACCGTTATGACTGGTCAAGAACACAGCTGTTTAATGATAAGGACTTAAAAAATAATTGTTAATGTTGCTTACATCTATCAAAATGTTGATATCATACATAGTGTCGTTATTAGTTTGACTTGGTAAAAACACTGATGCAGTCTTGTAAGACAAGGCATCATTGATGGCCAACTGGATTTAGTTCCCTTACCTGTGTGAAACAACAGTGCTTATTGGCTCACCTGTGTGAGTCAATAGTCCTTACTGGCTCACCTGTGTGAGCCAATAGTACATACTGACTCACCTGTGTGAGACAATAGTGTTCATTGACTCACCTGTGTGAGACAATAGTACGTACTGACTCACCTATGTGAGACAATAGCACTCACTGACTAACCTGCGCGAGACAATGTTCTTTGCCGACTCACCTGGTTGAGGTAGTAGTACATCTCGGCATCTTGCAGTCCCAGCCTCTGCTTCTGCTGGGGTGGCAGTCCCACCAGGAGCTCGTAGAACACGTGGTAGTTCCTCTCGTTGGCGGCCTGCATGCCGCGGTGGGTGGAGGGGGAGGCGTTTGCAGATCCATCGAGATGCGTCGTGAGGAGTGTTCCTGAAACCCTCGCTCACACGTTATGATCGTGGCGGGGAGTGGGAGATCGGACAACTTTGTTTGAGCGAAAGGAAGTGCCACAATCTGTAGGTTGCAAAGCGAAAAGCGCCGGAAGTGAAATTGCAGAAGTGATGTCGGGGAACATTTGAATACAAATCCTAACCAATATATTTTGGGATCCTCTGAACTTTCCACGAAGTATCAGTGCTTTATGCATTTCCTCACCTGATAAACGACCCTTGACCTCTCGAGCAAATACTCGGAGGTGATGGAGCCAGAGATGACACCCCTAGAGCAGAGAGCAGCGGGAATATTCCACGTAAACATTTGTAGGTACATCGCAAAATCCCGACTAAATCGGCACACCACTTGTGTCCTCGCCAGATAGAGAGTTTTAGGATGTTTTAAACGAGTCAGGCAAGGCATCACTATGGCCGTCCCACCAGAGGGTACAGATTTGTGGTGTGAAACTGCGTACAGGCGAGTATGTAAATGTGTATGCATGTTGAACTTCTTTCGCACACCGTAGCCAACCGTGCCAATCGGCAACCACACGCCCACTAGAGACAAACACCCAGCAAAGCACTCCTCAAATAATTACGACTTCAACTTGAAATGCGCCACACACTATTCGCTCCCTCTCCTCGACAGTGTGCGACTCCAAAGGTACGAGGAGCCACGGGCAAGCGGGGAGGCAGCGGGGCAGTGAGCAAGAACCAATATTTGCCAAAAAGCTGCGGTCATCTATAAAAAATAATAATATCATACATAGAGTGTAGCGATTAGTTTTACTTGGTAAAAACATTGATGCAGCCTTGTAAGTCAAGGCACCATTGATGGCCAGCTTGATATCTTTCCCTTACCTGTGTGATACAACAGTGCTTACTGACTCACCTGTGTCATACAACAGTGCTTAATCAGGTGTTGTCAGCCAATTACAGTGTTAAAACAATATGTGGGGGGAAGCCGGAGCAGCCGGAGAAAGCTCCCACGTGCGAGGGTACAGCACTAGTATATCCCGCGCATATGGAACGGATGGAGATTAGTCCACATTTTGCTGTGCCGCATTTCCCTGGTGAGCCAGAGTATGGCACCTCGCCGCCCACGGAAAGGGAGTTTCACGAAATGTTGTGCGGTAATCCACCAACCCTCGCTGCTTCCACAGCGCTGGATTGCAGGCCACGTGCAGAGCCACTACTGGTGTGAGAGTAAGCAACGGGGAGGATGGGCCGGATAAAATAAAACGTAAAAACGTGAAACATGCAAATGATATGTAAATATGTATATATATAAATATGTATACATTTATTGTTGACCTGCGAAGGTAGAATGAGGTGCACCTGGAATAGAATATGTCATCTATGTTTATTCTTTCGGAATTATTCCGTTTACGAGCTGGCAATTCTGTGGTCACATGGACACTGAGTCACTGGGATCCCTCAACGAGTGAGTGGGCGGCTAATAACATAACCGGGCACCCGAGTAAAAGGCACAAATAAGCACGGTTGATCCACAACCAAATAATCCACCGAGCATTAACTGAACAGAGCACGTTAAAAACCAAACCAGCATAGTCAGGGACAACACTTAAATCTCTGTAAAGAACGTGTCAAGAAATTGGTGAATTTGTACGAAACGTTAACGTGTGTATGTTGAACTTCTTTCGCACCGCACGTAGCCAACCGTGATAATTGGAGGTGCGGGGGAAGGACAACAAACTAAAAACAAAAAGCAGTTCTAAAGAAATTAGTTTTCAATCTAGATGATTTAAAAGTGCATAGCTCCAGTTGCTTCCTAATATCGGAAGAAAGAGCGTTCCAGACGGCCGCAGAAGCGCGTCTGCAAGCGCGCTACGTGGTGACCACCGTCTTTGTTCGATGGCAAGCCAAAAGCCGCTGCGAGGATGACGACCGGAGTTGACCGCGTGATGGTTCATGCTCCTTGACGAGCGATGAGCGGGGTATTTTTGGGTTCATTTGTGGCAAGCGCTTTGTGCACAACGAGCGCGACCTCATCTCGGACTCACCGCTCCACGAACACCTGCAGGTACTTGCCAAATCGGCTGGAGTTGTTGTTTCTCAGCGTCTTCGCGTTGCCGAATGCCTCCAGCACAGGGATTGCCTCCAATATCTGCAGTGCGATACAACGTGGGTTTATACAATGTACCGCCTAGCGTCTGCGTGCAACAGCATCTCGTGGATGCACCTCCGGTTAGCCCGGTGGGCTACGTACAGTGCGAAAGAAGTTCAACACACATACACACATTTGGGGTATTTCTTTTGGAGAGAAATAGCGGCAGTCAGTCCTAGGCAGGAGGAGAACGGAAGGTCTGAAGCCTTCACCAACACAGGGGCAAGGAGTCAGTAGCATGGATTGCTGGGGTAAGGGAAGTCCCAGGCCATGGGGGCATTACATCACGTTTCATTCAAAATGATTGAAACACATCAACAGCTGATGTTACTTTTACCCTCCTGTGGCATGTAGGAGGAGCAAGGTTAATGCGCCAAAGCAGCTGAAGGACACATCTAATCACACGGTATGGTATGGAAGATTCGGCCAGTGTGTGCCAGATAACTACAGAACCCACAACATGTAACCCCGAAGCTTCACTAACTAGAATACTGCAGTGATATGTGATGATTTTTCTAATCCTCTGGGTACACCAGGAAACGAACGGACACATTGCTTAGAAAGTTTGTGGTGTCACGAGACAGAGCGTCCGTGTGGAGCCTCTCGCAGAGCTCTGTGTAAATCCGCGTGTTGGAGAATTGCCCGTGGAATCAGATATCACAGAACTAAGTCTGAGATCCCTTAAAGTGACCTCTTTTGTCCCCCCGTACCGTACACTTCTCATCTGAACCGTGCTACGTACACGTAGATGTACATTTGCACGTTTAACTTCTTTCACACCGTACGTAACCAACCGTGCCAATAGTTATCATGGGACCTTTTTGCCAGCAGAAAAGTATGAAAAATAATAATAGGTTTTACCCTTTCTGGCAATAAAACAGTTGTGTAAAGATGTTCAGACACCAAATATAAACTTTTTGCAAGGAATTAAGTCTGCATTAACCACCCACAGTACTTGCGATGAACATGCATGTTCATCGCATAGCGGTAAAACCCACAAGTTAATTCCAGGTGCTGAAATTCGGCTAAATTCAGAGAAAACCCCACGACCAACGTCATTTTGTTTTTGCATTTATTGGTGACTCGGTTGAGTCAATCATCAACTCACTACGTTTGACAACCGGGTTTAATCGGCGGCCGCCCGAAGCCACGCATCTCAGCGACGCCGGCTCAGTCTCTCTGATCCCCTTAGCCACTCGGCCACCTCAGCCTCCAAGGGTTCTCGACAAGAGGAAGCGGCGACAACAGCAAAGCGCTGCGCAAAGCGGTGCCCCACGCTTCTGCTCCAGCTGCTGCTGCTGCACGCATACCTGCCTTGAGGGGCCCACGTGTTCCTGAGGACAGCTACTGCTGCTGCTGCACGCATACCTGCTTTAAGGGACCCACGTGTTCCTGAGGACAGCTGCTGCTGCTGCACGCATACCTGCTTTAAGGGACCCACGTGTTCCTGAGGACAGCTGCTGCTGCTGCACGCATACCTACTTTGAGGGGCCCACGTGTCCCTGAGGGCAGCTGCTGTTGCTGCTGCTGCAGACATACCTGCTTTGAGGGGCCCTCGTGTTCCTGAGGGCAGCTGCTGTTGCTAGGCGTCGCCGAAAGGAACCCGAGAATCAGCTTGGCAGCCTCCGTCTTCCCTGAGCCACTCTCTCCACTGCGCAAGGACAAAAACAACGCTCAGGAGCTCTCCCACCCTTACTCAAGCACTGTCTCTCTATGAAGCAACTCAGAGACGTCACCCACGATGGCCAAATGTTAACTACCTCGCCTGGTCTACACAGGAGATCGTGGGTTCGATCCCGACCCTGACGCCTGCTGCTGTATATTTTTGGAGTTTTGCGCGTCTCTCCACGTGGTGGCGTGGATTTTTCTCTGGGTCCTACGGGTTTTTTTCCCTCCACATTTCAGATCAACATGGATTTAGAGTATTTGGCTGCTCTCAATGTCCACGTGAGAAGCCACTTCATTGGGCCGATAATAGAATTTGTTATAGCAAGGCCATAGCCATGGAGTCAACATTGGGGGGGACCAAATCTTCCAGCGGGTCTGGGGGTCCCCCCTGCTCAGAAAAAAAAAAATCGAAATTTGAAAACTCATTTCCTGCGTAAAATATTTAAAAAATTCACTAACACGTGGGATGGACTTTTAATTATTTTTTTACAATAATGTCTAATAGTGTATTGTATTACATTGCTCTGTTTTTTATATTTTACCTTTTCTTGTTTCATTGTATGTAATGGCAAAGATTAGGGATTAATAAAATACAACCATAACCACAATCATATAAGCAGAAATCTATTTTATAGCAATATATTGGAGGTGACATTTTGAGCATATTTGAATATTGGGGGGGATGTATGTCCCCCAATATATATTATAATTGCGGCCTTGTGTTATAGCCAGGTCGCTTCTGAGAAAGAGCGATCTAGCACAGTGGACCTTACCTGGTAAAATAAAAAATAAAATAGTTTAAGTTTAAATCGATTGATTGCCAGACCTGATAATGACACACTGCTGCCGCTGCTCATTGCTCAGGGCTGACAGGGCGATGTTGGCAATGGCAAAGATGTGCCTGGAAATGACATGAAGTCACGCTGGTCAACAACACTCATCCCGGCGCAGTGTAGTCCTTCATTTCTGTGAGGGCAGCGGTTATGCTACGCTCATACCATGATACACGAACACTGTGATACACTAACACTGCTGTACACTAACACCATGATACACTACAATATTACTGTGATACACTAACACCGTGATACACTAACACCATGATACACTAACACTGTGATACACGAACACTGTGATACACTAACACCGTGATACACTACAATATTACTGTGATACACTAACACCGTGATACACTAGCACCATGATACACTAACACCATGATACACGAACACTGTGATACACTAACACCGTGATACACTACAATATTACTGTGATACACTAACACCGTGATACACTAACACTGTTGTACACTAACACCATGATACACTAACACCGTGATACACGAACACTGTGATACACTAACACTGCTGTACACTAACACCGTGATACACTACAATATTACTGTGATACACTAACACCGTGATACTCTATACACTGCTGTACACTAACACAGTGATACACTAACACTGCTGTACACTAACACCATGATACACTACAATATTACTGTGATACACTAACACCATGATACACTACAATATTACTGTGATACACTAACACCATGATACACTACAATATTACTGTGATACACTAACACCATGATACACTACAATATTACTGTGATACACTACAATATTACTGTGATACACTAACACCATGATACACTAACACTGTGATACACTAACACTGCTGTACACTAACACAGTGATACACTACAATATAACTGTGATACACTAACACTGTGATACACTAACACTGTGATACACTAACACCATGATACACTACAATATTACTGTGATACACTAACACTGTGATACACTACAATATTACTGTGATACACTAACACCATGATACACTAACACTGTGATACACTAACACCGTGATACACGAACACCGTGATACACGAACACTGCTGTACACTAACACAGTGATACACTACAATATTACTGTGATACACTGACACCATGATACACTACAATATTACTGTGATACACTAACACCGTGATACACGAACACTGCTGTACACTAACACCATGATACACTAACACCATGATACACGAACACCGTGATACACTACAATATTACTGTGATACACTAACACTGTGATACACTACAATATTACTGTGATACACTAACACCATGATACACTAACACTGTGATACACTAACACCGTGATACACTAACACCGTGATACACGAACACTGCTGTACACTAACACAGTGATACACTACAATATTACTGTGATACACTGACACCATGATACACTACAATATTACTGTGATACATTAACACCGTGATACACGAACACTGCTGTACACTAACACCATGATACACTAACACCATGATACACGAACACCGTGATACACTACAATATTACTGTGATACACTAACACCGTGATACACGAACACCGTGATACACTAACACTGCTGTACACTAACACAGTGATACACTACAATATTACTGTGATACACTAACACCGTGATACACTAACACCATGATACACGAACACTGCTGTACACTAACACCATGATACACTACAATATTACTGTGATACACGAACACTGTGATACACTAACACCGTGATACACTAACACTGCTGTACACTAACACAGTGATACACTACGATATTACTGTGATACACTAACACCATGATACACTAACACCGTGATACACTATACACTGCTGTATACTAACACAGTGATACACTACAATATTACTGTGATACACTAACACCGTGATACACTAACACCATGATACACGAACACTGCTGTACACTAACACCATGATACACTACAATATTACTGTGATACACGAACACTGTGATACACTAACACCGTGATACACTAACACTGCTGTACACTAACACAGTGATACACTACGATATTACTGTGATACACTAACACCATGATACACTAACACCGTGATACACTAACACAGTAATACACGAACACTGCTGTACACTAACACTGTGATACACTATACACTGCTGTACACTAACACAGTGATACACGAACACTGCTGTACACTAACACCATGATATACTACAATATTACTGTGATACACTAACACTGTGATACACTGCTGTACACTAACACAGTGATACACTATACACTGCTGTACACTAACGCAGTGATACACGAACACTGCTGTACACTAAGGGGCCGTTCATAAATGACGTCACGCACCTGGGGGTGGTCAGATATTTGTGACGATGTGGGACGATGGGGGGGGAGTTTGAAAAATGTGACGTCACATCAAAATGTGCAACTTTTAATACATATAGACAACACGTTCTACTTAATTAAATAGACTTTTTAATAAATGTTTTCTCCTACAACATCAGAGTGCAGCGTCACATTAAACACGCACTACAATGACAATAGTTTAAAGTGATTTGAAGCATGTTTTATATTTTTTTGGGGGGGTGCAGAGCTTTGTGACGTCATATTTGAGGGGGGGTCTGACTTTTTGTGACGCCATGTGATGAAGAAAATCGCGTGACGTCATTTATGGACGGCCCCTGACACCATGAAACACTACAATATTACTGTGATACACTAACACCATGATACACTACAATATTACTGTGATACACTAACACCATGATACACTACAATATTACTGTGATACACTAACACCATGATACACTACAATATTACTGTGATACACTACAATATTACTGTGATACACTAACACCATGATACACTAACACTGTGATACACTAACACTGCTGTACACTAACACAGTGATACACTACAATATAACTGTGATACACTAACACTGTGATACACTAACACTGTGATACACTAACACCATGATACACTACAATATTACTGTGATACACTAACACTGTGATACACTACAATATTACTGTGATACACTAACACCATGATACACTAACACTGTGATACACTAACACCGTGATACACGAACACCGTGATACACGAACACTGCTGTACACTAACACAGTGATACACTACAATATTACTGTGATACACTGACACCATGATACACTACAATATTACTGTGATACACTAACACCGTGATACACGAACACTGCTGTACACTAACACCATGATACACTAACACCATGATACACGAACACCGTGATACACTACAATATTACTGTGATACACTAACACTGTGATACACTACAATATTACTGTGATACACTAACACCATGATACACTAACACTGTGATACACTAACACCGTGATACACTAACACCGTGATACACGAACACTGCTGTACACTAACACAGTGATACACTACAATATTACTGTGATACACTGACACCATGATACACTACAATATTACTGTGATACATTAACACCGTGATACACGAACACTGCTGTACACTAACACCATGATACACTAACACCATGATACACGAACACCGTGATACACTACAATATTACTGTGATACACTAACACCGTGATACACGAACACCGTGATACACTAACACTGCTGTACACTAACACAGTGATACACTACAATATTACTGTGATACACTAACACCGTGATACACTAACACCATGATACACGAACACTGCTGTACACTAACACCATGATACACTACAATATTACTGTGATACACGAACACTGTGATACACTAACACCGTGATACACTAACACTGCTGTACACTAACACAGTGATACACTACGATATTACTGTGATACACTAACACCATGATACACTAACACCGTGATACACTATACACTGCTGTATACTAACACAGTGATACACTACAATATTACTGTGATACACTAACACCGTGATACACTAACACCATGATACACGAACACTGCTGTACACTAACACCATGATACACTACAATATTACTGTGATACACGAACACTGTGATACACTAACACCGTGATACACTAACACTGCTGTACACTAACACAGTGATACACTACGATATTACTGTGATACACTAACACCATGATACACTAACACCGTGATACACTAACACAGTAATACACGAACACTGCTGTACACTAACACTGTGATACACTATACACTGCTGTACACTAACACAGTGATACACGAACACTGCTGTACACTAACACCATGATATACTACAATATTACTGTGATACACTAACACTGTGATACACTGCTGTACACTAACACAGTGATACACTATACACTGCTGTACACTAACGCAGTGATACACGAACACTGCTGTACACTAAGGGGCCGTTCATAAATGACGTCACGCACCTGGGGGTGGTCAGATATTTGTGACGATGTGGGACGATGGGGGGGGAGTTTGAAAAATGTGACGTCACATCAAAATGTGCAACTTTTAATACATATAGACAACACGTTCTACTTAATTAAATAGACTTTTTAATAAATGTTTTCTCCTACAACATCAGAGTGCAGCGTCACATTAAACACGCACTACAATGACAATAGTTTAAAGTGATTTGAAGCATGTTTTATATTTTTTTGGGGGGGTGCAGAGCTTTGTGACGTCATATTTGAGGGGGGGTCTGACTTTTTGTGACGCCATGTGATGAAGAAAATCGCGTGACGTCATTTATGGACGGCCCCTGACACCATGAAACACTACAATATTACTGTGATACACTAACACTGCTCTACACTAACACAGTGATACACTAACACTGCTGTACACTGACACAGTGATGCACTAACATTTCTGTACACGAACACCGTGCTACACTACAATATCACCATGATGCACAAACACCGCGTGACACTGCACTTATTTAAAAAAAAAGACTCACACTGCAACACACTAACACTGCACACAAACAGTAACAACGCACACGTATCACACGGGGTACTGCAGTACATGTACATCGCGTCTTAGCACCCCCACCCCGTCCCGTGGGTCCCTGTGCAGTTGCACCGCCTGCACACTCGATGGCTACACGCACTGGTGACCAGGGCTGTCCCAGAGGCTCATGGAGACCTGGGACTGAAGGCCACTTGGGGCCCCCCTTTACGCCACCATTCACAGACCCATTGCGGTGGGGGGGGGGGTCTTTTGTTTGAGGACTGAGACAAATTTATCCCTTGCCCCCCCCCCCTTCCCACCACACCGTTTATCTCTGCCGGTTATAACACGGTTTCTCGGATCTGTACAGGGTAGTCCAGATGTCTTGTGACTCCCATTTAATTCTCTAAAACGTAATATATTTTTTTAACGTAAGGTTTCTTTAAAACACCACATGAATATGCAAATGATAAAACATGTTATGGGTCAATTAATTGGGGGGGGAGGGTGGTCACAAGACATCTCTGGACCACCCTGCAGTGTATTTGAGATTGACTTCGTGGTACAATGCATTGTCCTCTCAGTCATCAATCGAGTGGTGGAGTGGGTGTCTTGGCTCACGGTGGGTTTTCGGAGATCTCAGATCCCCGGTACATGGCAATCGTGTCCGGCCCGTAGATGTCCGTGGCACTGTAGGGATTCAATGAGAGGAGGATGCTCCCAATGTACGTCTGCGATATAACAAAACACAGGGGGGCTGGCATTAGAGTTGGCGAAGACTGTACTCTTAAACATGAGCAGGAAGACACGCAGTGAAACCGGTGTGACTTCTGCACCGTTTGCCATTCATGAATGAGTGATGAAGGCAGTCTTGTTCTCGCAATCGTTCCGAGTCATCCCCGAGGACTCCATTTTACAGGCATTAACAAACCAGGCCATCCTGGGTATGATGTTAAACTGCATCTGGTGATGGTGTTGCTGGAAAAAAAACACACTGTTGAGAAAGGCAAGGGACATACCATCGCACCAGCTCTCCTTCCTTAATTATGGGTCTATAATTTCGTACGGGGTGTGCTTTCCGTGAGACTGGATGGGTCAGAGCGGTGTTTCTCGCCCTTTGTTTTGGTCCGCGCCGCTGGTGACAAAACGCATTCACGTATCTCTAAATACCAGTAATAAAATTATTAATATTACCGGATCTTATTTTTGTATACGCAGCTATAAGGTGTTTTTTTTCATCGGGGGGGGGGCATTTAGATCTTAGGGTTAGGGTAGTTTCATCAGGGTAGTTTACCTTGCTTAATTTTTTGTAATTACAGGGTGCTTCAAATGTTTTTTTAACACTTACATGGGACTATCGTTTTTAATGGGAAAAGAACGGATAATACACTGTAACATGATAACAAATGTTTGTTAATAGCTTCAACAAGTCAAATAGTCTCAAATTGTTCGCCATCATTGTCAGTTTCAGTTTAATTTATTTTGGTATAGCCCTGTGAGCCATTCGGCTCTTGAATCAGGTGCAACCGCAACAAACAAAAAACAAAAACATGAACAAGAAAACATCTTAAAGTGACTATGTGACTTTGTGCAAACCGAAAATCCAAGAAAAGACGGCAAAATATTGCAGAAAAAGCACCGGACACCAACGTTGCGTGCAAAAATCCCAATGGGATGCAAGTCAAACAAAAACATTAACAACAACCACAAGACAACTTAGATAAAATTTCGATTTAAAGCTTTCTTGACTGCAAGGATTCATCTTCTTGGTGCTTTCAGTAAAGTCACGTAGAATGAGAATAAAACAATAAAACAAAATAAGACAATAAAATTCTCACGACGTTTCGGCCACAACACAAGTAGCCTTCTTCAGGTGAAGAGACAGGTCTGTACGGAAGACAGAGCTCGAATGGACGCCGTCATGTATGGACAGCGTTTATTAAGCTGTGTGGGCGGAGTTAAAACATGAGTCTACGTTACCAGCATCACCTCCAGAGAGGGGGAGGGACGGGGGGGCTGGGAACACAGGCAGAGAGGAATGAAAAGGAACGCGCCTATCAAACAGTGTGGGCGGAGTCAGAACAAGAGCCCGATCAAACTTCAGAGAGGGAGAGGGGGAGGGGTGGGGCTGAGAACAGAGGCAGAGAGGAAGCAAAAGACTAAAGATAATGAGCAGGTACAGCAAGGTACGATGTTGTGTCCTGAGCAGCTTCATGACGATGCTATAAACTGGACAACTATACAGTACAATATTATATCTTCAAATCTAAACTGCATGGTATAATGTCATATCATAGACAAGTTCCACCTTTGAATTATACAATGCGTTACTTTATACTACCCTATACTTTAGATTATAAACTATTTGACTTGTGATATATACTATATACCACAATGAATGTTTTATTGTCTTATTTTGTGTTATTGTTTTATTCTCATTCTACGTGGTGACTTTACCGAAAGAACTTCGATTCCAGGCCAACACGTGGCCTGGAATATTCTCCAGCTGGTCTCTAGAGCCCGGAGGCAGCAGCACATGTCACGTGGTGTTGTTGCAAATTCTCAGAATTGTAACAAAAAACACATTTTGAAGCACCCTGTATATATCACAATTAAACTATTACTTAATGTCCGAAAAACAAAGGTTTAAACGTCGCCATTATTTCCGGATTAAGCTGCGTTTGCATCAGACACCACACTCTTGAGGGCCACTGTGATAGAGGGCACTCCAGCCGTGGACCTGCCCTTGGGCTCAGACAACTTTGGGATGAACAAATGATGCCTTATGGGCAGCTGTAAAAAAAGCTTTATAGCTCCTCGGATTCCTCCAGTACAAATGAATATTCTGATGACGCACTAAGAGGTCACACGTGCAGTGCGTGCACATTCCAGATAAGGCTGATTCTTGAGATACATGTGCGTGATGAAAGTGAAAAATTACAGACAGAGTAGTCACTCGGTTAACGGGTTTTTTCGGTTAATCTTTACATTGTGGCGAACGGTACCGCAGTGTTTACGTTGTGCACGCGGTGGCGCCAATATCAGCCAATCCGAGCGCTCGTAAGCGGCGCAAGAGGCGTGGCCTCGGCCAATCAGCGACGACCATGTGCGAGCCGTTTCGACCTCGGCTGCCTTGGTTTACCATTAAACATTTTCTTGTTTCCCTTCTACGTGGTGACTTTACCGAAAGAACCAAGAATATGAATCCCTGCAGTCACGAAAGCTTTCAATCAAAACGTCCGTACAGCATTTAGAAAGGGGCGCGCGACTCACGTATATGTGTCCGCGTTCGTATCTCTTCTGCAGATTCATCAGCACGACGTCTTCGTGCAGTTCTCTGGGGAGCGAGTTCACACCCACGGGGAACACGTGTGAGCGATATGGGGCCCGGGCAAAAAATCGGGCCCAGTGTGTGCTGAACTTCTTTCGTACCGTACGTAGCCAGCCGTGCTGATCGGAGGCGCGGAGCAGGAACAAACTGAACACGCAGAAAACGGCTCTAAAGAAAAGAGTTTGTCAATGTAGATTATTTATTTTTAAAGTGCATCGCTCCCAGTGGCGTCCTAATTATCGGAAGGAAGAGCGTTCCAGACGGTCGCAGAAGCGTCTCTCTCACTCTCTCCAACAGGTGACTGGTGCTGCACCATGAGAATGTGGAACAATACAACAACCACTTGTTGAGGATAAGCAGCGCGAGACACAAATGCCGCCCCAACGCGACTGAGAAGAGCCAATATCACTGCCAATGGTGGTGGGTGGCTGTGATGATGGTGGTGGGTGGCTGTGATGATGGTGATGATGGTGGTGGGTGGTTGTGATGATGATGGTGGTGGGTGGCTGTGATGATGATGGTGGTGGGTGGTTGTGATGATGGTGGGTGGCTATGATGATGATGGTGATGATGGTGGTGGGTGGTTGTGATGGTGGCGGTGATGATGGTGGTGGGTGTCTGTGATGGTGGTCGTGGTGATGATGATGGTGGTGGGTGGCTGTAATTATGATCGTAGTTATGGTGATGGGTGGCTGTGGTGGTGGTGGTGATGGTGGTGGGTGGCTGTGATGGCGGTGATGATGGTCGTGGTGATGACGATGGTGGTGTGTGGCTGTGGTGGTGGCGGTGATGATGGTCGTGTTGATGATGATGGTGGGTGGCTGTGATGGTGGTTGGTAGTGGCAGCTGTTCACCTAAGGACGGTCATGTCGGGGACTCCGTCCTCCCCGAGCTCCACCCAATCCCTGCTCCACCACTGCAGCTGTTCGTGCTTCTGCTCATGGGGGACATGGCCACACGCAACCACTGAGATGACATCTCTGCTCGCACGCTAAAGCTCACCTGTAAGTAATGGTATCAGTTGGGAAGGGGGTGGGGGGAGAGGAGGAACCTGCTACTTTTTGGGATTGTGTAAGTTGAGGGTTGTGTGGAATTGTTTTTTTTTACATTAATGCTGCTCGGCCGGCTTGGAGTATGGATTAATAGTGTATGACACTGCCACTGAAGTATACATCAAACCTGACCATAATCTTAATTTATTGTACCCTACATAGTAAGTACAGTATTCCTCATATGCTGTGAGCACACATAAAGTGCAGTATCCTGAGGCTAAGATGAGTCGGATGTAGCGTGGCCAATATAATAATTCCCGGAACAGTGTTTTGGACTGTTGCGACTGAAATGAATCACTGGGTGGAAGAGTGCCTTTTGATTTGAATAGACAGAGGGTGGAATAAATCTTCCGTACTGACACGCGCCTTATATTATTTGGCTGCCATACATCTCTACATGATAAGCCACTTCGTTGAGTTATAACCACGTGTGGCCAGGTCGCTACTGAAAAAGAAGCTAGTATCTCAGTGGGTTTTACCTGGTAAAATAAAAAATAGTTTATTGTTAGTGATTTCCTCACCTTTCCTATATTTTGCACTCCTATCGTGTTTTTGTATTGTTGTAACTTTCTGACTCGCCTCCACTGGACATCTGTGACAAAGAGCTTTATAGCTCATCAGATTCCTCCAGTATGAATAGATATTCTGATACTATTTACCATTTAATTCCGGTGACCGTGATATGCGTTGGACGGTGAACAGTGGCAGTGTATTCCTGACTTGACGACCCTCCGGTGAAGGCTCTTATAACGATATTTGCTTTCATTAAACACGTTCACCTTCCCAGGGTCTTATAAATCACCCGTTTAAAATTCGCAGCGCCGATTTAAATCTAAACGGAAATTTAATGGCTCATCTTCATTATCGCTTCCTCTTAGTTCTGTGTTATATACTTTTACTTATCCAGAAAAGCCACACTGCGCCATATGACTCTTTTCAGGAGGGTCCTGTTTTGGATTTTTTAAAAATGTAATTCTAAGATGTTTTCAGCCAATTAATAAGTTTTTACACAAGTGGGAAGAAACTTGCATAAAGAGGCTGCTGTTGCTGCGGGGCTATGTTGTCAGCAAGGCCATTGCAGCAAAATATATTGTTGTACTCTACCATGCTCCCTGCCTTCACCAACCTGCACTGACCAGCGCGATGAAGTACGCTCAAATAACCCCCACGAATGCGTGGCATTGAGGAGGCCCTCGTCCACCAGTGGATTGACAAAAGGAGGCTGTACGTATACATGCATATTACAGCCGGGAGCATTTCTCTCTCTCCGAACATTCCCATGAAAACCCACACCTGCATTGGTGGATCTTCGTCATCCATGTCCCATAGGTCTCCACTGTGATCAGAAGCGGCAGCTCCCAGTCCCTTGTCCCTGTCACCAAAGAGGCTCCACTGGGCCATTTGTGCCGCTGTCTGGGCGGACAGCGGAGCCTCCCTGGGTCGGCCGGGGCGAGCCGTCCCCATCTCCTGCACGGCAGGCGTGAAGGCCCAGTGGAGAGACCGAACGCTCTGGCTGTCCCACGTGTGATCCTCATGAAAAACCTGCTGCACTCTCGGGAAGACGATCGCAAACTTGCCATCCCTGCAGCTGCCCGCTGGCTTTGTGTCTTCCTCGCTTGCGCTGCCCGAGCTCTGGCTGCTGCCGTCCTCCTCCTCCTTGTTGCAGCCCTCGCCACCTCCAGGAAGCAGCACCTTCACCGCGGCCGCCTTGCCCTCCGCCCTCTTGCCACTTTTCTTCGAGCTCTTCGTGTCGTTGGCGAACCCGTGCGCCTGAGTGTCAGCTGCTTTCACCTTCCTGTACTCTTTGCTTTTGCTTCCTAGCCTGAAGCCCCCCATCAGGAACTCCTGGGAGGAGGATGAGGACGAGCTCTCCTCGAGTTTGGTGAAGCGGCCGTTGGTTCCCTTCGACAGCGACAAGAAGTTGTCGTTCTGTGCCAAGCTTCTCTTTGACAGCTGCCGGCTCAGTTGCTTCTTCCGGAGGGTCTTCAACAGCCAGCTGGACGTGCCCACGGCCCGAGTGATTTTTGCCACACCTTCCTTCCTGCTCACCTCCTTGGTCATCTTCTTCTGGATCCAGCCTTGAAGCTGGCCGATCATCCCCGGCTTCTTCGTGTCCCCGCCAGCAGGTGTGCCAGGTGACTGACCAGAGGCCGATCGCAACTTACCCACCAGCACTTCCATCCTCGCTTTCCGAGCCATTGCTCCAAACCGACCCACGCATTTCTTTCCTTCTCGTAGCATAACCTCATTATTTTCTGCAGCCGTGGCCCCATGGCTATCGCCATCGCCATCTGCGTCCTTTGCGGCTGGTCTGTCAGAGGACTTGCCCACCTCTGGGGCCCTTGGGGTGTTCTTTAGTCCCAGCATGAGATTGCTTGCTTTCATCACACTGAGCTTGGGATTTGGTGCTGGTCTGGAGTCCGGCTGTTGCGTGTTCACCACTTCATCCTTTGAATCTTTTTCATTCTTTAAATCTCCTTCTTCCTTTAACTCTCCTTCATTCTTTGACTCTCCTTTATTCTTCAGATCCTTTGCAGTTGAGCCATCCGACGGCTCCACGTCAGAAGCAGCGGCTTGGGGCTGTTTTCTTGGACTCTCGTTTTGCTTGTTCATTCCAAGCAGGACTTTGGTCGTTTTGTGCAAGGCCTTGCAATTTCTCGAGGTCAATGCAGCTTTTGTCGCGACGTGCCCTTCCACCTGAGCTTCGTCTTGCCGCTTTTCGGGCACCGTCGGCACTTCTGCCGGGGAGCCCGTTGCAGTCTGCACCGCAGAGCCACCTCTCACGCCCAGCATCACCCTGGACGTCTTTCTCAAGAGCGTAGCGTTGCCTGTCGGAGCCGATGCCGATTTACCAGCGCCGCGCTCCCTCGCATCGCTCTCGACCGCACCTTTCCATTGCTCGTCTTTCTCCTGCGGTTTGAGGGCCGCCCCTTGGACCGTATTCTCCTTTTTCAGACCGGCCATCAGCATCGTAGCGTTTCGGAGGGTGCTACTGCCGATTCGGTACGCATTCTTCATCCTGGCATCCCTCTTGTTGCCGCCGCGTTTGTTTCCATCGGAGGAGCGGTCAGCGGCCTTCGCGCCCAGCGCGGGAAGCGGAGCATCCTTTTTCACGCCCGCCACCATCATGGTTGTGTGCCGTATCTTGGCCTTGGTGCGTGGACTTGGACGCGGAACTGGGCCCCTTTTGGGCCCAGCGTCCACCCCGTCGCAGGTTTGACCCGATCCCGGCGACTCTTTTGTCTTCATTGACTCTCGTTCTTGGGTTTCTCTCCCTCGTTGGCTGACCTTGGAGGGCCTTTGAGCTACTACGGTGACTCGCTGGCTGCCTTCCCGTTTTGCTGTGGACTTTTGCGCTTCATTCTCCTCACCCTGGCTTTTGGGGGCGTCTTGCTGCGCCAGCTGCAAACTCCTCATCGCCTCCTTCCTGAGCCCGGCCGCGAGCCGCGACGCATTGTGCAGGGCGGCCGCTTTAGGAAGGGGCCTCTTTTGCCTGAGGCTCACTTTTCTCGCCGGAATAGCTGCCGCCGATGTCACCGCTTCGCTCTTAGTTTTATATCCAGCCAGCATAGTCGTAGCGGTTTTGAGCGCCCTTGCTCCGGCTTTACCTTGCTGAGGCCGCACGCTCGCTCGCCCTTTGTCGACCGTTCCCACTCCGCTCGGTCTCGGAGAAGTCTTGGGCAAGTCCCCCTCCTTCTCGGCTGCACTCTGTGGCGAAACTGCCTTTGGCGCCTCCTTCGCCTCCATCGTCAGCTCTGTTGGGGCATCCTCCTCGCCGTCGCTGCTGTCTGACTCCTCGCTCTCGGTATCTGTGTCGCTGGGCTCAGCGTCGTCACTGCTGTGTCCGTTGCTGCTGCCGTCGCTGCCGTCACTGGCTTTCTGTTCCGAGTTCTGCTCTTCGTTCAGAGGTGGAGTCGGAGGAGCATCCGCTTTGGGACACACGGCTTCCTTGAGTGAAAATTTTCTCTTGCTTTTTTGTGAAGCCTTGTTCGGTTTCGCGGAATCATCGGCGGGACACAACGGTGTGGTGGTGACACGATCGCTCGTCTCCTCATCCAGGCTTTCCTCGCTGCTGCTGCTGCTCTCTGCACTCTTCTCTGAGTCGCTACTCTCTGTGGTCTCATCCTGGGAGCTTTCTGTGTCCGATTTGACCTTCTTCGGCACCTCACCTCCCGATGCTGACATGCTTGCTTAATATTTACTTTCCTTTAAACACCCCCCCCAAAATTTTTTTTAGAGCTTACTCAGCGATCCAAGTGGAATGTCTTCCTCTTTCTTCATTCAATTTTGCACAAACTCAGGAGAACGTGTCTTAATTGAAGCGGCATTAACATTTTAAATATTTGAAAAAAAAGTTTTTGCTGTCCTTGAATGCTTAGAGTTAATGCCTCATTTTTGCTCTCAGCTTCAGCGATGTCCACGACACCAGGCAGCCACAGAATGGCACAAGCAGCGTCACTCATGGACAAATAATTAGTGCCATTCGATTCCCGGAGGATATGCGATAGCCTCATTTGTGAGCACAATTAAAAATCGTAAAGCCACACCCCAGGCCAGCTCTGCTTACAATTCCAGTAATAATTCCCCCCTCCATACCCCCCAATAGGCATGTGCCTCGTGTTAAGCGGCACATTCGCCAGTCAACCACTGTGTTAATCTGACAATGCAAGGCACTGCAGCGTATATATAAAGAGCGGTGCTGCAATGCCGAGGAGGGTGGGCGGGCGGGTTGGCTCGACAGTGGGGGTGAAGAATATTAACATCAGTCGAACTTTTCGGGGGCTCTTGTATAATGCAGGAGTAATGGCAGTCTGTTGCACAGCCTGAATTATTGAGCAAAGCCGGGTTATGCTTCGACTGAAAGATCGCTGAAAACCATAGCAAATATATATATGTACGTGTTCAGATCGGGGAATGACTCATTGCATAACCGTAGCGATGTAATGTACGCAAACTGTTTCGTATGCATGTGTGCATAATATATATAAAGTGAACCCTAGTGCTTCGTACAGGTGTGCATGTGTAACAAAATATGGCCACCCGTCAGACTCCTCTCCCCCTTTGTGTTTGTATTGTTTGGCTCAACGAAGGCGGCCTTTATCGGCGTAAATATTACATGAACCGACTTGTCAACGCTTCGGCCTGCTCCAAGCCAGTGTACCCATAGACTCCCAGCCACTGTGCACGCACACGGTATACGAGACTCCCGACTGGTATATCCACACGGATGCTCCTGCCCAGAGGATAGTAATGCAGGTTGTATTTCTGTTGTGAAAATTCTCCACGGTGCTTGTGAGCGACTCAAAAACACAACGCATATTTCGGCTAGTGAATACGAATATCAGTGGTATTGTTCACGTAAGGCCAATTCGGAGTGGTGGCAGCAGGAGGCTCTCGAGTCAGCAATTCTCCTCTCATCGATTGTTTCTTTTCATTTGTAATCCAACCTTTGCAAAAAATCATTATGGGCCTTGGTCAATCCACGAAACAATGAAAGCCTCATATTCTTAGCTCTTTCGGTAAAGTCACGTTGAAGGGAAACAATAAAATAATAAAATATATATAAAACAATAAAAATTCTCACGACGTTTCGACCATAACACAAACGGTCGTCATCAGGTGTGTCGGTTCGCATTAATTTATTTTTAAACGGTGTATTTATTTATTTTAAAAAAACCGTCAGCGCCACGCGCAGCGATTTGGCAGTTTATTTAGAAGGACTAGTCCATCTATGTTCTGAAAAGAGGAGGGGGGAGATGAAAAATTAATGTATGCTGTCTGAAAGCCACTGTAAGCGTGAACAATCAATTAAGACCTGAAATGGTTTATCAAATCTTTCCAATGATTGCTAAGCCAGAATCCATCTTCTCGGTTGAAATTGTCTCTGTGCTTGTATATGTGGATAGCCTCATGAACGAATCTCTCATGGTAACCAGATGGCTTACAAAGAACCTCTGTCTTGGAAAAGTCAATGTCATGTGAGCCTACTGAATTATAACAGTGATCTGCCACGGCTGAGGAGTTCGTCCTACCATGTTCCAAGTCTGCTTTATGTTCGCGGATGCGGTCCGAGACATGGCGTTTGGTTTCTCCAATGTAACTACTACCACAGAGGCAACTTAGTTTGTAGACACCAGGGTACTGTATGTCCGGAATCACATCTTTTACAGACGGAACCAGATCACGGATTTTATGTAATGTGTTGAAACGGACCTGGATCTTGTGTTTATTCAAGATTTTGGAGATCTTTTTTGTGATCCCCGCAATGTAGGGTAAAGTGATGGTTTTGAAAGGCTCCTCAAGAGGGTCCTTCTTCATGGTTTGAGTGATAGCTTTGCGGATTGTATAGTCGGAGTAACCATTAGCCTTAAGAGCTTGGTGTACGTGCTTGAGTTCACTGCCTATGTGTTCCTGGTCAGATATGCATTTGGCTCTATGGTACAGAGTCTTGATGAGATAATTCTTCTGTGATGGATGGTGGTGGGAATCCGGTTTCAGATAAGCATCCGTATGGGTAGCTTTCCTGTAGACAGAGTGGCTCATTGAACCATCAGGTCTCTTTTTTATTAGGACATCCAAAAAAGGTAGCTTGCCATCTTTTTCGACTCTTAAGGCTAATGGTTACTCCGACTATACAATCCGCAAAGCTATCACTCAAACCACGAAGGACCCTCTTGAGGAGCCTTTCAAAACCATCACTTTACCCTACATTGCGGGGATCACAAAAAAGATCTCCAAAATCTTGAATAAACACAAGATCCAGGTCCGTTTCAACACATTACATAAAATCCGTGATCTGGTTCCGTCTGTAAAAAATGTGATTCCGTTTAAAAAGAAATTAATGCAAACCGACACACCTGATGACGACCGTTTGTGTTATGGTCGAAACGTCGTGAGAATTATTGTTTTATATATATATTTTATTATTTATTGTGTCCCTTCAACGTGACTTTACCGAAAGAGCTAAGAATTTGAATTACTGCAGTCACGAAAGCTTTAAATCAAAAATGAAAGCCTCTACAAGCTGCTCTACCATGTCTCACGACCGTGTGATGTAACAATCCACCTCGCTCCTGCACAAAAACCCATTTCATCGTTACGTCTGCACGGTGGACATTCCCTGGTGCTTTCCGTTCCTTGGCTGCCAATCTGTCGTCATGCTTGAACCGTCTGCCATCAACGTGGGTTAAACACAGTATTTAGTAAGATTGAGTAGCTCTGTGGAGGAATGTATCCCGTCTTCTAGTATGCTTCAGTGGTTGTTTTCTTACCTGCGAAAAAAATAATCCAAATCTCTTCAGATCTTGAAAGCTAAAACATGGTTGAGCCTGGCCCGTATTTGATGGGTGACTATCAGGGCTTCTACCACTCAACTCCCAAGTCCTCCACTGGTGGATGGCCTCCCCCACACCATGTCGGCCGTGTGGATTGTTTGAACATACTTCACCACACTGGTCAGTGCAGGTTGAAGGAGAGGTATCACTTGCCACCGATCTTAGCCGTGGCCGGGAGTCGAACTTTGATCCCACGGTTTTATAGTGGAGTGTGCTCACCAAGCAACATTACTCAAGCCGCAAACACAAAACGAGCAAAAACAATCTTCAAAAAATAGGTTTTATTTTTTTCATTTCTGGATATACATAATTAAAATATGCATATTACAAAACATAAAAAACCCTTCGTTAAAACCTTAGTCCGGTCAAGAGAGAAATGGAAGCACGGCGCGACTGAAGTATGGCACACACCACGGGCAAGAACCGGTCGTGGGAGGGGTTGGCACCACCAGTCGCCGAAGTGCGACGCTGCATGCACGCGCCTCGAAATATCGCCCGAACATTTCTCATGGGGATACATTCACAATACATCTCCACCCACGCCGTCGCACAAAGTACACCATTATTATTATTGTTGTTTCGTCCCATTCATAGTACGTTGAACTTCTTTCGCGCTATACGCAGCCAACCCTGCTATAATCGGAGGTAAATCGTTACGACGCAGAGTCAATGTCGAAGAATTGCATAACTCCTAATGACCTCATCCGCTCTAGTACTTTACTCAGCCCAGACCTGGCCATACTTTTTGTTTTTTTAAAGATACTTTCCATTTGGTGAAAGTGTCTTCCTCAGTTTCAGCCTCATTTTTACAGTGAGAACCGGGCAACCCTGGTGATTGCATTGCGCCGAGCCAGAGCCCACAGCTCGTCCACTCGGGTGAACTCGGGTTGCTGTGATAGTTTTTTCGCAATACATTACGAAATTACATTTGCCAATGTGATGATTACTGCAATGAGTGTCCTTTAACGTCCTAATTGTATTTCACATTTGTCTTGTTTTTGCACTTTGATACGTATAAAAATGAATTATTCAAGTTATTCAACTGCAGTTCACTCAACATAAGCCAGCCATAAGTCTTTAATTATTGCAATTTTGCAATCGCTAATGCGTATAATGCTGTTGGAAAAATGGTGACAACCACAATGACATCAATTTCTGGAAATTTGCAAAGCCCTCATTTCATGGGTAATGGCTACTTATTTAGAACTCCAATTATTATTGTGAATATGAATCAAAATTGCATTATCATAAGGGAATACGAAATAAAATGGCCCATTATTTACCAAAATGCATAAGATAATTGTGGCTATTACATGATGCGATATCGTACTAAAGCCATATCACGGCAACCCTAGGTTAGCCCATCCCATGAAGTTCCAGATTGCAGCCTTTTCAATAGCATGATGGGAGCAGCATTGGCAGAACCACAGAACTTCAGGGCTCAAAACCTCAAGACTCATGCTTCAGCTGACAGATCCTGTGTTCGATTCCGGACACGGGTGCCTTGTTGAGAATGTATGTTCTCTCCTCTTGGTTCCGTATGGGTTTCCACAGGGTTCTGCAGTCTCCTCCCCACAAGCTCAAACAAAATAAAACGTCCAATTAAAACTGGCATTGGCCAAACATCCCAATTCTGAAAAAATTACTTGGAAATTATTAATTTGCGATTACACGGCAGTAACATTGTGAAAACTTGCCAGGCGCTTCCTACAAAGGAGACTCGATGAGGCTTTTTCGTGGGTAAAGAGCACAATAACTCTGGGGCCTAGTGCCCAATCCCGGGCCAGCAGAAACTGGGTCCCCCACCCCCAGTGGCTGCGGAAATGAGGCATAAGACATATTTGTGAAATCCAAAGTAAAAAAACAATTAAGTTGCCTTGTACAGACCAACAGATTCACATTCTGCTTAAAACATCCACAAGAGTAAAGCTGCATGCAAAGAAAATCACAAACAATTGCAGGGGGGAAAAAAAATACCCCCCACATACATTCGCTTCTCCGTTATCATACTCCAGTGTGTTTGATCATGTTACATTACTGTGTACAGGTAATTAACGTAATTGTTACCTGAATTATTTGTATTGTATTCAGAGTTTAAAATCGTAGTGTGTGCGTGCACATATAAACAATTACACAATACAAGTAAAGGAATTGGACACGGACATTTTAAAGAGGCTGCCTCTTTAAATTAAACCTTAACACTCGACCTGTACGCAAACACAAAATCACGTGAAATATCTTGCGAGTAAATTTTGATAAAAATTTGGATCATGTAATAATCAACTTCTACCAGCTCAATAGACGTGGTTTGAAAATAAATTGCCACTTCGCAGCACTTTATTGGTGTGTTACATTCTCACGGTGCCTCACCAATCGCGAAAATTTTAACATCCACATCCGTGTCGGTAACTCGGCAATTGCATCACTCAGCTTCTTTTCACTCGCGGTACCAACACGATCACGACCTAAAAACACACCCACACTAACCTACAAGAATCTGCTACCGTAAGATCCATTTTAACTATTTAAATAAAAAATGATCCAATGAAAAATTCTTGCTGCTGGAAGATGTATAAATTGACCGTTGTCTCTCAACACAACACAGCACCGATGCCAATTGAATAACTGCTCACATATCACTCGTCCTGGCCTCCCCTGATACGACTGCCGATAGCACATGAGGTGTAGCAGCTGGCCCAATGAGGTTAGGGAGTAGAAATCCTGGGCAGGGTTGATGCTCCCTCCATATTAACCGAATACATCCTTGCTTATATTCCTTGGAGGGAGCTGAATACCACCTGGTAAGCACCACGAGCAAATAACTCAACAAAGGTTATCCTATGGCGAAATCGGTACCTTGCCGTAAGGCCACACATTTACTGCCTCGATCACCGACGATACAGCAACGCTTGAAAACGCGACGATGAATTTTGAAAATAATCGTAGGCGTGACCATAGAAAATCACATTTACTGATGAGCTCACAAAAACATTTTTACTTTGTACACTTACTTGGGCACAAAGTCATGCCTCCCTAGCGTTATTCGTTTGACTGTTAAACTGAAGCACTTTTAAGTTTAAAGACAATCCCTCGATTTACCGGTTGCTCAACAGAGTTAAAAATGCATAAGGCAATAGTCATAGTATAGGGCATATATGCAAAGAGTGGCAAATCCTGACCAACCTGTAAATATTAACAGATTGGAACATTCTTAGCTTAACTTTTACACCCAAAGTAACAAATCAAGGGGGAGTGCGATCCAATAAATCTGACACTTCACTTTGCCATATTCATATTGAGTGGCACCCTAATACGCATAGATCAAGAAACCAATGTCTCCACCAACACTGCCACTTGTTCACCTTGTGCCATGTCCAAAACTGGTTACAGTGAACGCTGGCCTCCTGGTAACACGCCCTGTTGATCACAGGATTCTTCTCGGTGCCATTACAATGCCTGCCTTGGTAACATTTCCCTCCTCCATCCTAGACACGTGTCCTGCTTCGCACAACACCTCGAGATGTACTGCACGGCAGGCACGGGTATGGATAGAAAACGAAGTGCACTCCACCTTAATTAGGTCGGGACCAATTTCTAACAGTTTAACACATCGTAGGCTTTCGGGACCAATATTATCCACAAGAGTTTTTGGGTTGGATTGCATAAATGTGTCGTGAACCCCGCCACAACCCTACACAGCCAATTCGTAAGGTTTGTCACGTGAACAAAACATGGCAATTCGTGACTAGTTCAGCACACCGGTGTGTTGGAAAGTAAACCCACAGCATCTAAAATTCGAGTATGATGTGTCGCCAGTAATTACGAACATCACAAGGTGATAACCAGTTATGGAGAAATCCTCCTGTTTCGGTCTTATACAGTTACATACGATGTCATTACAAACCCTACTAATTGGCTGTGTTGGGTGGTGGCAGGTTTAACAACACATATTATTGGGTCTTTCGGTAAAGTCACATGGATAGGTTCAAAGAAAATAACAAAAAACACTTATTTACACAATCTAACCCAAAAACCTCTTACGGATAATTTCTTACACGTCTGCTCATACCTTGTGTGTATAGAGAGGTATTACCCCATTGTAACAAACCACTTGCGGACCTGGAACAAAGTTCACGACTATATCAGAGGGGCGCTTCGCCATACAGTAAAGGGTTTAATGACAATTTGAACTGGGCCTCTGAAGAAACAGGAGACAGTTGATGCATCGCCACACCAGTGTAAATTTGTACAGGTCTCCTTGTCAAATACAACATCAAAAACATCACACGCTGGTACCGTATACAGTAGTGTATAGTACCGTATCGTACACCAAGGGAAACGACCGGAGATTTGGCAGCACGTACGATCGTTATAAGCGGGGTTGCTAACGTAATTTTTGTATGGAGGTATAAATCAACGCAAGAGAATGCGTTCCCGCAGCTGCGTTCATTATAAAGGGGGTATTCGTTATAGGCATGGTTCGTTGTGACACGGTAATACTGTACATACATATTGTGTAATGCGTGCTTTTAATGTGAGACAGCTCAGTGGACTGTTGTAGGCTTGTATTACGCTATGAGGTCAGAGGTCTCTGTGGAGCAATCACTGTGCAAAATGGGGCTAAATGCGGGCAGGTGGTATGTAAGCGCCACTCGGTCACTGCACAAAAGCCCACGTGTCCGCAAGGCATTTTAAGGACAGCTTCAAAGCAGTGGCAGGATTAAAATGGCATGGCCAAGTGCTATTTAGACCATATCGCCCCAAACTGGAAATCGCTACAAGATCTGGAAAGATGTAAACAGCTCGATGGAAATCGTTCATTAAGACGGTTGTGCCAATTATTCTAGGAGAAAATTCTGCAATGGCCTGGACATGTAATGAGATTAAAATAATATCATATTTGGCACGACATATATGTGTGTGTGTAAAGTTGAACAAAAGAGTAGGAAGGTAGAGAACCAGATGGAGATGCGTAGCAAAGAAATCTCCCAAAGGAAACAAAACTCCAGCTATCTTACGTGACGAGACAGATTCAAGGCAGGAAAAAACCCAAGGCGTTCAAAGCTTTAACGTCGTTGTTGAGTAAAGACCCTGGGCTGGATCTGCTTTTGGCTGTAAATGCCAACCAAGGTTCCAATGCGCATTAGACTGTTAAAAATATCAATTAATTAGATGATAGCTTTGATTAATCAACAACAAAATGTGCATGTAATTTGCATATGTATGTTTGTCGTATCTCTAATCAGAATATCAGTTGCAGATATAATAAACAATAGTCACGCTACTATGTGGCTCAAATGCGCGAGGTGAAGATTGATGGAGTCGTCATCATTCCATCACGATGTGCGCGTGCACTGTGCAGTTTCATATGATTTTGAGGGCCAGATGCCTGGCGTTCACCATTTCAACACAATTGCCGATGAATCGATCTTAATATATATTTTTAAACGATCCATCGCTTTACTCAATTGTTTCATTACTGATGTACACAAATGTCAAGAACACACAATGGGCATTCAGACCGAACGAGTTGGAACTGTTCTTGAAGTCTAACTTGATCACGTGACAATTGTACGCAAAATGGAAGAAGGCTCAGGCTCAAAACCATACGGAGGGACACGGATACGTCTTGATAGCTTAACGGTTCGGGAAGCCGTGGTAGGAAAATGTTGCATATACATGAGAAGTGTCATCTGAGCCCGAAGAAGCAAATGCATAACATTTCCAAATGTCACAGGCTAGTTGGCCATAAAGTTACGATCTTCGTTTCCTCTCGGCAACGGTTGATAAAAATAAACATCCCGCTGTTGTTTCACGAACCATTAATTTGTGTATCAAGTTTACCGAAGCGGCAACATGATAAGCGAATGTAAAATTATCATGGCACACGATGGGATGGGTGCCAGGCGCACGTGACTGGTTTTAAAGGCACTGGAAGCGGTTAACGCGTCGTCAGATTTAAATGCGGCTTGTAAAATAAAAAAAAATATATAAACACACCTCTCACTCGCTTCACCTGTTCCTTACTTTTGCATAAATCGCTGTTGATGTTCCAAATAAGTGCTGTGAAATGATCGTCGAGCGTATGGAGCCACAACGTGAAAATCCACACGATGATCGAGGAGGCTCTGTGGGTGTACAGGAAAAATCTATGCAGTCTAAAAATAAACGGCGTGTCTGTCTTTGCATTTTAAAATCGATGTTCAAAATAATACTTCAACTTGCATAATTTCATTCTGCCTCCATAAACTTTAAATAAATAATCCACAGCTTGAAGTTAATTCGAATGTAAATCAAAGTGCCTATAAGTCACGTATTATAATCTGCAGAGAGGCACATGACAATATTAGCCTTTACCAATTTACCTACAACCACAAGCAAATGCGTTAAGTGACTCCTGTCAGGTGTGCAACTGGTTACATTGTTTTGGATGCATACAGTATGAGGGAATCAAGTAACAGTGAAACCGTTGATTGCGAGCATAATTCGTTCCGGAAACGTGTTTGTAATCCAAAGCATTCGTATATCAGTTGTGATCACGTGACGCTCGGCAGACAAAGCGTATACATACTACTCGTATTATTGCAAGATCTCGCTCGTTTGTCAAATTAATATTTATTGAAAAATTTTGCTTGTCTTCCAAAACACTCGCAGACCAAGTTACTCGCAATCCAAGGTTTTGCTGTACCATGTTTTCCTTGACATTTCAATGAGGGGAAAAACACTTTTTTTCAACGAACAAATGAACATGGTGTAGCCTATATAATAAAGGATGCTTTATTGGGATTACATTCACTCCAATTTTTAAAAAATATATATATAAAACAAATGATCAATGACCCAAACACTCTTGGGTCATTGGCAATTAGATTTATATCAGAAGAGTAAAATAGCCGAGATTCAGACTTGGGTGTACTTTCTATCCAGGATGCCAATTATCATTTGACATGATCATGTATATTTCCTTTTGATAATACAATGTGTTTTGAACTGAAAGGATTGCCAGAAGGGTCTAATAACACGCCCTCAAAATTAATTTGTGGTGTTGTTATAACAGCATGCGCCAACCATTCCATCTCGAACATATTCACACGAGCCCCATGCATAAACATTGCCTTCGCAAAATAAAAATAAAAGATGTTTTTCAGATGGCTCAATACCTCGTCATTATGTAAAGTTTTAGTTTTGAAATCCACTGTGGGGGCTTGCCTGGGATTTTTCCAATAATGCATCTCTCACCCGCTTGTTATGTCCAAGATGAAAATCACATTCCAAGATTAACACCAACAAACCAGGAGTTGCAACAGGTGGGCAATAACTTGAATACCTAATAAAGGTAACTAGAAAATAAATCAAGACATCTGTCCATCTCTCCAGATTTCAAAACGTTTGTAATCCACAACACTATGTAACTTCTGGACTATATTTATGAAACAGCATACGTTTAAGCCACCAAACGCCGCACCAGTTTTACGTTTTTTTCGTGGGAAAGATGAACAGAAGCCTGCTTATTTTGCCCACAAAGCACCACAACAACCATAAAATGAGTTATCCGATGGTAGTGTCAGATTCCATCTTGCAAAAAAACAACCCCCAGTTTGAACACTGTCTTAGTTTCAGCGATCTGCACCAAATGAATAAACCGATTCGTAAGACTCCCTTCCTTGGTGGTTGGTGTAGATTTGTCCTGTGAACCAAGCGAAGGTCAACACTGTTAAATGTTCGAAGCGACGAGTGCCAAGAGAACGACATTGGTCAAAAGTGGGGGCCCCTCTGCCCTGCCACTCTAGCAAGTGCGGCCGTGCGTCAGGACGTCGTACTTGCCCCCATGCATCGCCCTGTCTTGTGTTGGCGTGCTCAGATGCCTGCACCTCCTGGCCCTCTTCTGTTTACTACGGCCTTCTCTCACCAGGTTGAGATCTCCCGTGGAGATGTGGCAGTGCCGCATGGGCAGCACCATCCTGCCCCAACCACCTCTCGCTGCTGCTGCCGCCGCCGCCGGCAATGACGTCTGGTCACCGGAACTCGTAGATGGGAAGGCTGTGCTCGGTCACGTGAGTGAGCGTCAGAGATTGAAACCTGCAACAAGCAAATGTTTGGTCATGTGTCACTTGGCCAACGGGAAAAAAAAATCCTGTTTTCAATATCAGTGATCAGGATTAACCATACCTAGAGTGTGGTAGCTCTTCGAAAGTCTCTTAGCTCTGAGAAACTCGAAGAAAAACAAAGTGGCTTTTTTTCACGAGCAGACCCTTTTTCTAAAAATAATGTTCTGAAGTCAAACGCAGGGATTCTGATAAAACTTCGAAGCATCACTTTTCAAATATTTGAATGGCATACATTTCACTTACATTACAAGTTTTGACTTTTGTTTTACATTACATCTTTCGATTCTACTCTCCTGGCTATTTTACTCTATGCTCGAACGATGTGCACACAACAAATGCGATTGGTTCTATTTTAATGGCGGAGATGAATGTGGTGAATGGCAAGATCGGGGAACACCCACCATGCTAACGTGAACAATGTGGGTGGTCATCGTGTGAAGTAAATGCCTCCGACACACCTGTCTTCCCAACTGATACTTACACCTGACAAAAAGTTTAGTCTGAACCATTATGATGCTCAAACAATGGAGGTTGTTTGAGCATACTTCACCAAGGTGGTCAGTGCAGTTTGGTGTGGGTGGGCACGAAGACCGATTAATACATCACATACCACTGATATTAATAAGCCATGGCCGGGAATCAAACTCAAGTTGCTGGTTTCATAGCACAGTGCGCTGTCCACTGCACCCCCGCTCCACTCTCAACTTACTCTTATATAGATATATTCCAGGATTTTACATGCAAAAAAGGCACTGTTGTTTGAGACAAAATTTACTATAACGTTGGCCTGCCTTCAAGCACAGCCTCACTGATGTTTTCACTCTGGAGCTATTTTTTTAAGAAGGGACGATACAAAACACCGTCACAGCATGCAGCGACCCTACACTCCCACTGATGATCACGAAAACAAGTTTGGTACCTATGAACCTAATACGACATTGGCTTATATTATTAGAAAAAGGCGTCAGTGAGATGCTATGAAAATAAGCTCCGATTTTACCCGTCTGGTGTGCCATCGTACTTTGTGAATCATGTCCTATAACTTTCTGTTGTGATTGCACAACTCCCGTGAAAATAAACTCCGCTGATATTAAAAGAACCCAACGTGACAAGCCAGCTGTTATTTTACTCTTAAGTCACACTGTAGCATACGGACTATTGCAATACACAGCATTGCCATTCGTTTTCAGTGCTTGTTAATCTGTGGTTCATCTGTTAACATTAACGATAAAATCTAATAAATTTACATTAAATATTGGTGGATGGATAACTTTGCCCCCGACCACCCTCAACAATTCAATGGATTGTCACAATTCAGTTTAACACGTAGGCTTTCGCGACCAATATTATTCATAATAAAGGTTTTTGGGTTAGATCGCGTTATTTATAAATGTGTCATAACCCTCCACCACCCGACACGGCCAATCAGCAAAATAATAATACGCTTCCAGGCCGCACTAAGCCTGTAGCTGTCAGAGCGATTAAAGTTATTTTTATTCCTCTCAATTTCAATGGATTCTCTAATTAGTCTTTGCCAGTAATAATTAGTTAAATAATACACATTACAATTCCTTATAGGGGAAACACATACTACTTAACGGATTACTAACATAGCATATAATCACTAACACACATTAAAACTAATTACTAATCTACAACTCATTACTAATCATAACCATTGACTGATTACTAATCGATTATATAATTACAATACCCCCCTCCGCCTCAAATCACTGCACCTGAAATGAGTTAAATGATGACGTCACCCTGCTGCTCGATTTAAGACCGGGAGCAAGTGAGGGCTTTACCATTCTGGCGAATTGCCCGATGATGCTGGATGTAATTACCAGCGAAACGTCGTACTCAAACTGTAAATGTTGTGGATTCACTCTTCAACACACCGGTGGGCTAAAGTAGTTAATTATTTGTCTTTTGTCAACGTGACACTTTTTTTGCTGATTGGCCGTGTCGGGTGGTGGAGGGTTACGACACATTTATAAATAACGCGATCTAACCCAAAAACCTTTATTATGTCACAATTCAGTCACAATCCCATTCAAGCATGCTATTTTGAACACTATCATGAATGGTAGTGCCTCACATGTGATTTGACGCATGTAACAGGAGCCTAAGAATCCATGTTACTCGATATGTATGAACTTCTTCTTTGGTTCTTTCGGTAAAGTCACGTAGAATGAGAATAAAATAATAAATTGATCAAATAAAATAACACAATAATATTCTCACGACGTTTCGGCCACAACACAAGCGGCCTTCATCAGGTAAAGGGGACGAGACTGTCTGGAGGACAGCGCTGGAGTGCTGGAGTGCTGTCCTCCAGACAGTCTCGTCCCCTTCACCTGATGAAGGCCGCTTGTGTTGTGGCCGAAACGTCGTGAGAATATTATTGTGTTATTTTATTTTATCAATTTATTATTTTATTCTCATTTTACGTGACTTTACCGAAAGAACCAAAGAAGATGAATCCTTGCAGTCACGAAAGCTTTAAATCGAAATGTATGAACTTCTTTCGCACCGTACGTAGCCAACCGTGCTAATCAGAGGTGCGAGAGAATGCATTATTTGTTCCACTCCTAGCATCACGCACACCGTCAGGAATACGTGACTGCAAGGTCATGTTGAATGTTCTTTTTACTCTATCGCAGGTGGCGATGATGCACGTTTAATGTTACGTGCCATTTTTACAGTGCTACAACCACAAATCTAAGAAATGAGGAGAGGTTCACACGAAGTTGTGCGAGTCACCATTCTGAGCTGCGATGATAGTAGTAGCCCTCAATAGTGGCCGCAGACTTCTGGAAGCAGATGTAGTAAAAGCCAGCGAACGAAGCTCCGTTAATGTCCTTTATTTTATGGTCCGGCACCAGAAAATGCTCCTGTCACCAAAGGGGAGAAAGAAAACCCACACAAAAAAACATTGCAATCGAGAACACGCGCGGATAACATCTGGAGGGAAGACTGGAGAAATGTGAGGATAATTATCACAGGTGCCTGATGACATCATCATGGCACATGCACTTTAATTTAATCTTTACAGCCCAGTTAAAAAATGTTATACTTGGAAAGTGAATTGCAAAAACATCAACATTCCAGTACAGTGGAACTCCTCTTATCTGAAATCCTATAACTTTAGCCCCTACACAATCCAGGAAAGATTTGTTACACAAGGATCAAAGTTTATTTTCAAATAACATAAACCACTTGCAAGTAGTCATAGCAAGGGCTACATTTATCCTATTATACACATTTGTTAATGGATAAGAGGAATTGTATGGTAATTTATTCCCATTATCCGTGTGTATCTACAGATAACAGGTTGACCAAGATGAACATAACAAACATCGTGCTGTTGCTGCTATTACCACAATTGCTGCTGATATAATTGATCATGATGCTACTGTTGCTGCTGCTGTTATTCACCATGCCTTTGCTGCTATATCTGCTATTGATGATGCTGCTACCATTGATGACGATGGTGGAAATGATTATGACATGTAATTTTCCAGGAAGGCCTTGGACTCCTTTCTTTTGCCGGACAGTGCATTTTAATAAGTTACGTTTACACTTGGAGGCACCAGGGGGGGCACCCACAAAAAAACACACGCGTAAGGGGCGATAAAAGTCAAAAGGTGAGCACAGGCAGGATCACATACCCACTTGCTGAACTGTCATCTCATGCGGTGACCCACTGTGCGGCTCACGCAGTCACCTGCTCTGCAGCCCACGCAGTCACCTGCTGTGCGTGTGGAAGAGACTAGTGATGGAGTGGCGGCCAAAGAATAGAATGCGTCCGAGAGGACGACCATCGTGGAGATGGCGCAATGAGATAAGTTCATGTCCAGGAGATGAAGAGTGGCATCACGGGACCATGAGGAATGACGAGAATGGGGGTAGAGAACTTTATCCAGCAATAGATAAGATGAGATGATGGATGAAAGGATGAGGATGTCAAGATAATGACAACTGCTAATCATGAGGATGCAGTTTTGTTTCTGCCACTGGCTAGTCTTGCTGGTATGGCTGCACCCACAACTCGCACTACACTATACCTCTTCTTCATCTTCGCATTACTTATGCCTTTATTCAGTCTCATGGCAAAAATGTATCCCATTGACATTTAGCTAATATTTTGACAGAAAAAGATTTATTTCTGCAGACAGGATGAGACACCTAGATTTGCTTGTCAACAATCCCCCCCCCAACTTCAACGCAGATAAAGGAGTTCCACAGTATATTTACAGTAAAGCAGGCATCCTTTGTAAAACACACACACACACACATCTACTTATTAAATATACCTAAAGTTAGACGTGTAAAGCTAAAATGGTATGCACACCACACATACCTTCCATCGCATGAAGATGAAGTCGCTCTCTGTTAGTTCTTCAAAATTAAAATCATCCGAGTTGAACGTTTTACCATACTGCAAAAATGCTGGGAACTTGCTCTGAAAAAAATATAATGGAAATAGAAGTATTTTATTCTGTGAGACAGTAGTCTTTTCGTGGGTCACCGGTTAACATGTATTATGTTACCTTAAATACAACTAACACCATAATATCTAGACAACGGACGAATAGAAACACTACAAGAACGATGTCATGAAGCCCTCTCATGGCTCACGAGAAAAGCTCGACATTGGCATGGTTCTCCTAAACAAGCTGCCATATTTTGATTTAAAGCTTTCGTGACTGCAGTAATTCATATTCTTAGTTTTTTCGGTTAAGTCACGTTGAAGGGAAACAACAAAATAATAAAAAATATATAAAACAATAAAAAATTCTCACGACGTTTCGACCATAACTCAAACGGTCGTCTTCAGGTGTGTTGGTTTGCATAAATTTATTTTTAAACAGCGCATTTATTTATTTAAAAAAACGTTAGCGCCACGCGCAACGATTTGGCAGTTTATTTAGGACTAGTCCATCTATATTCTGAAAAGAGGAGGGGGGAGACGAATTTTTTTTTATATATATAATGTATGCTGTCTGAAAGCCACTGTAAGCGTGAACAATCAATTAAGACCTAAATAAGAATATAAATAAGATAAATTGACTAATTTAAGAAATAACCTATTCTTCAAGTACTTTTTTCGAAGGATAACTCACGTCAACAAGTGACAAGCAAACTAGTGCAATACAGGCATAACAATGTGAAGCCAAGACTAAATTTGAAAATAACCGTTGAATGCACATGACGAAACGCAAATGGTAAAGCAAAATAATTAGTCTCTTTAGAGTAACAACACCACTTCAGACACATAAAAACAATCCAATTAAAATGTCTCATTTAAAATTAAATAATGCTTCATACATTTTGTAACTGCCCTTCAGTACTAAACTTGTTCACATATTTATTCGCACCTCCGATTAGCACGGTTGGCTACGTACGGCGCGAAAGAAGTTAAATATACACACACAGGCCCGAGACCAGTTCAGATAATCGTCACTGGTGTCGACTGCGAGCCGGAATCGAACCCGGGTTGCCAGGTTCATAGCACAGCATGCTAACTGCTACACCACCTGGATTCAAGGCCCCTAAAACCTCTGCCACCACCTCTCATTAATACAAACTTCCGTGACTCACACTCAGGAGCACCACCTGCCATAACCACCCAGGCTCTCACCCAGTGCTTGCGGTCAACATCTTCGTCCGCATCCCACTTTCTGGTGAGAAAGGGCCGACCCTTGCTGATTATCTCACCATCAAAGAACGTTGTTAGAACCGGGAACTCCTGCAGCAGCAGACACATTTACCCATAAGTCAGCAACACGCCAACTCATGGGGCCAAACACGCACAATGATGAGTCAAGTAACCCTCCAGCTAGATTAGAACTTTAATTCTTTACAACAAGGTTCTTTATATTTTACTGCAGACCACATCGTAAAATGCAATGCATAGGCTATATAAAGGGCATTTATCTCTTGAAAGTGTATTACCTTTGGTGACGTAAGTGACTCACCTCTGTTAAACCTTTAATTTTTAAATATCCACAAAGAAATGCGTTCTCCATGTCAACATGCTGCAATAAAGAAAAAAAACACATCAATTGCATTCAGTACGTTTTGATGTTAACATCTGGAACTCAGTTTTTGTCAATGAGAGACATATGCCTCATCTACTCAATTCAGATTCAATAGCCATATATATACAGCTAACACGTTTGTTGCTCAACACAAATACATTTTAAAAAGTTTGAAACTGCCATAAATAACCAAAGCTGATCCAGTGGAGTAAAACCACCAGCAGCTCGCATTGCATACAATGTCCGTAGACCCTAACCATGCTAAACGTGTGTGTGTGTATGGCCTGTGATGTTGACACAATGGTATCCGATTCTGTCCTGGGCCTCTCATAAGTAAACTTAGCCTGCATGGCATAGTAAAATATGGCCAGGCATGGCCCTGGCCACATCACCCCATCATTTAGTCGGTATATCACTGCCCAAAACAATCTATTAGGCTAAAAGGAGGATAGTTTTGCTTCGTTAAAGTGTAGCAAACAATGAAGGCAAAGGCTAGTCAGGGCATAATTGTTGTTGGGACTGATGAAAATATTGTTACGTTTCCACATGAATAATAATTATTTGATAGAGACGGGTACTCTAATATTAAGTAAAATGTGTTTACACTTAATAAAAACAGTGACCATAAATGTGTTATATACTATGCTCTTTGTTTGGCATTTGAAAAGGTGCATTCTTTAAAGAAAAAAAAACTAAACAAAAATGTCCTGCAGAAGCTTGAGCTGATACTGCACCCGGTTTGTACCAAGGGATTTCTTAAACGTGTTAACTGGCTCAGCTGCACTCCAAACCAAATGAGGCACACATATTTGACCATGACTAGGAGCTGAAGCTGCTATCTCCAGCATGCTGCATGTGTTCAACAGATTTCTAACACAACACCACAAGAAACACTCTGTGCCCCACGAGCCATCTTTACTGGTTACTTGAGTAGGCATGAGCAGGACACGTGCTGTCATTTTGGAATTTTCTAAATGTAAACGGCGTTTAGTGAGGACAGTGCAGTAGTTGCATGCACACTGCAGCCTTTACATGGACAACTTTTTCATCAGCCATGATCAATCCACTGCTGGATACAAGCCCCACCCCCACACCTATGCCACCACCACCCCTCACAATTTTTCGAGGCGACAATCCATCCAGCACCTGCATATGAACCGATTTCATCACTCCATCTCTTTGGTACACCTACTGTTATAAATGTTCCATTCCTTGTCTGCCACACCATTACTATCCTTGCCCACTGCCCATCACCACTTCCCTCCATGACAGTGTTCTGCACAAGCCCGCATGCTGTTATTAATAGTTTGGGTTACGTCATTAACCTGTGTGTGCTATAACCAACGTGTTCCTCTTTCCGTCTCAATATCATTTCAAGCACGTATCTGTTTGGTGGGTATTGCAGTATCCGCATGCACACTGCTAATTTACATGGACAACTTTTTGCTTTGTACCAATTTAATGCATTGGTTGCATATCTCGTGTGCAGCTGCTTGTGACAAAAATAATATATCTTTATGAATAGAGAATAAAACAATTACTACCACACGTGATATCCAATTATAGTAACTGATAAATGTAATGGGCAAGTTCTCCCGCCAACATAAGAGGTAATTAAAGTTATTTATGCTTGAGAATAAAATAATAAATTGATAAAATAAAATAACACAATAATATTCTCACGACGTTTCGGCCACAACACAAGCGGCCTTCATCAGGTGAAGGGACGAGACTGATGAAGGCCGCTTTTGTTGTGGCCGAAACGTCGTGAGAATATTATTGTGTTATTTTATTTTATCAATTTATTCTCATTCTACGTGACTTTACCGAAAGAACGAAAGAAGATGAATCCTTGCAGTCACAAAAGCTTTAAATGGAAATTTATTTATGCTTATTTAGACTGTTTTTACGAGAAAGTAGTTTGTGGTTAATTTGGCAAATTTTGGCCAAGACGCCAGCACACAATGGCCCACTCTTGCGAATGTCACGGGATCGTTAGCATCCACTATGAACCAGACGGTGCATAACGTTTAAGATTGATACACCCGCGGTAATAAGCAGGGTGGCTGCTGGATTCAAACTGCAAGCCTCTGTTTTAACAGTTATAATCACGCATCACGACTTCTCATTGTACTCCAGTCTTCAAAGTCAAAATTGGAAGAGGCAGGGATTTAGCATAATTTCACAAAAACAAGTAAGTTATTTGGATAAACTATTTGGTCATTTCGGTAAAGTCACTGCTGAAGCAGTTTCCCTGCTGTGATTGTCTCACCTGATGACGGTCGCTTGTGTTGCGATCGAAACGTCGTTATCTATTATTTTCTACCTACGTACCGAAAGAACCAAAGAGTGTGATTTCCTGCAGTCACGAAAGCTTCAAATCAAGAATTATTTGGATATCTCATCATGGTAAGAGAAGTAACTTGCATTTTAGTGCATGTAATGGCTTATATAGCTTTTAAAGTGTATTTGTGCAATCCCGTTGACAAATGCAACGTTTGTCATCAAATCCACAAAACCATAAACGGAAAGTGATTACACTGTAGATATCATCCAAGGAGTTTGGCTATGTAAGCTGTTAGGCGGCATGAGCAGGCGCTTTCGTGTAACACAGAGAGCATGGCCACACACAAAATGGATTAGTAACTTACAAGTTGAGCACTGTAGCGAAATTAAGCGCCGATTGCTAACCGTATGGGCTCTGCATAAATGCTGAAAACAATCCCTATCATTAGTACAGGACAGCGGCAGTGTAAAGCAAGTCCATCGGTGATGCCAGAAATGTGGATGCAGATCTTCATGCCTCCACCACCCCTCCACCACCCCACCACCACCAAGTGTATTTTAAATGTGTTCAGTGTGCGAGAAGTGGCACGCGTTAGACAATTCCGTGGCGTTACCTCGTGGTGTGCTGGCTCAGCGTTGCCACTTTTTACATTATTAATTGAACCTCACGGTGGGACCCCGGGGTTCCATAAGGCCACGGATCTCGCATAAACTGCGTTGCGACGTCATTTTACGTCTGTTGAAGGCGAACCATACGGGCAATTCTATTCCTCTCGACGAGCTCTACACGATGCGCTAATGAAAGTTTAAAAGTTTTGTTTACGACCACGGCTATTTTTGCAACGACGGGTGCTTGGTGAAGAACGTGGAGGATTGATTTCTGGTGGGTCGCGGCGTTTAAGAATTCAAAACCAACTCCTGATTTGACAAATTGTTTACCCCTATGACTGTGTACACTTTAATTCACACACTATTAGAATGTATACTGTGACAAGGGTTCATATAATTTTCAGGCGATTTATGATCTAGGCAAATCCCCTAATTTTTGCCAATGCGCTTTAGAATAATCAATTTGGCCTATTTTATGATGAAGCATTTATTTGATTCATTCGCGTGTGCATTACAATTCTCACTCTTGCTTGTGGGAGCGTCTGTACAAGAAACCCGGCTGAACACACACACACAGAGAGCAAGAAGCCCTGTCGTGCCCCGTGTACACCAGAGGAACACGCAACTTCCAACACCAGTGTGGTCTACTGGCGACACATCTGGGCTGTCCCACACCACTCGGCATGGAGCTCGGTCACTAAAACTGCTACCGGTAAATATGAGTGGGTCATTCATAATAAAAAACGTGTGCGTAAGTGGCTCACCGACTCCCGACCTTTCAATACGCCGCACGGGAGACGATCCTAGAAAGCACCCCAGATCAACGTGGTATTTTGCTACCGACTAGAACGCTTCGAGAGTCGCGTAGAACACAGCGGTCTAGGGGACACGATACAAGAAACATCCATCGAGTGATGTCCCACGCCTCCCTTGAGAGACCAACACACCCAAAGCAACTCAATAGCAGTCCGCGCTGGGGAGGAGCGGGGGGTGGTGCCCTTCACCGACCTCGCCTGGCGGCTCCGCGGGGGATCCCTGGCGCCTGGCACGGCGACGAAACTAGGCCCAGGTCGTCGGGGTGCGCGGTGATGTCGCACAACGGAGCGCGCGGGCGCGCGACTGCCCTCACCTTGAGCACGACCTCGACGTCGTAGGCGTTGCCCTTGCTCTTCTGGAAGCCCCTGAACTTCGAGCCGCTGTAGAGCAGCGAGGTGTTCACGCCGGGCTGGTGCGTGTTGATGGGCGGCGGCGGCACGAGGCGCGACTCGGCGCGCACCGGCATCTTCGCGCGCCTCTCCGCGGCTGCGGGGGTGAGAGAGGGGAGGGGGAGAGAAGGGGAGGGGGGGGTGAGAGTGGGGAGGGGTGAGAGAGGGGAGGGGGTAAGGGGAGAGAGGGGAGGGGGTAAGGTGAGAGGGGGGGTGAGAGAGGGGAGGGGGGGTGAGAGAGGGGAGGGGGGGTGAGAGAGGGGAGGGGGTAAGGGGGGAGAAGGGGAGGGGGAGGAAAGGGGAGGGGGGAGTACGAGGGGAGGGGGGTGAGAGGGGGGAGAGAGGGAGGAGGGAGGGGGAAGAGGGAGGGAGGTGTGGCTCTAGCGCCGCCATCTTACTACTCCCCGAAGTGCCGCCCATTGGCTCCGTAGCCGACGCGTCACGAGACGCGCGCTCGTGATTGGCTGGCGACGGGGAGACGGGAGGGGGGCAAATAACAAAACTATTTTGGTTTTATATTTTTGGTTCTTTCGGTAAAGTCACCACGTAGAAGGGAAACAATAAAATAATAAAAATATGAAAAAATAAAATTATCACGACGTTTCGACTGCAACACAAGCAATCATCAGGTGTGAAAACCACAGCATGAAAAAAGTGGCGTTTTTTAAAAATTTTCTTGCTGTAGTTTTCACACCTGATGATGATTGCTATGAACAACAGGTGGGCTTGAGAAATTAACAAGTCAAGGAGCTCGGATTAGTAATCTGACGACGACGACAACCGGGTGGGCGAGTGAAAATCGCGGCAGTTAAAGCTTGGCGCGGTTTTATCGCATCCTTCCAATGATTGCTCAATCTGAATACATCTTCTCGATTAAAGTTTTGTCTGTGTTTGTGTATCTTGGATGACTTCATGAACAAATCGCTGATGGTGGCCCGAGGGTTTGCAGAGCACCTTGGTCTCGGAGAAAACAATGTCACATGTGCCCACAGCGTTGAAACAATGTTCCGGAACAATGAAAACTGTTTTGCTCCTTCTTCGCCCGCCGTCAGAGTGGGAGGAGTAAGATGATGTCGGTGGCGACGTTTCCCGCAAGGCGGCGTGAGAAGTGATGGGATGGACCCCCCCGTGATTCCCTGTAATTATATTTTTGAAATATATTTATATAAAATAATAATGACCTCAAACCATGTTCCTCGCCGCTGATCCAGGTGACATTCCAGGTGTCGCCATCCTAGAATGTCACCCAGATCCGGAAGAACGTTGCTGTACGGAACAGAGTGGAAACAACGCTCGTTGCACGTCCACAATAAATGCCGCCTCATGCGAGAGACCCCAAAAGAATCGTCGCACCTCTTTTTGCCTTTGCCATTCGTTCCTCGAAGACACTGGCTGGTTGCGACCGCCAACCGCATCAGAACATCACCAGGCCGCGATGCGCCCATCTCCATCGTGAATGGAAAATTTAAAGTCAAGTCCGCAGTTGCGCGACTGTGTGGCCATGCAACCCAAACTGTGGACCCGTCAAGTTAAAACCCACTGTGGGTTTGCGCGCTCCTTCAATGAAGGAGGAATATTAAATGTACACAAACTCACGTGGTACATTAGGAATGGACCACTATTTTAATTATTTCCTCGTGCAACAAGGGAGTAAAGTGCGGTGTTTGTGAAAGTCCTTATGTGCTTCATCATGAGGCCTCCTTTGCCAGTACCAAAATATACTAATAGGGGTTTCTGGCAACAAAACTGACACCTTTTGCAAGAAATCATGTTTACATTAACCACAATACTTGCAGTCAAATGCAAAAAAAAACAATACTCTGATCATGTATGCATTGTCCTTGAAACTGATTGGTCCACACAAGAGACAGCTTTTCTTAGAGCCTAGCTGTCTCTGGTGTGGACCAATCAGTTTCAAGGACAATGCATAAATTATCAGAGTATTGTTTCTTGTTTGCATTTGACTGCAAGTATTGTGGTTATTGTAAACATGATTCCTTGCAAAAGGTGTTAGTTTTGTTGCCAGAAAAAAGGGGAAAACCCCTATTTATTAGTCCTTATGTGCTGTGCAGTACATCATGGCACGTGTTTACACCAGCATGCGATAGCTGAGTTGGGCCTGTGGGTGGCTGGCAGGGTTATTGATTAACCGGACTTGTACATCAGTCAAGTGGATAATGGCGACTCGGTTAAAGATTGCTGTGTGTGACACACGTGCTGTTGCAGTCTACAGGTAAAGGACTCAAAGGGTGTTTTTTATAGTTATAGAAATGTTCTAGACGTGTTCTAGACTTCAAGCTTGGCTTTGAATTGTTAGTTTGTGATATATTCAACAGGAGGGGTTTTAGCACTGTCCATTGTAAAGGATGACGTATTGTAGTTAATAATACTTGTAAATCTCTAACCCTAATACGGTGTATTCTATAACCATGCCCATGCACCCAGAGTATGCAATGCTATTGAGAATATAATACATGTACAGTCGTAAGTTGTACAATGGTGACAAGTACAGTACGTATATTGTACACATACATAATGGGCGTAAGATACCGATATAAGTGTATGGTATAGATAGACATACAGCTTAGGATTAAAGTAATATTAGAATAGTAAAGTGCAAAGGTTACAATCAAAGACAAAGATGGTTTATCAGAAGTAGAATTGGGTTTAAGAGACACTTACTGATTAACCTGACTTGTACACCAGTCACGTGGTTAGGGGCCGTCCATAAATGACGTCACGCACCTAGGGAGGGGGCGGGGTCAGACATTTGTGACGATGTGTGACGAGGGGGGGGTTTGAGAAATGTGACGTCACATCAAAATGCGCAACTTTAAATACATATAGACAACACGTTCTACTGAATTAAATAGACTTTTTAATAAATGTTTTCTCCTACATCAGAGTGCAGCGCCACATTAAAAACGCAACTACAATGACAATAGTCTAAAGCGATTTGAAGCATGTTGTATTTGGGGGGAGGGGCAGAGCTTTGTGACGTCATATTTTAGGGGGGTCTGACTTTTTGTGTGACGAAGGGGGGGGGGGTCAAAAAATCGTCCAAAATCGCGTGACGTCATTTATGGACGGCCCCTAAGGTCTGAATTGGTCTCATAAGGGGCCATCCGTTAAGTACGTACCATGGAGGGGGGTTAACCCAAATGCGTACGCTTGCGTATGGGGGGGGGTCTACTGACTGTACGTACGCATAGCAAACGGCGTGGGGGGGGTTCGTCAAGCGTACGTACGCAGGTGGGTGGGGGGTGGGGGTGTGTGAAAAGTCCGTGTCCCTACAGAGAGAGGGGGGGGGTCAAATCTTGACAGATTTTTCTGCGTCCCTACTCAATGGACGGCCCCTAACCGTCGTCATTGTCAGGAAATGAAGAGCAAGCGAATAACGAGAAGGGGGCGCTGACGCGACACCCCCACCGCCACCACCCACCCCCAAGCAACGTAGCCCACGTGCACAACACCAGCAGCCTTGCGCGTGCACACTCAGCGTCTTGCGGACAGAGCCGGAGACGTTCGGACCTTGTTGTTGTTGTTTTTGTTATTGGTTTAACAAACAAACAAAAAACTTTCCCATCTCCCCCCCGCCTCCCCAGCGTGTGCATCATCTGGCTCAAGGAGTGCTCAGCGCAGGGTGAGTGTTGTTCTTTTTTCCTACCCCGCTCACACCTAGACCTCCCCCACCACCACCACCCCTTACAGAGGATTGAAACATCACAGCTGATGGATTTGCTTTAAAAGATGATGGGTGGATTTTTTGTTGTTGCTGTTGGAATGATCATAAAAAGTTGGCAGCTCTAAACAAAAACGGCGTCAAGGGATGGCTCGGCAAAGGGCGAGTGTCGTTTTCTTCCCCGCACTCACACCTCGGCAAATTTGACGAGACAACTCACAGGTCTGAGGTTGAACATCCGCGTGTTGTCACCAAGTCCTTCAGCCTGGATCACTACCTGTGAGATCTTCAAACTTGGATCACTACCTGTGAGATCTTCAACTTGTATCACTACCTCTGAGATCTTCAACTTGTGTCACTAGCTGTGAGATCTTCAACTTGTGTCACTACCTGTGAGATCTTCAACTTGTATCACTACCTGTGAGATCTTTAACTTGTGTCACTACCTGTGAGATCTTCAAACTTGTATCACTACCTGTGAGATCTTCAACTTGTATCACTACCTGTGAGATCTTCAACTTGTATCACTACCTGTGAGATCTTCAACTTGTATCACTACCTGTGAGATCTTCAACTTATATCACTACCTGTGAGATCTTCAAACTTGTATCACTACCTGTGAGATCTTCAACTTGTGTCACTACCTGTGAGATCTTCAACTTGTATCACTACCAGTGAGATCTTCAAACTTGTGTCACTACCTGTGAGATCTTCAACTTGTATCACTACCTGTGAGATCTTCAACTTGGGTCACTAGCTGTGAGATCTTCAACTTGTGTCACTACCTGTGAGATCTTCAACTTGTATCACTACCTGTGAGATCTTCAACTTGTGTCACTACCTGTGAGATCTTCAACTTGTGTCACTACCTGTGAGATCTTCAACTTGTATCACTACCTGTGAGATCTTCAACTTGTATCACTACCTGTGAGATCTTCAACTTGTATCACTACCTGTGAGATCTTCAAACTTGTATCACTACCTGTGAGATATTCAACTTGTATCACTACCTGTGAGATCTTCAAACTTGTATCACTACCTGTGAGATCTTCAACTTGTGTCACTACCAGTGAGATCTTCAACTTGTATCACTACCTGTGAGATCTTCAACTTGTATCACTACCTGTGAGATCTTCAAACTTGGGTCACTACCTGTGAGATCTTCAACTTGTATCACTACCTGTGAGATCTTCAACTTGTATCACTACCTGTGAGATCTTCAAACTTGTGTCACTACCTGTGAGATCTTCAACTTGTATCACTACCAGTGAGATCTTTAACTTGTGTCACTACCTGTGAGATCTTCAAACTTGTATCACTACCTGTGAGATCTTCAACTTGTATCACTACCTGTGAGATCTTCAACTTGTATCACTACCTGTGAGATCTTCAACTTGTATCACTACCTGTGAGATCTTCAACTTGTGTCACTACCTGTGAGATCTTCAACTTATAT